AGAAAACAATTGAAAATCCCCTGCACTAGTGCTACTCGGGCTTAGGTTCCCGTCTGCTTGCGGTTATGCTAAAGATTATCTCTTAGCCCAGGGGTCAGCAAACTTACAGCGCCTCGGGCCGGTGTCTCCAGCGCCGATGATCGTGCAGCAGGCCAGAGAGCGGGGGAGCGCGTGCGCGCACTCTATTTCTGGCACACTTCCAGGCTAGAGGAGCACCAGAAATAGCTTGTGCGCATGTGCACGGGCCTCCTCCGACCCGGATGTGCACCAGAAATAACACTTGCGTATGCGCAAATAACGCTTGTGCATAGGTAAAGGGACCCCTGACCATCAGGTCCAGTCGTGGCTGACTCTGGGGTTGCGGCGCTCATCTCGCTTTATTGGTCGAGGGAGCCGCCATACAGCTTCTGGATCACGTGGCCAGCAGGACTAAGCCGCTTCTGGCGAACCAGAGCAGCACATGGAAATGCCGTTTACCTTCCCGCTGGAGCGGTATCTATTTATCTACTTGCACTTTGATGTGCTTTTGAACTGCTAGGTTGGCAGGAGCAGGGACCAAGCAATGGGAGCTCACCCCGTCGCAGGGATTTGAACCGCCGACTTTCTGATCGGCAAGCCCTAGGCTCTGTGGTTTAACTCACAGCGCCACCCGCGTCCCATGCGCACAAGCTATTTCCGGTGCTCCTCCGACCTGGGTTGCTGTGCGTAAGAGAAACCTGGTGGGCAAGCAGCGGCAAGGACAGGCCCATCTGCTTCATCCAACCAGGTCTCTGTCACACATGCCAGGTCAAATCCTCCATCCACAATCAGGTCGTGGATGGCAGTGGTTTTATTCATCATTGACCTGGCATTGCACAGCAACACTTTCAGGTCATGTGGGTTTCCCTTGCTGATTCCAGTATCCTTCTGGTCAGGACTAGACCTGGAGGCAGGGATAGTCCTCAAACAACGACTAAGCCTGCCTCCTCGGTAATGACATGGTCTGGTCTTAGCGTAACTCCTCCTCCTGCCCATGATCACTGAGATCAGGTGTCCCAATACATTCCCCCCTGTGGAACCTGCCCCAGCCATTCTATTGGCTGAGGCCCACTCCCAGGCAGCCCTGACCCTTCCCCTTAAAAAGCAAAATACAAACTATATAATAACTTAACAGAATAATAAAAATAGAAGCAAAGCAAGAAACAATAGTGCTAAAATTAAACTACTCCCCACCCTGACTAAATACTTATCCAACCCCAAGCAGAAATAAAATAATAAAATATTATAAAAAACAACAACCACCATTTAAGGTGCAGCAAATTAAAAGCACTTAAAACATTTAAAACCATTTTGTCACTTGCTGCAGGGAGCTGCTCAGGCCTCTAAACTGCTCAGGCCTCTAAACTAGGCCAGGTGGAATTGGCAGGAGAGGGAGCAGTCCTCCCAGCACTCACCAGAGCAGCAGCAGCAGTCTCCTGCTGGTCTCCTATGCTGGTGATAGGCTGAACATAGATTCTTGGTACAGTGGTACCTCGGGTTAAGAACTTAATTTGTTCTGGAGGTCCATTCTTAACCTGCAACTGTTCTTAACCTGAGGTACCACTTTAGCTAATGGGGCCTCCCGCTGTCGCCGCACGATTTCTGTTCTCATCCTGAAGCATAGTTCTTAACCCGTGGGACTATTTCTGGGTTAGCGGAGTCTGTAACCTGAAGCGCCTGTAACCGCCCTGTGGAACGTTGTTTGAGGACTATCCCTGCCTCCAGGTCTGGTCCTGACCAGAAGGATACTGGATTCAGCAAGGGAAACCCACATTTCCTTCAGATGTGAAGGAAATAAGCAGCTATCTTATCTTTAAAAGACATCGGAAGGCAGCCCTGTTTAGGAAAGTTTTTAATATTTAATGCTGTATTGTTTTTACACTCGATTGGGAGCCGCCCAGAGTGGCTGGGAAAACTCAGCCAGATGGGCGGGGTATAAATAAAAAATTATTATTATTATTATTAACCTGAAGCATCTGTAACCCGAGGTACCACTGTATAACAGAGTACAGTGGTACCTTGGGTTACATACGCTTCAGATTACATACGCTTCAGGTTACAGACTCCGCTAACTCAGAAATAGTGCCTTGGGTTAAGAACTTTGCTTCAGGATGAGAACAGAAATCGTGCTCCGGCGGTGCGGCGGCAGCCGGAGCCTCCATTGGCTAAAGTGGTGCTTCAGGTTAAGAACAGCTTCAGGTTAAGAACGGACCTCCGGAATGAATTAAGTACTTAACCCGAGGTACCATTGTATGGTCAATAGCATTGGCTGAGAAACTAACATGCCAGGCAATAGCAGCAAAGGGCAAACACAATCCATATCCCTTTTATGACATATGGCAAATGTTTATTGAATGCATAAATTGTTCAGACTGTGGCAGAGTTCCCCAGAACTCTTCTGGAAACGTGGTGTGATCTCTTAGAGTAATGAAATGAAACTTCAAACACATGGCATGATAAAAAAGTCTGCAATTTTATCAGGACAAGTTTACTGTGGTAACAATTGTTTTCTCAAAATTTATCTTCTCTACCATGAAAATAAGTAAAAACAGTATTGAAAACAACAACATAAAAAAAGCTTCCTGGATCCAGATTGGTGTGTGAAATGAGACCAGAAGGAGCCTGGTCACGTTTCGCTGTGAACTACGGAGACTCAGCTCCTGCTCTTTCAGCCCTATTTGATTCGCCAGAAGTGGCTTAGTCATGCTGGCCACATGACCTGGAAGCTATACGCCGGCTCCCTCGGCCAGTAAAGCAAGATGACCGCGGCAACCCCAGAGTCAGCCACGACTGGACCTAATGGTCAGGGGTCCCTTTACCTTTACCCATCATGCTCCTTGATCCTAGCTCTCCTTCAGCCATTCTGATTTATACAGTGGTACCTCTGGTTAAGGGACGTGGGTGGCGCTGTGGGTTAAACCACAGTATAGGACTTGCTGATCAGAAGGCGGGGTGAGCCCTTGTTGCTTGGTCCTTGCTCCTGCCAACCTAGCAGTTCGAAAGCACCTCAAAGTGCAAGTAAATAAATAGGTACCGCTCTGGCTGGAAGGTAAACGGCGTTTCCGTGTGCTGCTCTGGTTCCCCAGAAGCGGCTTAGTCATGCTGGTCACATGACCCGGAAGCTGTACGCCGGCTCCCTCGGCCAATAAAGCGAGATGAGCGCCACAACCCCAGAGTCAGCCACGACTGGATCTAATGATCAGGGGTCCCTTTACTTTTACTTTTACCTTTACCTCTGGTTAAGTACTTAATTCGTTCTGGAGGTCCGTTCTTAACCTGAAACTGTTCTTAACCTGAGGTACCACTTTAGCTAATGGGGCCTCCTGCTGCCGCCACGCCACCGGAGCACAATTTCTGTTCTCATCCTGAAGCAATGTTCTTAACCCGAGGTACTATTTCTGGGTTAGTGGAGTCTCTAACCTGAAGCGTGTGTAACCCGAGGTACCACTGTATAATCATATAATTGAGGAGTTGTAAGGGACCCCAAGGGTCATCTAGTCCAACCCCCTTGCCATGCAGGAATCCCAGCAGTAACTTGCATTTGAGGGGAAGTCACTTTTCTGCTGGCTTTTGGCTAATTTTACTTTTCAGCTGACTTTCAGGAACATGTTTGTATTCATCAGAAATGTGCCAGATACACACAACTAGAAGCTGTGTCCCTTTAAAAAGGGGGGAGGATATTGAGCATGATTTGTAGTGATTTTTGATGGCATCTATTGTTAATTTGTCCCTCCCTCTACTAAAGCAGGGTAGGCAAACTGTGGCCCAGTCACCTTGGATGGTCCGGGAATCAGTGTGTTTTTACATGAGTAGAATGTGTCCTTTTATTTAAAATGCATCTCTGAGTTATTTGTGGGGCATAGGAATTTGTTCATTATTATTTTTTTCAAAATCTAGTCCAGCCCCCCACAAGGTCTGAGGGACAGTGGGCCAGCCCCCTGCTGAAAAAGTTAGCTGACCCCTGGTCTAGAGACTCCACTTAGCCTGTCCTGAGGAACTGAGTGGATGGAAACTAGAGAGGCTGTCAGAGTTGAATCAGAGCGTGGCGGACTTTGGGCTTTCAGATTTCAGCGATGCCCTGTGCAAGGCTAAAATTTGGCATAACCCCTCTCCTTCCCTCCCCAGCGTTGTTTCGGTGACCCTTGCAGGGCAGCAGCCTGGTTAAAAGGTAAAGGGGCCCCTGACCATTAGGTCCAGTCGTGACCGACTCTGGGGTTGCGGCGCTCATCTCGCTTTATTGGCCGAGGGAGCCGGCGTACAGCTTCCAGGTCATGTGGCCAGCAGGTCTAAGCCGCTTCTGGTGAACCAGAGCAGCACACGGAAACGCCATTTACCTTCCCGCTGGAGCGGTCCCTATTTATCTACTTGCCCTTTGACGTGCTTTCCAACTGCTAGGTTGGCAGGAGCAGGGACCAAGCAACGGGAGCTCACCCTGTTGTGGGGATTTGAACCGCCAACCTTCTGTTACTCAAGCCTAAAACCGCCTCTGATCTGAGACTGATCTGGAAGCTGACTAGTGTGCATCCGAGGGTGAAAGGCACATCATCCTTGCCATTGATTCTGTAAGAGCCAGGGAGGGCACTATTTCCACTTAGAACATTTGTTTGTTTAAATCTGTATATGGCCCTTCCTCCCCTCCAGATAGGAAATTCCTGCATCGCCAGGGGTTGGGCTAGATGACCCTCGGGTCCCTTCCAAGGCCGACGATCCCAGGAGTCTCTCTCGCAAACTTGCAGAGCCAGATGCCGTCTCCCGGGGAAAGGAGAAGGAGAGGATCGTTGGCTTTTAGGAACTCTCTCTCCTCCTAAGCGCAGACACTCCAAAGGCGCGCAGAGCCTCAGTGGCGCCCCGGGAGGCTGCACCCGGGGGTCAAATTTCCAGCCAAACCCTCTTCGTTGGGCTGGGCTGGGCGGGGTGGGGCTGCCTCCTGCCGGCGCCCATAAGAGTCCGGGCGCGCAGCCGGGCGCGGCAGGTGGGGCGCGATGGCTCTGCGCGAGTGGCTTCTCGGGGCGCTGCTTTCCGCGGGTCCCGGGGCTTGGATCGTGCTGCTCGGGGTGCTGCTGCTCTCGTGGCTGGCGCTGCGCCCTCTGCGGCTCTTGCGCGGCCCGGACGAGGTGGGCTACGCGGGCGAAGCCGGCTGCAGCCGCGCAGAGGCGGCCAGGCGAGCGCGCAGGAGCCGGCGGCTCGGGCAGCTGCCGCCTGTCTACCCCAACGGCTGGTTCCGCCTGCTGGATTCGGCGCAGCTGGCCCGCGGAGAGGTGCGCAAAGTGGCTGCGCTGGGTAAGTGGGGTTCCGGAGCATGGGCAGATTGCGGAGCGGGCAGCTTGGAAGTGGAGCCGTCTGCCGAGCGCGCACCGGAATCAGCTGCGCGTAAAAGCGCGCACCGGAATCCTGCTGCCAAGCGCGCGGCACAGTGCGCTGTTGGCAAGTCCTGCCAGGCGCCGGCCTCGGGATTCCACCCCCTGGAAAGGAATCCAGCGTATCTCCACGAGGGTCGGTCGTAGCTTTGTCTCTGAAAGGTGGCTCGCTAGCTGCGGGGAACTCTTTCTGCCTTCCTTTCCACGGAGAAGCTTTCCATGACGCGACAGTCTCTGCTGCGAGTCAGGAATGGCAGCTATAAAATCCCGGAATGATTGACAGGGAGGGGAGCCCGGGGTCTTCTAGTCCAGCCCCCTGCAAGACAGGAATCTCAGCTCAAGAATCTCTGACAACCTCTGTTGAAGAAAAAAAACAAAACACTCCAATTACACCCAGAAAAGACCGCAGTCAATAGAATCTTCTGAGACACCTGCGAGAATATATACTACTGGAAGCATATTTTGCAAAATGCTTTTTATTCCTGCATTGCAGGGGGTTGGGCTAGACGACACTCTGGGGTTGTTAGGCGTGACTTTGGTATATGTGTGTATGTGGCAACTTGAATGCTCGAAATCTTAAATTCTGCTCTCCATCTGCAAAGGTGGGCAACCAAGATGGCCAAAGGTCTGGAAACCAAGCCTTGGGAGGGAGCTGGGTCTGCAAAAAAGGAGACTGAGAGGAGACATGATAGCCATCTTCAAATATCTCAAGGGCTGTCCCATGGAAGATGGCGCAAGATTGTTTCCTCGTGCTCTGGAGGGTAGGACTCGAACCCATGGCTTCAAGTTACAAGGAAGAAGATTCCGACTAAACATCAGGAAGAGCTTTCTGATAGTAAGAGGTGTTCACCAGTGGAACCGTCTCCCTCTGGAGTTTGCAGACTCTCCTTCCTTGGAGGTTTTTAAGCAGAGGTTGGAGGGTCATCTGTCAGGGATGCTTTAGCTGAGTTTATTCCTGCATTACAGAGGGTTGGACTAGATGACCCTTGGTGTCCCTTCCAATTTTACATTTCCATGACTTTCCCTTTCTTCTCCTCCTCGCTGCCAGCACTTTGCAGATGTATTTGGCAGAAAAGACAAAATCAGTGGGTGCTTACAGGCAGCGGCTCAGAGGCCAACAATTTTTCTTAAAAAATGCACATCCCCATTCAGTTTTTGTCCTCTGAACTGCAGGTTTAGGTACCCTCCTGCAACTGAAACTGTTCCAAACAACACAGGAAACTTGAATCTGGTCTCAGGCTGTTTTAGGAACTTCTCATTGGCTCCCAGCCCAAAAGAGGTGTCCTGTTTGTTTTAAAGAGTTAGATTAGAGGGGGGAACTTAGAGGGCAGGAGGGTGATGGCAGCGGCTGGGAGGGGTGTCGCTGCCCCTGCCCTTCCCTGCTAAGCTTTGCCCAAACCCCATCGCCAGTACTAGAAATTCCCCAGGTGGAAGGCATGTTTTGCGACTGGCGCAGGTCCGATTGCGACCATGTGGAGACCTTTGGATGCTAGGCTGGCGGCTGACATCTCCATCTTGCTGGGCCCTCCAGCTTTCTTAAGCAGTGAAGCAGAAGAGCTTTATTCACCTTTTTCTCCAAAGAGTACATGGTTAGTAATAGTAATTTATTATTTGTACCCCGCCCACCTGGCTGGGTTTCCCCAGCCACTCTGGGCGGCTTCCAACAAATATTAAAAAATACATTAAAATGTCACACATTAAAAACTTCCCTGAACAGGGCTACCTTCAGACATCTTCTAAATGTCAGGTAGTTGTTTATGTCTTTGACATCTGGTGGGAGGGTGTTCCACAGGGTGGGTGCCACTACCGAAAAGTTTCTCTGCCTGCTTCCCTGTAACCTCACTTCTCACAGGGAGGGAACCGCCAGAAGGCCCTCGGCGCTGGACCTCAGTGTCCGGGCTGGACGATGGGGGTGGAGACGCTCCTTTAGGTATACTGGGCTGAGGCCCTTTAGGGCTTTAAAGGTCAGCACCAACACTTTGAATTGTGCTCGGAAACGTGCTGGGAGCCAATGTAGGTCTTTCAAGACCAGTGTTATGTGGTCTCGGCGGCCGCTCCCAGTCAGCCCCCCTCAATTAATACCTACAACGACCCTGCGAGGTAGGTGAAGAGGCTTCAACTGACTCCAAGGTCACTCAGTGAGTTTCAGGACGGAGTGGAGGAATTTGAACCCCAATCTCACAGTTCCTCATCCAACACTCTAACCACTACATCCCACTGCCTTCCTAGAGTCCTTCTGCTACAGGGCAGCTCTATAAATTCAGTAAGTAAATAAATATAGGCAAAGCAAAGTGACCTGAAATATTTTCCTTGAAGCATGAATTTGTTTTATTCCGATTGTTTTATTTGACATTTAAATGTGTTGTCAGCTGCTTGGAGATTTTTTCTTTAAAATATAAAACTGTATAGAAATGCAATGAATAACAATAATAATAATATATTTCACCTCAAAAAAAGGCACCTGGATATTCTGTTGTGGCTATCGCAACCTAGGTTTAAGGTGCTATTTAAGCTTATATATCTGAGTTTCCAACACTGGAAATGCATAATAATAATAATAATAATAATAATAATAATAATAAATTTCATTGGTAGGAAAAAATGATGCCTAGGTACTCTGTTGTGGCAACTGCAATCTAGGTTTAAGGTGCCATTTGGCGATCAGCTTCTAAGTCTGAATTTCTAGCACTGCCCATCGCCGAACTACCACATTTTTTTACAATTTGCGTACAGCAGTGTTCAAAACTCCCATTGTCCTAGGCGCATTTTGCGACAGGGACTTTCATTAGTGTGGGCAGTTTCTGAGCTCTGGGCGCAGTGCTGCGCCTAAGATTTCAGATTAAAACTGCAGAGTGGAAGGAAAGGGGGACCATTTTCTGCCTCCCCACTTCCAGCTACTCTCTGAAGATTGGAGAAGAGACCCTCTTAAGAAGATTTGGGGATGTGGGCAGGGGAAGGATTAGACCATGCGACAAATGAACATAATATTTTAGCTGCAGTTCATTCATTTTCAGCTTTGTATTAAAACTATATTTTATTGATGCGCCCATAACCTAGGTTTAACCTAGGCTTTCACACCTCAGTTTCTAACGCTGGCGTACAGGGTAACAAAATCTGGGTGCCCCTTGCCATCTCCTGGCACCCACTGCCAACTCCTTTCTCTGCCTGACGGAGCAGCCCACCCAGAAGCCGGGCAATTTTCTTTTCCCACGTCTTCTCTTCGTTGCTCCTTGTTTCAGAAACTCGCAATGCTGTTTGCCTACACAGAGCTCCGCGTCTTCTTCATCCCACTGGTGGCCTTGGAGATGTTGAGGAAACTCAAACCTTGCCAAGTCTCGTTGTCAGAGCTTCTTTCGTCGACTCACCCACGATTGCCGGCAATACACCCTTTAATCAAACCAGGAACAAAGCGAGCCGTTTGCCTTTTGTAGCGAGTTACTCAGCGAGTTGTTTGCAATAACTGGGTTGCGGTGTTGCCAGAAGGCTTTATGGCCTCAATATCCATTTGGCCATTCACAAAAGGGTGGGTGTGCGTTTTTTTGTGCCTACTGCAAAGCTGAGCAAGCCTTCAGAAAACAACTATTTGACTTTCCGAAGACATCTGAAGGCAGCCCTGTACAGGGAAGTTTTTCATGGTCGATGTTTTATAGTGTTTTAAATATTTTGTTGGGTGCCGCCCAGAGTGGCTAGGGCAACCCAGTCAGACGGGAAGCATATAAATAAGATAATAATAGTTCAAATTCTTTTTTTGCGAACCATCAGCTCTTAGAAGTGGTAATTTTTTTACCTATTTACTGATCACATATTCTACCTCGGTAAGTCCTAAAAAACAGACCCAGTAAGGTAGGCCTGATATTGCAGCCAGAAGTAGACATTGTTAGAAACTGAGATACATAAGCTAATTGGCAAATTCCTGCATTGCAGGGAGTTGGGCTAGATGACCTTTGGGTCCCTTCCAACTCTACAATAATTGCACCTTAAACCTGGCTTGTGATCCCCACCACAAAATGTGTAGGCACCTCTCTCCTTTTTTTGCAGTGACATTTCTTAATCTTATCATTCAGTTCATTTCTATCCTGCTTTATGTTTTAAAGGAAAAATTTCCAACACGTTCAAACATCCAATCGGACCATCAAGCTCCTTGGGAAATATTTCAGATCCTTCTTGAAGGGATATTTTGCTTTCCTCATCTTTATGGGCCAACATAATTTAAGAAGGCAGTGAGGTGTAGTGGCTGGAGCATGGGTAGGCAAACTAAGGCCCAGGGGCCGGATCTGGCCCAATCGCCTTCTAAATCTGGCCTGAGGATGGTCCGGGAATCAGCGTGTTTTTACATGAGTAGCATGTGTCCTTTTATTTAAAATGCACCTCTGGTTTATTTGAGGGGCATAGGAATTAGTTCATTATTTTTTTCCAAAATATAGTCCAGCCCCCCACAATGTCTGAGGGACAGTGGACCGGCCCCCTGCTGAAAAAGTTTGCTGACCCCTGGGCTAGAGGGTCTGACCAGAACCTGGGAGATCCGGGCTGAAGTCCCCACTCAGTCATGAAACTGACAGGGTGACGTTGGAGTGGGTCGCTGCCTTTTAGCCTGCCCCACAGGGCTGTTGTAGGGCTCAACATGTACCCTTGGAGAAAAAGGGTGGGATATAAATGTCATAAACAAGCTCTTTTGCTTATCTGCTTAAGAAAGCTGGAGGGAGCAGCCAGGTAAGATGTCAGTCGCTAACCTGGCACCCAGAAATCTCCACATGGGGATGTGTTCCTTAGGGAATCTCGCCTCAGCAAGGAAGATCAAGTTTCCCTCTACACCAGCTCTCGGTTGGATGTGTGCAAAAGCTTCTCATACAATCAAAAGGATAAGGACCCTGGAATAAGTCCAACCCCCTGCAAAGCACGAATCCTTTGCCTAAGCCTGGACTCGAACCCATGACCCTGGCATTCAGAGCCTCGTGTTCTACTGACAGAGCTATCTCAGTGTCCCACTTTCTTCCAGGCCTTTTCAAGCAAAGATGAGTTTGGCGGATCTCTGGCGCTCTCCGTATTGTATTCCGTGTGATTGCAGAATTGGAAGGGACTTCAAGGGTCCTCTAGTCTAACCCCCTTCAAGGCAGGAATGTGCCGCTGTCCTTTACAGGGATCGAACCTGCAACCTTGGCAGACTCTTTTTTTGCTGCCTTCTTCACGGAGCGGCCAGCTCCTGGCTTACTCACTCCAGCGGAGGCATTCCTAAAGGATTCAAAGCGAACCTTTCTCCAGTTCCCCAGCCAGTGCCGCAGAGCCGGAAAAACGAGTTGTGGAAGTGTGTGGCATGTCAAAGGCAAGACCTCGCTGCCTTGTTCGGCTTTGCAATCGAAGAATTGTTGATCTGAAAGGGGTCCCCAGGGTCATCTAGTCCAGCCCGATTGAGGCAGGACTTTTTTGCCCAATGAGGGGCTCGAACCCATGACTGAGAAGAGCCCATCGCAATAAGGAAGAAAGCGTGGGCATTTAGGGGCTGCGGCCGAAAGCAGATTCAAGTCAGCTTCATTAAGGTGTCACCCAGAAATGTTGACTTGCCTCCAAATCGATGTTCTAGTTGTGCGCTGGCTTGGGGACATGGTGTGCCGCCCCACCAATGGGGTAAACCAGGGTGACATGCTGACACCCCAGCAGCCAACCTTGTCTGATGACGGACTCCAAACGGATGCCAAGGTTTTGTCCTCGTTTTGTGCCAGACTCAGCAATCGACACTTGAACTGGGAGCTAATGTGAAAGAAAGGGTGAGAGTTTATCTAAGGCCGCAGGTGGGATGTGGGTTAAACCAAAGAGCCTAGGACTTGCCAATCAGGTCGGCGGTTCGAATCCCCGCGACGGGGTGAGCTCCCATTGCTCAGTCCCTGCTCCTGCCAACCTAGCAGTTCAAAAGCACGTCAAAGTGCAAGTAGATAAATAGGTACCACTCTGGCGGGAAGGTAAACGGCGTTTCTGTGCGCTGCTCTGGTTCGCCAGAAGCGGCTTAGTCCTGCTGGCCACATGACCCAGAAGCTGTATGGCGGCTCCCTCGGCCAGTAAAGCGAGATGAGCGCCGCAACCCCAGAGTCGGCCACTACTGGACCTGATGGTCAGGGGTCCCTTTACCCTTTACCTTTAAGGCCGCAGGTTCGATCCCTGTAAAGGATAGCTGCATCTTCCTGCATTGCAGGGGGTGGGCTGGATGACCCTCAGATCCCTTCCAAGCCTGCTGTTTTCATAGAACCCTAGAATGGTCAAGATGGAAGGGACCTCGCCGGTCATCTAGTCTAACCCCTGTGACACAGGACTCCCCTCCCCGGTGGGTCTCGAACCCACAACCCGGAGATTAAAAGTCTCCCCCCAAGTCCAAGCGAATCCAAGCTTCCGGGCAGGAGGTTTCCATTGCTTGGTGCAGGCTTCAGAAGGCAACATCCAGCCCGCAAGGCCCACAGCAAAGAGGCTTCACCCTTTGCATTTCTGACCCACGTGGGTTCGAGTCCCTTGTTGGGCTGAAGATTCCTGCATTGGGCTAGACCAGGCATAGGCAAACTCTGGCCCTCCAGATGTTTTGGAACTACAATTCCCATCATCCCTAGCTAACAAGGCCAATGGTCAGGGATGATAGGATCTGTAGTCTCAAAACATCTGGAGGGCCGGGGTTGGGCTAGATGACCCGCAGGGTCCCTTCCAACTCGACAGCTCTAGGACTCTCGAAAAGCAGCCGCCTTTTGCATCAAGCATTTCTGCTTTGGACTGAGTGAGATGTTAAAAAAAAGAAAGAAAACGGGGTGATCTGTCCTGGAAGAACTCTGGGAAAAAGGTCGCTGGGGTGACCCCGGCCTTGTTGCTGCTTGCGAAGGGGACACCACCACAGGCGGGACTTTGGACCACCTCAAAACATCAGTCCGCCACTGCCCAGACTGAGTTTCCGGCTGCCCCACCCCAGCGGAGGCATTCTCAACGGCTTTTGCTTGACCCTTCCTCCAGTTCCTCACTCCGTTCGGCAGAGCCAGAAAAGCAGGTTGGCAAAGTGAGCAGCGTGCCAAAGGCAGACCGCCTCCCCCTCCGCCCTGCTCAGCCTTGGAACCGTCAAGTTGGAAGGGACCCCAGGGTCATCTAGACCAACCCCTGGCAAGACAGGTATCTTCTGCCCAACGCGGGACTCGAACCCACAACCCTGAGATTCAGAAACTCCTGCTCTTCCGACTGAGCTATTTCATAGAATTCTATAATTATCAAGTTGGGAGCGACCTCCAGAGTCATCTAGTCTAACCCCCTGCAAGGCAAGAATCTTCTGCCCCATATGGGACCCGATTATTCTTTCTTCTGTCTTTCCCAGGAACATATTCACGTCCGGAGAGCTTCCTAACCGGATCATTTCTGAGAGAATTTAAGCGCTCTTTGGCAGAGCGGCCACCTTACCATGTTGCTCCGCCTTGGCAGTTTCAGCGCTGCTGACTCTCAAAACTTTGGGATTGTCAGAAAAGACACCACCAAAAATGAATCAATTTGAGTCGGACTACTCCAGGGGTCAGTTAGACCCAGGTTGTTTTTTAAAGCAATGTGGGTTTGAGTCCCACATTGGGCAAAAGATTCCTGGCTTGCAGGGGGTTGGACTAGATGACCTTCAGGATCCCCTCAACTCGAAAATTCTGGGGTTCTGTGAGCAAGATGTGTCAGGAGGTCTGTGCAGCGGGAAAAGAGGCTGTCCCTGGGTGCTGATAAGCCCTTCTGGCTCCTTTGCTTGCCCCCCATGGATGAGGCTGGGCCGAGGGCAGTGGCTTCAGATGGAAAAACGTCCCCCGGCTGACCTTGAGAAATGCGTTTCCTGCAGTCCAGTTTAGCAGGCCCTTCTGCTCCCAGCCAGATCTTCACACTGCTTGTAAATCCAGCACAAGCTCCGTGTCCCTATTTCCCAGGGACGTCCCTGATTTAGAGAAGCCATCCTGGTTTCTAATTTGATCCCGGAATGTCCTGCTTTTCCTTCGGACGTCCCTATTTTCACTGGAAAAATGTTGGACGGTACGGAGTTATCCGACGCCCAAATCATTTGAAGGTACAGTCATACCTTGGTTTTCAAACAGCTTAATTCTTGAACGTTTTGGTTCCTGAATGCCGCAAACCCGGAAGTGACTGTTCCGGTTTGCGAACTATTTTTGGAAGCCAAACGTCCGACAGGGCTTCCATTGCTTCCGATTGGCCTGCAGGAGCTTCCTGCAGCCAATCAGAAGCTGCGCTTTGGTTTCTGAACGTTTTGGAAGTCGAACAGACTTCCAGCACAGATTCCGTTCGACTTCCAAGGTACGACTGTATGGGGAAGTTTTTAAAATGCTTAATGTTTTATTATGTCTTTATATATGTTGGAAGCTGCCCAGAGTGCTGGGGCAACCCAGTAAGATATGTGGTGTATTAATACTTAGTAAAATTACCACGTCATTGGAGAAACGTTGGAGGGTATGAGATATATAACAGTGGTTTTCAACCAGTTTGCCGTGGCACCCTGGGGTGCCTTGAAGGATGGTAAGGGGTGCTGTGGGCAACCCTGGCCTCTGTCCCCTTTTCCTTCCCTCCCTCCTCTGATGCCCTCTCGCGTCTCGGCCTCCCAAAGGCTTGCACAACTGTTTGTTGCAGCGGCCCTGGCTGTAAGCTCCGCAGGCGAATGGTGCCTCTGGGGCTGGCCAGGGGGTGCAGGGTGCCAGGAACTGAGGCGGCCTCGGAGTAAGCAAGCAAGTGGGTGAGGGAGCCCAGCCAGCCAGTCAGTCCACCAGCCCCTGCTTTGGGGAATGGACAGGCAAGTGGGAGGCCGGGCAGGCAGGCTCCGTGCTGGCCTTCCTTGTGCCTGCTGTGTACAATGCCTGCCTGGCAGCTGAGTGCCCAGTGCCGAAGAAGAGCCTTTGTGCCCTGCAGGCCTGGCAATGCCCGCTGCTGCCACCCAAGGTGCCGGCCTCACATTCTCCTTTGGCCAGTCTCTGTTGGGCTACTAAGGCTGGGGGCACCCTCTTTCCAGGCTCCTGTGGGGCAGTGTGAGGAGGCACCTCTCTCTGGGGCAGGGGGGCAGCTCAGAGACCGAGGGCGGCAGCAGCGGCTGCCAAGGAGAGGGGAGGGGAGAGGAGGCTGAGGGAACACTCCACAAGGGAGGGTGTTCGAAAAGGGGTGAGGGGCTGCCGGCTCTGCAACCAAGGGGGGGGGATATAACTGGGCTCCTGAGCCCCACAGGGAGCCGCAGAAAGAATGTAGTTGCTCAAGGGAGCTGTGGACTCAAAAATAATTTCGGAGACACCGTTGAGGCCAAAGAAGAAGGAGGAGGACTCAGAAAGGTTGAAAACCTCTGGCACGTAATCATTGAGTTGGAAGGGACCCTGAGGGATGCCAACTTGAATAAAATATTGGGGGGCGCAGGACCACATCATTGATCACATGACGCAGTGCACACACATAATATAATAATAATCATCATTTATTATTAATACCCCGCCCATCTGGCTGGGTTTCCCCAGCCACTCTGGGCGGCTTTCAACAAAATATTAAAATACAATAATGCATCAAACATTAAAAGCTTCCCTGAACAGGGCTGCCTTCAGATGTCTTCTAAATGTCTGGTAGTTGTTTATCTCTTTGACATCTGGTGGGAGGGCGTTCCACAGGGAAGGTGCCACTGCCGAGAAGGCCCTCTGCCTGGTTCCCTGTAACTTGGCTTCTCGCAGGGAGGGAACCGCCAGAAGGCCCTTGGCGTTGGACCTCAGTATCCGGGCAGAACAATGGGGGTGGAGACGCTCCTTCAGGTATACTGGACCAAAGCCGTTTAGGGCTTTAAAGGTCAGCACCAACACTTTGAATTGTGCTCGGAAACGTGCACAAACACCGTTTGAATGGCAGTGCTCATCAACTTGGGGGGGGCCCTAAAATATTTGATTTTGGGGGCCAAAGCATAGTTGGCTCCTATGTTGAGGGTCATCTAGTCTAAGCCCTGCTAGGGAGGAAGAGGCAGCTGCCCAATATGGGGATCAATCCTGCAACCTTGGTGTTGTCAACAATCACACTCTAACCAACTGAGCTCTCCAGCATTTTAGAAGCCCAGAATTGTTAAGGGACCCCAGGGCATCATCTAGTCCCACCCCCTGCAATGCACAACAGATGGTGCTCTGGGGAAGTTTTACTAATTTTACAATTAAATTTACAATACCGGATTATTATTATTATTTTTAAAGCTGAATTCTGCAGCTCGTACCCAAAGTCATTTCTGCGCTCTGGAGAAGCTATGCGTCTCTGCATGACTGTGGGTTCCCGAGGCATCGGGCGGCTACTCATGCTGTTTTTGAGCCGTTTGATTGGATTTTTATGCCGTATGAAGCATAGCAGTAGCAGACCGTTAGAACTGTGGAGTTAGAAGGGACCTAAGGGATCTGCAGGAATGCGGGTGGCGCTGTGGGTTAAACCACAGAGCCTAGGACTTGCCGATCAGAAGGTCGGCGGTTCGAATTCCCGCGACGGGGTGAGCTCCCGTTGCTTGGTCCCTGCTCCTGCCAACCTGGCAGTTCGAAAGCACATCAAAGTGCAAGTAGGTAAATAGGTACCACTCCGGCGGGAAGGTAAACGGCATTTCCGTGCGCTGCTCTGGTTCGCTAGAAGCGGCTTAGTCATGCTGGCCACATGACCCGGAAGCTGTACGCCGGCTCCCTCGGCCAATAAAGCGAGATGAGCGCTGCAACCCCAGAGTCGGTCACGACTGGACCTAGTGGTCAGGGGTCCCTTTACCCTTTACCTTTAAGGGTCATCTAGCCCACCCCCGCAGTGCAGGAATCTTTTGCCCAACATGGGCCTTGAATTCACAACCCTGAGATTAAGAGCCTTATGCTCAGCTGGTGAGAGTGTGTTTCTGATAACGCCAAGGTTGCAGGTTTGATCCCCGTATGGGACAGCTGCATATTCCCACATTGCAGGGTTGGGGTCCCTTCCAAGCATTCCATGAGTCTATATCTAGCCATGGAGCATAGCAGACTTTGCTTTTCATTCCCTGCTTCTCCGCTGTGTGAACAGGATGGGCTCCGTTTGACCCCACCCAGACTCACTCCTCTTCTCAGAGCTGGATAAAACTTGCAGACGTCGGTTCAAGTCCTACCCTCCAGAGCAGGAGAAAACAAGCTGCCTTTTGCTCTAGGGAATATTCTCCAACCGTGAAGCTGTGTCTTATCATACGCCTGGTGTCACACAAGCAAAGTGGATGTGAGATTTTTCCACGCCTCATTTTTGCAACAACCTCTCTTTTCTTTAAATCGGGCATTTGCCCAAATTACGGCTTTAGGCTGAAATCCTGTTTTCTTCATTCCGGGACTCTTCTCCTTAAGTCACCCCTTTCAAACAGCTTTCCTTTCCCACCATAGAGCTGGAAGGGACCTCAAGGGTCATCTAGTCCAACCCCCTGCAATTCAGGAAACTCAATTAGGCATCCATGACAGCTGGCCATCCATCCTCTGCTTAGAAACCTCCAAGGAAGGAGAGAGGTCACTCTGCTCTTCCTGGCAGAAAACTCTTCCTGATGTTTAGCCAGAATCTCCTTCCTTGCAACTTGAATCAATTTGTTTGGGTCCTACCCTCCAGAGCAGGAGAAAACAAGCTTGTTCCATCTTCCATGTGACAGCCCTTGAGGTATTTGAAGATGCCGATCTTATCTCCTCTTTTTGAGGATAAACTTACCCAGCTCCCTCCTAAGGCTTGGTTTCCAGACCCTCCATCATCTTGGTCGCCCTCCTCTGCACATCTTCCAGCTTGTCAACGTCCTTCTTAAATTGTGGTGCCCAGAACTGGACACAGTATTCCAGGTTTGGTCTGACGAAGGCAGAATAGAGTGGGATTATGACTTCCCTGGATCTGGACACTAGACTTCTGTGGATGCAGCCTAGAAAAGCGTTAGTTTGTTGTTGTTGTTTTGCTGCCGCATCACACTGTTGACTCATGATAAGCTTGTGGTTCACTGAGGCCCATAGACCCCTTTCACATGAGCCACCAAAACAGAGGACAGAGCTGAGTGCAACTTCAGCAACAAAGAGTGAACATGAACATGAAATTTATTACGGTCAGAGACCAGCTTGAGAAACACAAATGGAACTACTGTCCCAAACATTTAAAACAATATACAACAATGGTTTAAAAGGGTGATAGGCATATAAACACATAAAAACTTTAAAATAGACTGCCTTAGAGAAATGACCCAAAGTCACCCGTGAATCCGGGTTTGGGAATTTTCTTAACAAACTAGATTGAATCGGGGGATGGTCTGCGCCTACAGATCTGTACACAGAATCTGGCGACCATCCGGGTCGTCTTATGATCTTTGCCTAGCAAGAGAAGATCAAATTTTTGCTTTACCGGGAGGTCAGCAAGCCTCACCAGCAGGAGGTCAGTGGTTTCTCTACGTAAAAGGGACTTCTAAAAAATATGTGTTCAGGGCTTCCTATATCCCCCAATGGACAGGCGCAAATTCTCTGGTCATATGGGACTTTTTAAAAGGATCCTTCCAAGACTGGCGAGGGCAGAGCCGAGCTTCTGGCAAGTGTGAAAGCCCTTCTTGCATTTTTGGATACAAGAAAAAAGAGATATGTTGCTGGTGATTTCTACAATTTTGTAGTCGGAGCACCTTAAGCAGCCCTATTGTCTCTTGGTGTCTATAATTCTTTGCCTAACCATTGCTTTTGACGAAGAGTGAAGAAATCATTCTCACTTCTTGGGGGCTTTTAAGCAGAGGTTGGATGGCATCCAGATGGAATTTTTGAAATGTCTGGGAAAACCTGGGAACACGACAGCCCAATTTTCCTATTAAATTGGTAAAAATGTCATTTTTACCCCCTCCCCAACTTTGCCCAACTTTTGTGTCTGGATTTTCACTTTATGAAATATGGCAACTTTACATCTAGGGATTCTCTTTGGGCTTCCCCCACCCGGCTGAGAATCAAATCCTTTGTCCTAGCTGAGAGAAGAGCCAGCCTTAGCTCCCTGGGCCTCATCCTGCCTTCTTTCTTTGCCTCCGGCAGGGGAGCAGTTTGCCGTCTTCCGGAACTCGGAGGGGAAAGTTTGTGTGGTGGATGCCTATTGCCCTCACCTGGGCGCTAACCTGGGTGTTGGAGGCCAGGTGGTGGGCAGCTGCATTGAGTGCCCGTTCCACGGCTGGCAGTTCGACGGAGAGAGCGGCAAGTGTGTCAGGATCCCGTACGCCGAGAAAGGTGAGACGCCTTTGCCCATCTCATTGAACCCTGAACGTGTTTCGCACCTGGGGCCTGGAAGACAGGGGGCGGCTCAGCACTTTGGGGGCCAAGGGGGGCAGCCCTCACAGGGGTGGCGCAAGGCCTTGTGGGCACAGACAAAGCAGAAATCCCTGAAGATAAGCAAGGTAAAGGTAAAGGGACCCCTGACCATCAGGTCCAGTAGTGACCGACTCTGGGGTTGTGGCGCTCATCTCGCTTTATTGGCCGAGGGAGCCGGCGTACAGCTTCCGGGTCATGTGGCCAGCATGACTAAGCCGCTTCTGGCGAACCAGAGCAGTGCACGGAAATGCCGTTTACCTTCCCGCCAGAACGGTACCTATTTATCTACTTGCACTTTGACGTGCTTTAGAACTGCTAGGTTGGCAGGAGCTGGGACCGAGCAACGGGAGCTCACCCTGTCACGGGGATTTGAACCACCGACCTTCTGATCGGCAAGTCCTAGGCTCTGTGGTTTAACCCACAGCGCCACCCGCGTTCCTGAAGATAAGCAAAGGTTCTGTTAAAACCAGGAATGGGAGGCAATTAAATGACTCCCCCAAAATCCCAAGTCGCCACCAGAGCCTCAAACTAAGGCCAGGACAATGACCTTTGACACAGGCACCATATTACACAACAGCAAAGAGGCTCAGAAAAGCAGTCTATAAAATTGTGGCAATAAGCAGATAACATGAATTGTACTGTTTCCCCTGAGTATCCAACATAGAATCAAATAATCGCCCAAATTCAGTGGTTTGATGGATTTCCTTGGTTCCTATGGCTAATGACTCCTCTGGAAGAGGGGAATCTAGGGCTCCCCCTGCTTCCATAATCCCTTAAGCATAAGGTCACACACTCCTTGCCCTTCCATAAGGTGGGAATGTAGCCTCACAATAGGAGGCAGGAGGCGATCAAGGGCAGCCTAAACCCCAGACAGAAATCCTTCGGGATGGTGGATCGAACCCTGATACTTTCAGAGAAGAATTGTGGGGAAAGCCTTGCAGCTAGGGCAATGTGTAAACACTTTTATTGTTCTTGGGAAGGAGGCAGGGGCGAAGGAAGGGGGTGCGGGGGGTACGGGCTGCCCCGGGTGTCACCACTGAGGGGGGTGACAAAATGCCGGTCGGCACTCACCGTGGGGCCTGCTGCGTGCCTGAGCCACTGCACGCAGGCTCTGTGCTGCCCAAATGTTCCACCCGCTGCCTCCCCCCAGGTGTAGGGCGGCTGAATGGGAGGAGGCAGGCAGTGGCATCGCAAGGTGGGGGGGTGGTGCACCCCGGGTTCCATGTCTGGGAGGGTGACAAGGCGGTACTCTGTGGGGTGCTTGCCCTGCTGCCCTGGCCCATGCGCAGCGGTGCGAGCAGAGCCTTGCAGAGCCAGGCAGAGGCCCAGCCAGGTAGATAATCTGGCCCTCCTTTTTTTTCTTTACCCTGGGGATAACTGAAGCCTTATAAATAAGTAAGTATATTTTCACAAAAGTTATGGTGACAAATAATTTTATTTCAAGGCTTGAACCATATCTGCATATAAAGACAAAATGGAAAATATAGATGAATATGCTAACCAAGGCCCCCTTTGGAATCGGAGGCCCGGGCCAAGTGGCCCATATGGCCCCCCCTCGGTCTGGGCCTGGGCGCAAGCCGCCATCGTGCCACCACCGCCGCATGTGGAGGATCCTCCGTTCACGTCTGCAGCCACAAGCAGAGGATCTCACCAACGTCCGTACGGCTCTTAGGCGGCGCCGGTAGCAAACGGCTATGTACAACGCATGCGCGGTGTCGCACGCATGTGCTGTGCGTAGCGACACCGCACATGGGGTGTACATAGAGGTTTGCCACCGGCACTGCTGGAGCGCTGTACGGATGGCGGTGGGATCCCTCTGCAGCCAGCAAGAGCCACTTACGGCGAGCGGGGAGCCCCCCTCCCAGCCTCCCTCCCTGCCCGCCTTGCCGTAAGCGGCTCCCGCTTTGCCGCTTTATAGCGAGGGAGGGGGGCAGAAGGGAGCCGTGGCTCCTGAGAGGACGCAGCTTTGCCAGCGCCCCGGCAAGGCGGCATAGCTCCTCCCCTTCCCCTGACGGCTTTGGGTACTTGGGAGTCGCGGGCGTGGGGGCGCAGAGGCATAGGAAGGGGCGTGGACATTTGGCCCCAACTCCCAAGCCTACCCCAAGCTGTGATGTGGGGAGGGGTGACAAAAAAAATTCCGCACCAGGTACCACCTGGGCTTGCTATGCCTCTAGAAGCAGGCAGACTCCAGAGGCCCCACGGTGTGCCCTGCCCCTATGGAAGCAGGTACTTAAAAGGTGTCAGGAACGAGGATGATGAACAAGGGTGGGCGGTGGTCTTATGTTTCTACACACCAAACACTTCTTTTCTTTTCTTTTTTTGAATTTGCATTTTTTTTATTTATTAACAGTCTTATATTACATCGGTAAACGTTGTCATATTACATTACAGGACTTACTATAATATAATTTCCAACATGTATACATAAATTATATACGAATTTTATATACCTAGAAGGAAAATGAAACAAACAAACAACCAAGAACAAAGAGAAAAAACAAAAACAAATTTCCCCCCCAAAATCATATACATACCAACACAATAGACTCCCTGTCTTTCCCATCGTATATTCCTTTTTTACAAATGAATGTACTCTTATTATTGTATATTTCTTTACATATTTCTAATACATATATTTATAATACATATTTCTAATATATATATTTCTAATACATTTCTAATACATATTATGTATATTTCTAATACATTTCTAATACATATTATGTATATTTCTAATACATTCCTATATCAATATGTGCTTTTAGTCTTATTTCTCAACTCACTCCAACGTCAATCAAATGCTAGCACAGATAGCGAACCTTTACTGTATTTTTGAACATATGTTTTATATCTATCCCACTTTCCCATTAATTTTTGTTTTGAATTGCCTCTCGGGGTATTTGTTAACTGCGCCATTTCAGCAAATTCTTGTAGCTTGTCACGCCAGTCTGTTATTGTCGGGGCTTCTTGTTCCTTCCAAACACACCAGAGACTCCTACGGACATATCTGTGATGTCTCGATGATGCTGTTGATAAATGTGTTATGGGAAATGGAGAGAGGTCTTAAAAGCTCACGCAACCCTATGGTCAGAGTTCCTGCTCTTGGTGTGTTTGAACCTTCCTGCAACAATTAAAGATCAGGTTTACTGGCCGCCATTTTGATTCTTTAACTTGGCTGGAGACTCCTCCTTTTGCTGACCTAAGGGACCTGCAGGGAGTGGCACCCCGATGGGCTGGACCATAGCTGTCAACTTTTCCCTTTTCTTGCGAGGAATCCTATTTGGAATAAGGGAATTTCCCTTAAAAAAAGGGAAACGTTGACAGCTATGGGCTGGACAATGGAGTAATCCGCACCCCAGGATTTTTCCTTATCAGTTCGCAAGCACACCGGAAGCGCTGAACATGGATGTATAGCTCGGTTCATCTGAGCTCTCTGGCCTTCATCTGAATCAGGAGACGCGGGTCCTCCTGGGCTGCCTCTGACGCCCGCTCCCTCTCCCCGCAGTGCCCGAATTCGCCAAGATCAAGGTGTGGCCATCGTGCGAGGTCAGCGACATGGTCCTGGTCTGGTACCACTGCGACGGCATCGACCCGACGTGGCGAGTCCCTGACCGCGAGGAGTTCCTGCCGCGCCCGTGCCCCTTCCGCGGCCTGACCGAGCACTTTGTCAACGTGCACATTGAGGTGCTTGCGGGGGCACAGCCAGGCAGGGCGCTGTGACGAGTCGGGGGTCCCGAGGGAGGGTGGTGGGCAGGCGTCATGGCATGATCTGATGGTGGCACTTGGTAAGGCTCGGTGGCAGGATTTGTGCGGGGTTGGAGAGTGTGTGGAGAGGAAGCCCACGCAGAGCAGAATAATAATAATAATAATAATAATAATAATAATAATAATATCTTTAAACCCTCCCCAGCCACTCTGGGCAGCTCCCAACAAAATATTAAAAACACGATAAAACTTCAAACATTAAAAACTTTCCTAAACAGGGCTGCCTTCAGATGTCTTCTAAAAGTCAGGTAGTTGTTTATTTCCCTGACATCGGGTGCCACCACCGAGAAGGCCCTCTGCCTGGTTCTCTGTACCCTCACTTCTCGCTGTGAGGGAACTGCCAAAAGGCCCTTGGCGCTGGACCTCAGTGTCCAGGCTGAGTGATGGGGGTGGAGACGCTCCTTCAGGGATACTGGGCTGTGGCTGTTAATGTTAAAAACATATGAAGGCAACTGTCTACTTTTGGAAAGGCACGCTCAAAATTGTCTTCTACAATTATGTGATAAAGTCCAGCAGGACTAAATTTTGGTTTTTTTACCTTTATTGTTGCACTGAACTGGCAATGGGAGATTTCCTTGAAGCTTGAAGTTATTTTATTCTGGACCGTTGTATTTGATTCCTTAATGGGTTGTCAACAGCCTGGAGATTTTTTCCTTTAAAATATAAAGTGCTATAGAAATGAAATTGTTATTATTGTTATTATTTATAATAATATCATTGGTGGAAAATATCTAATAATAATAATAATAATAATAATAATAATAATAATAAATTTCATTGGTAAAAAAAGGAGGGGGGACTGTTTAAGACCAAGCCAGCCCCTTGGAAGGGTCTCTGGAGGTTGTGGAGTCTCCTTCTTTGTTTTGAAGCAGAGGTTGAATGCCCATCTTGGATGCCATCCAGTTTTTGAACAGGGAAGGGCGGGGTATAAATAAATATTAATAATTATTATTATTATTATTATTATTATTATTATTATTATTTGATGTTTGAGTGGGGGTTGGGCTGGATGACCTTTGGGGGCCCCTTTCCAACTAGCAGAGGCTCTTCAGAGTTCCAGGCAGCTCTGTCCTTTCTCCATGCCAGGAGATCCCAGAGAACGGAGCGGATACGGCCCACCTCTCCTTCCTCCACCGCCACGCTTTCCTGAGTGGAGCTGACCTGCGCTACATGGACTCCCCTTTCTGGACTTTCTTCCGGCACCACTGGCAGGTAAAGGAGGCTCTCCCAGCGGGACCCAGCGTTTGAAGCACAAATATCAGATGACCTTTGGGGGACCATTCCCACTCGACAACTCTCTGATTCTATGAAAGGAGGGTTGGGGTTACCTTGGCCAAATTGAACGCCAAAGTCAATAATTTCTAGCTCGGTTGCTAGTGGAAGAAAATGAGACTCCAAAACTCTGGGTGGTGGGTTCAAGCTCCATGCTGGGCCAATGTTTCCTGCTTTGAGCGAGGTTGGGCTGGATGACCCTTGCAGGTCCCACCCAATAGCTCAGTCGGAAGAGCATGAGACTCTGTATCTCAGGGTCAAGATTCCTGTCTCGCAGGGGGTTGGGCCAGATCACTCTCCCAACTCGGCAATTCTATGACTCTACCATTTTTCTACCGCAGGCAGATTGGCACCCTGATCCGGAGCCCAATGCGCACTGTTCCCGCTTGCAGCTGAAGCACAGCATCACTCTCTTCGGAAAGCACTTCAGCTTCATGGACCTGAGAGTTTCCGCCTGGCAGGTACAGTCTGTGGCGAGGAGAGGCTGTAAGAGGATGGTTTGTAGACTGTGTTCTTTCTCGACTTTTTCTAGGGTCATCTGGTTCAGCCCCACCCCCTGCATGGCAGGAATCTTTGGCCCAAGGTGGGATTTGAACCCATGACCCAGAAATTAAGTATCCTAGAACCATAGGATTGTAGAGCTGGAGGGGATCCCAGGGACATCTAGCCCAACCTGAATCCCAGCTATTACATTCCAGAACGGAGATGAAGACCCAGAACAAAATTGGGTCATAGCTTTTAAACACATTGCCCGACCCCTTAGCCAAAGACCACCTGAAAGCATCATACAAGCATCACAGAAAGAGGCGGAGAAATGTGAGTGTGTGGCTTGTCTCTTGTCATGGATTTGTGGAGTGGTCTTCTATTCCAACCCCCAGCAAGGCAGCTGTCCCATACAGGGATCGAAACTGCAACCGTGGCGTTCTCAGCATCATGTTGCGTGCCAAGACCCCGCAACCACCCCATCGTTGATGAATAAGACACAAGGACACAGATATTAGGTTAATGTTATTGGGCAAATTTAGGCCACAACTTTATTGGTTACAGAAGGTGAGCGGTATTGGCTTAGGCATTGGAACTGACCTGACTATATGACAGCATCTTAAAAAGCAGAGACATCACCTTGTCAACAAAGGTCCGTATAGTTAAAGCCATGGTTTTCCCAGTAGTGATGTATGGAAGTGAGAGCTGGACCATAAAGAAGGCTGATCGCCGAACAATTGATGCTTTTGAATTATGGTGCTGGAGGAGACTCTTGAGAGTCCCATGGACTGCAAGAAGATCAAACCTATCCATTCTGAAGGAAATCAGCCCTGAGTGCTTACTGGAAGGACAGATCCTGAAGCTGAGGCTCCAATACTTTGGCCACCTCATGAGAAGAGAAGACTCCCTGGAAAAGACCCTGATGTTGGAAAAGATGGAGGGCACACGGAGAAGGGGACGGCAGAGGACGAGATGGTTGGACAGTGTCCTCGAAGCTACCAGCATGAGTCTGACCAAACTGCGGGAGGCAGTGGAAGACTGAAGTGCCTGGCGTGCTCTGGTCCATGGGGTCACGAAGAGTCGGACACGACTAAACGACAATCACATTTTTTTCGAGTATTAAATTCTCTTATCTATTTCACATTGTAGGAGTTACTTCAGTCCTGCTAGTGATTTTAGTTTTTACAACTGTCTTTTAAATACTCAGTAAATTTACTCCAATTGTCCTGGAATCTCTGGTCGTCCTGGTTCCAGATCCTTCCTGTCAATTTGGCCAATTCCGCGTAGTCTGTCATTTTCGACTGCCACTCCCCAATGGTAGGAACCTCTTGTGATTTCCTGTTTTGAGCCAGCAAAGTCCTTGCAGCGGCTGTGGCATACATGAATAGTCTTTGGTCCTTTATCTTAATCTCCCTTCCCATCAGACCAAGCAAAAAAGCCTCTGGTCTTTTGGGGAAGGCATATTTTAATATTTTCTTTAGTTCATTATAGATTGGCTCCCAGAATTTCTTTATCACAAGTCCACCACATATGATAAGCTTGACAGTCCGTGAGGTTGCCTCCAAGCTGGTTGACTGTCTCTCTCTCGGCCCCTGCAGGTGGGGCCCAGTTTGGTCTTCCTTGTCCTTCGGTTTCCCCTCCTGGGCCAAGGAATCATCGTCCAAAGCGTCACCCCCGTGCAGCCCCTCATGCAGCAGGTCATCCACCGAATATACTTCCAGAAGAACGTTCCCGCCTTCATCCCCAAGATGGTCCTCCGGGCAGAGTGCAGCCAGGTAGGGAGTGCCAGCAGGGGGCACCCAAGCAGTGGGTGGGGGGAGAACGAGACCTTCCCGTGGGCTGGAAAGCCAGCCAGACCTTCGCCCCTGACAAAGGGGGCAGGCAACATCAGAAACTCAGGGAAGAGAATCGCCAAATGGCACCTTCAACCTGGGTGATGGTCGGCCCTGAAGAATGTTGAGGCGCAATTTGTTTTTGCAGTGAAATTTATACTAACAATAATCTCAGATATATAAGCGAATTGCCAAATGCCACCTTAAGCATAGGTAACAGTGGCCAGCATGGAACGTCTAGGTGCCTTTTAAAATAATTGATTATTGTTAGTATTACAGTCAAACCTCGGTTGTTGAATGTGCAGTGGTACCTCAGGTTACAGACACTTCAGGTTACAGACTCCGCTAACCCAGAAATAGTACCTCGGGTTAAGAACTTTGCTTCAGGATGAGAACAGAAATTGTGCGGCAGCAGCAGGAGGCCCCATTAGCTAAAGTGGTACCTCAGGTTAAGAACAGTTTCAGGTTAAGAACAGACCTCCAGAACGAATTAAGTTCTTATCCCGAGGTACCACTGTACAGTCAAACCTTGGTTGTCGAATGTAATCCATTCCGGAAGACTGTTCGACTTCTGAACGACAACCGAGGATCAAAAGGCGGTCGGCAAAGTCAGTGGAGAAAAAAAGGGGAAAAAACCCTGGAGTTTGAAAATCGTTCGAAAACCAGAGCAGTTACTTCTGGGTTTTTGGCATTCAGGGGCTGAAACTTTCCAAAAGGGAGGCGTTTGGGAGCCGAGGTTTGACTGTATTATTAATAATAATTTCCACTGTTAGAAACTCATATACATAAGCAAGTCGCCAAATAGCACCTTAAATCTGGGTGACGGTTTACACTGTGAAATGTTTAGGCACATTTTTTTGCTATTATTATTATTGTTGTTGTTATTGTTGTTTAGTCATGTCCGACTCTTCGTAACCGCATGGACCAGAGCACACCTGGCACTCCTGTCTTCCACTGTCTCCCGCAGTTTGGTCAAACTCATTATTATTATTATTATTATTATTATTATTATTAATCTGGGGGGCAGCCAGTTGGAGATGTTAATCACTATCCTGGCACCCTGAGATTTCGGCGTGGTTGCGAGTGGGCCTGCGCCTGTTGTAAAACGCAGCTGGTGGATTTTGAACCCTGGGTGCAGGGCAAAGTCTATCAAAGGCAGGGCAAAGTCTATCAAAAGAACTCCTGCACTCCATCCCCGTTCCCTGCCAGCTGCATCTCAGTGCAGGTTTCGTGCTTCTCTCCACGCTCTGTCTCAGTTCAGAGGACTGCATGCAGATTCTTATATCAGGGAAACCTCCAACTGTAGAATGAGAAGTGACGCCAAGGGTCATTAACCACTTGCAATGCAGGAAGATGCCGCTGTCCCTTACGGCGATTGAATCTGCAACCTTGGCATTATAGACGCCATGCTCTCGCCAACTGAGCTATCCATAATAAAATAATGATAATAATAATTTACTACTTATACCCCACCCATCTGGCCAGGCCTCCCCAGCCACTGGGCGGCTTCCAACAGGATATTAAAAGCACAATAAAATATCAAACATAAAAAACTTCCCTGAACAGGGCTGCCTTCAGATGTCTTCTAAAACTCAGATAGTTGTTTCTTTCCTTGACATCTGAAGGGAGGGCGTTCCACAGGGAAGGTGCCACCACCGAGAAGGCCCTCTTCCTGGTTCCCTGTAACCTCACTTCTCGCAGTGAGGGAACCACCAGAAGGCCCTCGACGCTGGACCTCAGTGTCCTGGCTGAATGGTGGGGGTATTCCTGTTGTCCTGTTCCTGTTGCAGGGGTTTGCACCCTCAAGGTCCCTTCCAACTCTACAATCCTATGAGTGATCTGCAGATGCCTGTCACTCTACTGCCGTGATCGTTGGAATGGAGTGACTTTTCTTTCTTTGTTGGTCTCCTTTTTCAGTTTGAGCGGGACGTCATGATATGGAACCACAAACAATACCTCTCCAAACCGCTTCTGGTGAAGGAAGATGGGGCGATCCAGAGGCACCGTCGTTGGTTCTCCCAGTTCTACGGTGAAAAGAGCCCAAAGATTACCAGCCAAAAGGAGAGCCTGGACTGGTGACCGAGAGAAGCCCCCTTTCCCCCTCTGGGTCTTTTTTCCTCCTGTCAAGGGGATCCAAGAAGTCACCACCCGCGAGTCGCACTTGGGTGACCCTGTTCAGGGAAATCTTTAGTGTGTGATGTTGTGCTTTTAAAATTTATTATGGCAGCTGCCCAGAGTGGCTGCGGCAGCCCAGTCAGATGGGCGGCATATAAATAATAAATTATTATTATTATTATTACTATGCCTGGGGACTGTCGCTCTTTGGCCAAGCAAGCCTTGAAGAAATGCAGATCCTGATCTGGTCCACACGTGAAGCTCTTTTGCTGGCCGCCCCGAAGAAATGTGGATCCTGATTTTCTCCGAAAAGATGGACTGCAACCAGTTGTTGCCCCTGAAAAATGTGGCTCTTTTGGCCCACAAGACTTTGGGTGGTATGGAATATTGCAGATACTGATATTGCGCAGTTTGAACAGACTGGATGCATAAAAACTGAGTCCTTTGGGAATGAAGCATTGTCCCGACCCAAACTTTGACTTACAGAACTTTCTTTAAAAACGTAACAAAAGCATCAAAGAGATATTCAAAATATTTGTATAATATCTTGTGCTGTCCAGCATGGGCTCCGCATCTTACAAATAAAATAAACTTATAATCAGAGCGAGCAAACATAGCTCTTTCTGTCACACAGGCTTCATTGCCAGCATTCTGGCATTTCAGCCCCCCAGGCTGTGCTCCTGACAAGCCATTTACATTGTATCAAATAATTGTAGAGTTGGAAGGGACCCCAAGGGTCATCTAGTCCAACCCCCTGCAATGCAGGAATCTCAACTTAAAGCATCCATGACGGATGGCCATCCAACCTCTGCTTTAAAAAAACCCCAATGAAGGGAAGTCATTACTCCATGGAGTTTGAGAACAGAGAAAGAGCCATCACCCTTCCAAGTTAGCAGATTTGCAATACGATAACCTCACATGTGATCTAAGGTTATACACTCACCTCTTACCTTCTTGAGAACAACAACCAGTTCATTTGTCAACTGGTTAAAACTCAGAGATGACTCTTCTTTTAATATAGCCCCAACACATAGGCATTCGCATTTCAGTGTGAGTTAAACCAATTATACCTAACGTGAAAACCCCTTTGCTTGGTGGAAAGGGCCCCTTCATTCAAAGCAGCAAGGGGAGAGTTGCACCCTCTGGCAGGGAGTGCAAATGCGCCTCTTCTGGGATGCCAGGTGTTTGCACCCGTGGTGGCTGTGGAAGGAGAGAGCCAGTGTGGTGTAGTGGTTAAGAGCGGTAGTCTCGTAATCTGGGGAACCGGGTTCGCGTCTCCGCTCCTCCACATGCAGCTGCTGGGTGACCTTGGGCCAGTCACACTTCTCTGAAGTCTCTCAGCCTCACTCACCTCACAGAGTGTTTGTTGTGGGGGAGGAAGGGAAAGGAGAATGTTAGCCGCTTTGAGACTCCTTCGGGTAGTGATAAAGCGGGATATCAAATCCAAACTATTCTTCTTCTTCGTCTTGCCCACGATAACCAAACATCTCCGCTTGCTGGCACAAGGCCGGTTGCCTGCTGCGAAATGCGCCCAGCGAGATTCGAACGCTGCTCCTCTGGGGGCTGCCCGCATCTTCCATGCAGCTACTGCGAGATGGCCCTGCAGTCCATTTGGAGAACGAAGCTTATTGTGCAGGTTCATGATTTGCAGCTGAGCCCCTGCGCTGCAAGGGTCACAGCTGCCATGCCACCCAAGGGGCACGTCACAGCACTTCCACAAGCTTCCTGACTCCCCCACCCCCGAAATGGAGTCTTTAATTTCCCAGCAAAGGTAGAGCACGAAACTCTGAATCTCAGGGTTGTGGGTTCGAGTCCTAAGTTGGGCGAAAGATTTCTGCATTGGAGGGGGTTCGACTTGATGACCCTCGGGTCCCTTCCAACTTGACGAGTCTAGGATTCTAGGATTTGCAGCCTCCTGATGTTTCCAGTTGAGGAACTGAAGGGTGCACTGGTCCAAAGCTGTGGTGCGTGGATGTAGATCCCTAGCAGCGAGCGGGAGGTGCAAGATGTCAGGGAATGGCTGGACAAAGAGAAGAAGAAGGAGGAGGAGGAGGAGGAGGAGGAGGAGGAGGAGGAGGAGGAGGTTTGGACTTGATATCCTGCTTTTCACTCCCCTTAAGGAGTCTCAAAGCTGCTAACAATCTCCTTTCCCTTCCTCCCCCACAACAAACACTCTGTGAGGTGAGTGGGGCTGAGAAACTTCAGAGAAGTGTGACTAGCCCAAGGTCACCCAGCAGCTGCATGTGGAGGAGCGGGGAAGCGAACCTGGTTCACCAGATTACGAGTCCACCGCTCTTAGCCACTACACCACACTGGCTCCCAGGAGTGGTGGGAGGCCCCAGCCAGGGAACCCCCGAGGGAAACCCCAGAAGAGCCTGGGGATTGGTGATGGAACACCAAGGAGAGGTCAGAGGGAGAAGTGTGGGAAGTGTGTGTTGGATGCTGAAGGGGCAACAGGGTTTAGTGAGCAGGGAAAGCCAGGGACAGAGAGCAGTTCAGACTCTGAGGCTGAAGCAAAGGAGGGGGATCAAGAGACTGCAGAAAAGTCCCAGGGATCTCCCTCTCCGGCTGAGAAAAGCTCCCTTTCCTGTTCAAGAACATGCAGAAGTGATTATTGTTTATATTGATTGGACATATCGGAAGCATTTTAATTTCTATAATTTATCTTTCCCATTGTCTCTTTGAAGCTCTTTTCTGTTTCTTCTTACCTTTCTCTTTTTTTCTCTTTCTTTACTTTTACTTTTCCTCTATGTTTTTATTTCATTTCATTTATTTCATTGAACCGCCCTGAGACCTCTGGGTTTAGGGCGGTATATCAATTCACCAAATAAATAATAAATAAAAACTTAGATTAACGTTGGCTAAAAAAAGAGATTTGGTATTAAGTTTTGTATTTCTCTTTATAAACTCTAATAAAATTGGTTTAAAAAATAAAATAAAAAATGTGCAGGATAATGAGGAGGACAGAACAGAGACCAGAACCATAGAAACATAGACAGCTCCCCGTCTCCTCTTCTGATTCTCCTCTACGGCAAGAATTAATTTCATCACTAACCTTGACTCCAACAGCCAAATTTCTCAGCAGCTTATTCCCCACATCTTTTCCAAAGAGGGCTTTAACTTAGCCCCAATTAGCCGAAATGAAAAGGGGATCTGGACCTGCCAAGGCAGATATGGAGGTGGGCTTCCGGGTCATGTGGTCAGCACGACTAAGCCAGTTCTGGCGAACCAGAGCAGCGCACGGAAACGCCGTTTACCTTCCCGCCGGAGTGGTACCTATTTATCTACTTGCACTTTGACGTGCTTTCAAACTCCTAGGTTGGCAGGAACTGGGACAGAGCAACGGGAGCTCACCCCGTTGTAGCCTTATGAGGCTTTGCCCTCGGGTGGGAAAAATATTGCGCCTGGGAAAGGGAAGTGGGAGTCAACAGACACTCAAGGAATAGTTTCGGAGAAAAAGGTTTTATTTCTACCATCCATGAACTGGTAGAAGGAGCAAGTGTGATAAGTCACAAAAAGCATGCACGAGTTCACAATCATGTGCACAAGCATATATACCCCTTTCTAGTTCCCTCCCCCTTTCTCCTCCCTCAGGAGTCCTGCCCCATGTTGAGGTTCCTCTGAGCATGAACAGAAAGCTGTCTTGGGACTATTGTGGACTCTTGGCACCCTTCCCAGGAAAGGGGAATGAGAATGGTTCAAGATGTCCAAAAGTGTTGCAACTGAATGAGATAAGATTCGTTTCTCAGGCCTGAGTATTCTTGGCAATGACAAAGTCTATTCATTAGCCTTTAAAAGTAACATTTTGCCTTTTGCCACAGCATCTTGTGATAGAGCAGAGGAGAGCAGAGAAAAGCTGTTTTGGATTTTTAGAAGACAAAAGGAGTTTTGGACAGTTTTGAGGCCTGGGGTGATTTCACAGACAGGATTTGGGTATCCTGTCCCTTCACCATCACGGGGATTTGAACTGCCAACCTTCCAATCAGCAAGCCCTAGGCTCTGTGATTTAGACCACAGCGCCACCCAAGTCCCTTAGGGACTGGTAACTTGATGCTTTTTTAAAAAGAAAAGAAAGAAGAGGAAAGCTAAGAGTCCCAGGAAGTTCTGTTTCCCTCCTGGTTGAAACCAGCCCCTTTCCTTTTCGCCAAGAGAAAGCCCGAGTGTGCTGTTCTATTTATTCATATATTTAGTTATTTCACAACATGTATACATCATTTGATTAAAAAACAAAACAAAACTCCAAGCGGATTGCAAAGAGAATTTTTTTAAAAAATAATAATATTCATGCATCTGATGGAGTGGCAATGCACCCACTTAGTTTCACAAAAGTGACCAGTTTACTCACCTGAGTGACTGAGATCCCTGATCCGTGGCTTTTCCCATGCTTCAAAGGCTTCCCAGATCATTTCAGTGGTGGAAGCGGACTGTTTTGTGCCTGTCTCTTTGCACAGGTGGCTCCGATCCCCCTCGAGTGGGATGAATGGGTGTGGCGTTTGCCCGTCCTTTTGAAAATGTCTGTACAGGGGCAGAGAAGGATTAATAGGGAGACCAATAGCAAAGCCCAGAGGCAGAGCCTACCTCTTTTTAAAAGGCTTAGCCAAAGGTTTAGACAGTTGGGGAAGACAGTTGGAAACAGAGAGACCGTTAGTTCGGTTGGTTTCTTGTGGGTGGGGGGCATAGGAGCCAGAGTGGGTTAGAGACAGAGAGAGGGAATTGGATTACAGTGGTACCTCGGGTTACATACGCTTCAGGTTACATACGCTTCAGGTTACAGACTCCTCTAACCCAGAAATAGTACCTCGGGTTAAGAACTTTGCTTCAGGATGAGAACAGAAATTGTGCGGCGGCAGCCGGAGGCCCCATTAGCTAAAGTGGTGCTTCAGGTTAAGAACAGTTTCAGGTTAAGTACAGACCTCCGGAACGAATTAAGTTCTTAACCCGAGGTACCTCTGTATTGTGTTTCAAAGTATTTAAAACTTGTTTACGTTCACAATAAACTGGAATCTTTGTTAATACGTTACAACCTGACTGAGTCTGAATATATTACTGGGAAAACCTGGTTGGTGGCAGTGGAAGAGAATAGACGTGGCGGCACAGGGGCAAGAGTCCGTGGAACGACCGGGGACTGTGTGTGAGCGCCACAGTGGGGCTCCAGAATTTGCCAAGCTTTCTTTTTCTAATTAAAATAGCATTTTCTTAACTGTTTCGTATCCGTCTGCAAGAAACGGCAAGAATTTCAGGACGTCCTTCACTGTGTGTGTGTGTGTGTGTGTGTGTGTGTGTGTGTGTGTGTGTGTTTATTTACGTCTCTGCTCTTGCACGCACCCCGTGACTTGCTCAGACGTACCCGGGTGGTTTCTTAGAAATCACCGGCTTGCATTTTCGACCTGGGAAGTTGCCAGCAGGAGGCAGAAAAGCGTCACAGACGGAGGTGAAGTTTTAAATAGGAACTGTTAAGAAATAGCAGAGCGCGCGAGCACGCAAGTATCCCCCAGAGAGACACCCATGCAGCCCGAGATGTTCCGGTTCTTGCCCGGATTCTAGTGGCCGCGAGTTCCCCGGGCTTTTTAGAGGGAATTGTGCAACGCGAAGCTGCTGATGGGTCTGCGCCGGTGGCCCGTCGGGCTGCTGCTGCCGCTGCTCCTGGGATCTGCTTCCTTCCTGCTGGGGGGCTGCGCAGGTGAGTGGCTTCTTCGGGGGTTAAATGTCGACCCGGGAACAGAATTGGCACCCAGTACGTGCGTGTGTTTGTCCGCAACACGTTTACAGTGAGCGCGTTGGGGGAAGAGTGGATTTTCAGACAATGCAATCCATACCTTAGCGCCTCTTTCGCCAGCAGAAAATGCTCCATATCTGTTTAGGGCACCCCCTGCCCCCTCCTCCCACCCAGAAATTAGGGTGATAAAAAGATAAAGACGTGTTTTCCTAAATATGTTTAGATGGGGGCGAACTTTCTTGTCCTTCTCACAACAATATCGCACTTATTAGTCACTTGCTGCACATAAAAAAGGTCTCCTTTGGGAATTCATGCACCTAAGTTAGTCGTGCCCATTGGGTCTACTCTGCGTAGCAATGGCTGCAACCCTTACAAAAACTGCAGGTGCCAAAGGGGTATGGGGTATAACACTATAAATGAATACGCAGAGCTAGAGTTGCAGCCCTCGTTTTCCCCTTGCAGAGCTGTAATTCCCTGCGCCCTTTGCAAACTACAGTTCCCAGGACTTTTTGGGGGGGAGCCAGCTGCTTTCAATGTGTGTTGCATCTGCTTTAAATGTACGGTATTTAAATGTACGGCCCGTTACCCCCCCCCCCGAAAATACTTCAGTGCTGCCTGGTTTGACCTGCCCCCCCCCCGGCTTTGGGAAAATAAGTATGGGAACTATAGTTTACCCTGGAAAGACCTAAATTGTCAGCAATTTAGAGTTCTTGTGGTTCTTTGGGAGCGGGGAAAATGTGCTTTGAATGTGCTTTAAAGGTCTGATGTGTAGGTGTGTGTGTGTGTGTGCTTTCTGTGTGTGTGCTTTCTGTGTTTTTCTGTTGTTTCTTTTCTGCCCAGCGCCTGGCAAACTACGAAACACACCTTGGAGAACCGTAGCAATAAGGAAGGGAAACTAAAGGCCTCTTAAGAAACAAGCAAGAGGTAAAACCTTATCTCCCCTCCCCAGTTCCCAAAAGTCCCCCCATTCCTTCTCTTGATTTATTTACTGAATTTATTACATTTAACACACCACTTTTTCACCCAAGGAGCTGAAGGTGGAGTGTAGTTCTCCAGCTTCCCATTTTATCCTCACAACAACGCGGTGAGGTGGGCTGGGCTGAGAGACAGTGTCTGGCCCAAGGTCACCCAGCGAGCTTCATGGCTGAGTGGGGATTCGAACCCTCATCTCCCAGGTAACAAAGACCGACACTCTAGCCCTTACACCACCTCCTTGCAGCCCTTTCCCGTCAGTTTATTTGGGCCTGGCTTGTCCTTGCAGGGATGATGAGATCAAAGAATCATAGAATTGCAGAGTTGGAAGGGACCACGATGGTCATTTAGTCCAAACTCCTGAAATGCGGGAATATTTTGCCCAACTTGTGGCTCAGACTCACGACCCTGAGCTTAAAACTCTCATGCTCTACCAACTGAGCTACTAGCTGAGCTACTAGATGATGGTGATGTTTTCAATTGTTAGCCGCTTGCTGCAAAAGGAGTCTGTAAGCAACTTCTTGTTGTTTAGTCATTTAGTCGTGTCCGACTCTTCGTGACCCCATGGACCAGAGCACGCCAGGCACTCCTGTCTTCCACTGCCTCCCGCAATTTGGTCAAACTCATGCTGGTAGCTTCGAGAACACCGTCCAACCATCTCGTCCTCTGTCGTCCCCTTCTCCTTGTGCCCTCCATCTTTCCCAGCATCAGGGTCTTTTCCAGGGAGTCTTCTCTTCTCATGAGGTGGCCAAAGTACTGGAGCCTCAGCTTCACGATCTGTCCTTCCAGTGAGCACTCAGGGCTGATTTCCTTCAGAATGGATGGGTTTGATCTTCTTGCAGTCCACAGGACTCTCAAGAGTCTCCTCCAGCACTATAATTCAAAAGCATCAATTCTTCGCCGATCAGCCTTCTTTCTGGTCCAGCTCTCACTTCCATACATCACTACTGGGAAAACCATAGCTTTAACTATACGGACCTTTGTCTGCTTTTTAAGATGCTGTCTAGGTTTGTCATTGCTTTTCTCCCAAGAAGCAGGCGTCTTTTAATTTTGTGGCTGCTGTCACCATCTGCAGTGATCATGGAGCCCAAGAAAGTTAAATTTCTCACTGCCTCCATTTCTTCCCCTTCTATTTGCCAGTGGCCATGATCTTCGTAAGCAACTTACACCATTTTAAAAATACCAACCATAACATTAAGTTGGATGAATGAAAAAGTTAACAAAGGCCGTAGGATAAATTCCAGCCAAACAGCAGCGAGAAAATACAATATTGTTTTGGCCGCAAAATACAAATAACATCCAGCGACATCACCCTAATTTGTAAAGCTGTCTGGCGGAAGAGATAAGTTTTTGCCTGGCATTGAAAGATGACGGTGCCAGGCGGATTTTGCTGTCCCCGATCTGGCTGGGCTCTGCGGAGGACGCCCAAAGGAATTCAGGCAGGAACACAGGTGCAAGTTGACTTTTCACGATATGCAAGGATTCAATTGCACGGCTGGCTTGCATTTATTGGGGCCTGTGTATTAATTGGCTTCCCGGTGGGCGAAACGGTTGTGGTAACAGGTACATTTCTGCATCTCTTTTACCTCTGGCCTCACTATTTACCCCCCTAAAAAACACCTCCATGTGTGAACACACAAACACAAACTGCTCAGGAAAACAGTTTCTGCACCTCCTACATTAAATGCTATTTCTTGAAGCTTGTGGCATAAAAAAAGCTTCTTAACTTTTCAGGTGTCACAAGACTCTCTTTCCTCTTTGGTAAGTTTCACTTTCCAGGGTTGGTTGGATAGGCTCCAACATTGGGCGGGGGGTGGGGGGAACAGTGCAAGTTGTAGTTTTAAAAACTGATTTTAAAGTTGTGTTTTAAACCTCCCCTCCCTGTCTCCTCTGCCCCTGGCGTGTTGCAGTCTTGATAACAACCACAACTGCACCCACCTGGTACAGCGACATTAGGTGTAGTTCAGCTCTTTATTTGAAGGGAAAACAACAGATCGGCAGAATAAAAAACAGGAAATGTCGAACCTTCCCCTGTACCACAATCTCCACCTCGGAACCACGTCTTCAAGCTGAGCTTTCCAGCGACAACACCAAGCTGAAAACTTCTGCTTTATGTTTTTCCTTGCGCAATATCCATTTGGGGCAAACAAAGAGGACTAGAAAGTTTGTCACTATTTTGTGACATTTTAGTCGGTGGTAAAGTAAAATGTGCAGAAAACAGACGGCTGAATAAAAGGCATTGCAGAGCATTACAGTGCTAACATCTCTAATATTATTCATTACCTTTTTAGATTCTTTTTCCCCCAGAGAAGGGACCCAAAGCAACTTGCAAAGCGCTATGGCCTTCAAAATAAAGCACAAAAGAACTGCTCTTTAATCCGATGGTCATTGGACTCAACTGACATTTGGGTTTTTTTTACTTTTGATGTGATGCGATTTTCTTGCATGTGTGCTGTCCACGGTGATATTTTTTATTAGAGAGTGCATGGAACTGCAAGGAACATACACACGCCCACATGTGAATTATGGCTAAAATACTGCATTTCTTCAAGTCAGCAAAGAGTGACAGCATTGATAGTTCAGGGTTTGAGCTCCATGTTTGACAAAGATTCATGGATCATAGAATCTTAGAGTTGGAAGGGACCCCAAAGGTCATTTAGTCCAACTCACTGCAATGCAGGAATCTCAACTAAAGCATCCATGACAGAAGGACCTCCAACCTCCGCTTAAAAACCTCCAAGGAAAGAGAGTCCACCAGCTCCCGAGAGAGACTTTCCCACTATCAGACAGCTCTTACTCTCAGAAAGTTCTTCCTGATATTTAGTCAGAATCTCCTTTATTGAGACTTGAAGCCATTGGTTTGAGTCCTACCCTCCCAAGCTGGAGAAAACAAGCACACTCCATCTTCCATGGGACAGCCCTTGAGATATTTGAAGATGGATCTCCTATCTCCTCTCAGTCTCCTCTTTTCCAGGCTACTCAGCTCCTTCAACCATTCCTCATAAGGCTTGGCTTCTAGACCCTTGATCATCTTAGTTGCCCTCCTCTGTGTGGGATGTGAAACACAAGAGCAGTCAAGTACAACATTTCTAGAGTGAACATGTTTACACATGGGGAGAAATGCTTGTCCAGCCAGCAGGTAAACTTCCTGTTTCCTTCTGGGCTGGGACAGACTTCCTCTGCATGTGACTAGAGGCGGGCGTGGCCTCACCTGTTCAGGTAACGACAAAAGCACAGGGCAGGACAACCATCTTTCTCTCCATGACTACTTTCGGCGAAGAAGCAACATCTGATTAGCCAAAGATGCTCTCTTGGTCTCCAGCCAAGAGAAGACAAAGGGACTGTCTCCTTATGGGATAGTTTCCAGGTGTATGTTACTTTTCTAAGCTTCTGGGATCCGATTGTGAACATAATCTTCTTTTATAGAAGACTGTGTCATGTCTTATCTTTTATGAGGGAATAACGGGAAAATACCAGAACGGTTATTATAGAGGCTTTAGCAAGCCTGAGCAAACGCATCCGCTGTGAGTTTAAAAGGGGGAATGTTACTCTGCTAAGTTGTGAACTTGTTTACACAAGTTGGAAAGGCTATAATCAAACAATATATCCTCTCCTGCATCCCTGATCATTCCCACACTCTGCGCATGTTCTAGCTTGTCAACATCCTTCCTAAATACTTAGAAATCTTTAGCTGAGCTTCCTGCATTGCCGGGGGTTGGACTAAATTGCTCTCAGAGATACCTTCATTTTATGATTCTACTGGAGTCCTAATTCTGCCCCTCTCTGTCTTCCTTTCCAGGCTCCTCCTCGCACTCCTTGCGCTATTTCTACACGAGGGTGTCTGAGCCTGGCCAGGGGCTTCCCCAGTTCACCGCTCAGGGGTCCGTTGATGACCACATCTTCATTCAGTACGACAGTGACAGGAAAAGAGCCTTTCCTCAGGTGCCCTGGGTCCAGAAGGTGGGGCAGGACTATCCCCATTACTGGGACAATATGACCCAGATCTTTCGGGATGCTGAGGAAGTCTTCCGAGTCGTTCTAGAGAGTGTGCAGCGTGACCACGAGCAGAGCACAGGTGAGTGGGTTCTGCAAGGGGCAGCGAGTCCCCCTCCCCAATATTTATCCCTCCCCTGGTCAGGAAATGGGGAGCAGGGGGAGGACAACTGGGAGCTCCACAGAAGCTCCTTCTCCCTCCATGCACCAAGCAGTTTGACTGTAACCTTAGCAGCACCCAAGTGACCTCCCTGGGGTGCAAGCCTGGACAGTGTGTCTGGAGGTCCTGCACTGCTCAGGCGACAAGACCCCCCTCTCAGCCTCGCCGATGTGCTCCAAAGGAAAGCAGAGCAAGACGTTTGGTACCAACTGAGCTGCAGGAGTTGCCCGAAGGAGGCGTACAAGGCGCCATTCAACCATCCTCGGGACTCCACTCTGGATTTATGTAGAGTTTGTCCTGAGAGCCTTTTCTTCTCCGCAAGTCAGCAGAGGTTTAGGATCAGCGTTTTCCTTCTCCTCGATGGTCTCCCTTCCCTGGTGGACGAGCCCCATCTGCCCCTCACTTCTCTCTGCGACATGTGCAGAAACTGCCTTATTTACGGCTGGCCCCACACTTGGTCAGGGATGCGGGTGGAGCTGTGGGTTAAACCACAGAGCCTAGAACTTGCCGATCAGAAGGTCAGTGGTTCAAATCCCCGCAACGGGGTGAGCTCCCGTTGCTCGGTCCCTGCTCCTGACAACCTAGCAGTTCGAAAGCACATCAAAGTGCAAGTAGATAAATAGGTATGGCTCTGGAAGGAAGGTAAACGGCGTTTCCGTGCGCTGCTCTGGTTCGCCAGAAGCGGCTTGGTCATGCTGGCCACATGACCCGGAAGCTGTACGCCGGCTCCCTCGGCCAATAAAGCGAGATGAGCACCGGCAACCCCAGAGTCGGTCACGACTGGACCTAATGGTCCGGGGTCCCTTTACCTTTACCACACTTGGTCTCATCTGCTCGATCCACCGGGGCCTGTCTTTGCATGCAGGGGAAGCCCCTATTTACACTTGCCTGTAAATCCCACTGAAATCAAAGGGACTTGCTTCTGCATGGACAAGTACAGTCATACCTCGAGTTAAATATGCTTCAGGTTGAGCGACCCGGAAGTAACGGAACGTGTTACTTCCGGGTTTCGCTGCTCGCGCATGCGCAGACGCCCAAAATGACATCACGCGCGTGCGCGGAAGCGGCGAATCGCAACCCACGCACGCGCAGACACAGGTTGCGTTCGCTTCAGGATGCGAACGGGGCCCTGGAACAGATCAGTGGACAGAGGTACCACTGTACATAGGATTGCACTGTCGGAACTTAAACTTGACATTAAACTTTACCTCCAAGTTTAATGTTTGTTGCTTTCCATGGGAAAAAATGACCTGTTTTCAATCCTCAGCATCTCTAAGTAGGGATGAGAGAGATTCCTGCCTGAAAGCAACTGCAAGTAAAAACTTGGTGCTGATGATGCTTAGCTAGAGGAACCAACAGCGGGGTGGGAGGGAGTTGTGTAGCCCCAGGAGCTGAGAGTCATCCGTTGATGGGTGGGAGCCACCACCGAGAAGGCCCTCTGCCTGGTTCCCTGTAACTTCACTTCTTTCAGTGAGGAAACCGCCAGAAGGCCCTCGGAGCTGGAATCATAGTTGGAGGGGACCCTGAGGGTCTTCTAGTCCAACCCCCTGCAACGCAGGGATCTTTTGCCTGCTGTGGGATTTGAACCCATAACCCTGAGATTAAGAGTTTCGCGCTCTACCGACTGAGCTATCCAGTCTGCCTCTTCTTCCCCGAGGTGAAAAATAATCAAATCTTGGATTTAAATAAACATTCACATTATCAGCATCAGAAAATGTTTAGAAGATAGTGAAATATGATGGTGTATTTACTTTTATTTTTATGTTTTTAGGTTTGATGCTATGTTATTAATAACTTTTTCTGTTAAGAGATAGCAAAGTGGGTGAAAATAGAAACAAACCAGAAGCGCAAGTTGGGGGAAGCCTTGGAGGGGAAGGAGGGAGGAATATATAGTAAATGTTAAGAATTTGAGATGTATGTAATGAATGAAAAAGAAAAATGAATTATTTTTAAAAATAAAATAATAATAATAATAATAATAATAATAATAATAATATCTTTGCCAAACCTCTTCTGTGGGTTTGTGGGGGTTTCACCTGCTCCGGTCCCCCAATCTCTCTCCCCTGTCCCACTGACCTCTTGCCCCTTCTCCCAGGCCTGCACACCTGGCAGGTCAGGTACGGCTGCGAGTTGAGCCAAGAAGGCCGCCAAGGAGCATACGAGCAGGAAGCTTACGATGGGACGGTCTACCCCGACCTTGACCTGGAGTCTCTCTCCTGGATGGCAGTCGAGAGAGGAGCCCAAGTGAACCGGACTGGAAACCAGACGGTCTCTGTGATGGCTTACATGGGGAAGGAGGACTGCATTGCGTGGCTGCGGAGATACCTGGACTACGGGAAGGAGGCTCTGCTGAGGACAGGTGGGTGTTTGTGTGAGGGCAGGTGCAGGGAGATGGGAACAAGACTTGTGTTGAGTTGGGTGTGTGTGCTGAAATTCTTTCATATTCTACCCAGCATACACCCATCCTATACCACACTGCAAAGGTGATGGGAGCCAAGAGCTGCCTAATAATAATAATAATAATATTAATAATACAGTCATAGTTCTTGTTACGTTTGCTTCATGATATGTTTTTTCAGGTTGTGTCCCGCGACGCCCCGGAAGTACCGGAAAGGGTTACTTCCGGGTTTCGCCACCTGCGCATGCGCAGATGCGCAAAATGACATCATGCACATGCGCAGAAGCAGCACAGATGCGGATTGTGTTCCTTTTAGGTTGCGAACAGGGCTCTGGAATGGATCCTGTTCTCAACCAGAGATACCAGTGTAATAATAATAATAAACGACAGCTTAGGGGGTGGCAGAGAGGACACACTTCTAGAATATTTATCCCGATCTTTTGAAATAAATAAAGAATCTCAGGAAGCAAGAGGACAAAAGCTTTTAAAAAGAATGGTGGGGTGGGAAATATAATTTATTTAGGAGACCTTTGCAAGCAGATGAAAACATTATCAGGAATTTAATCTCACTTGTAATGTAACAAATACGATGGATAATATGGACTGATATAAAATATAGATTATAGAAAAATATGCAGTTGTAAATGTTGACAATAGGACCCATGGAGGGGTTGGGGGGAAATCTCAAGATTCAGAGTAATCTCTATATATGGATACACATCTGGATTGTTATAATTTTGTATTTGTAAAATCAAACGAAAATGATTTTTTAAAAAATGAAATAAAGAACGCAAGCATAGTGGAGACAGACCGGACCAAGTTTTCAACTTGAAAGGGTTTAAATCTCTCTTCTTAATGTTGAAAACCTTCAGGCTGGATATATCAGAACATGTGCAGACTGCCACACCTTTGAATTATCCTCTTTGCACCACCCCGCCGTAAATAAAAGCCCCAGCCCTATGGAAAGTCATAAAAACACTAACAATGTATTTTATGGCTTCACGTCTTCCTGAAATTCTTGCTGGACCTGCTGGTTAACTCTTATGTGGCCTCCATTCCAAGGAGTTGAGGCCTTTTGTACCTCATGTGGAACATTATTGTATTCACCCAATGATTCATGTTTTGCCAGATATGAAGGGGCAGAGGTTCAGAGCTTTCCTGTAAAATTGGCTAGAGAAAAAACTGAGATCACTTACTTTCTGTGCCTTGGCAATAAGCTGCAACCACATGCACATGCTCAGACACCATTTCATACTTAGATTTTGTACTTTTGTAGCTTGGCTACTAGTTACAAACCTGTCTTAATTTTGCTTCATTTTGCTACTGTAATTGCTGCTTTGAGACCCAGATTATGTAAGTAAACACTGCTTTTATTTCTTCACAAAACAATGTGTGTATGATTGCTTTTAAGTGGGGGAGAAGAGGGATAATACAGTGGTACCTTGGTTCTCAAACTTAATCCGTTCCAGAAGTCTGTTCCAAAACCAAGGCGCACTTTCCCATAGGTCAGAGGGATTTGACGCTGGCAGCTCTGGCCTCTGCTCAGCCTGCGTCAAATCTAAACCTCTCTGTTCCTGCCCGTATTCTGCAGCTGGCTGTAAAGTTCCACTTGGAGCTGGTTCATTCCTGACAATTGTCATAAAATTTTCTCTTAAACCATAACATGCTGTAGATAATCGTCCCCATGCTTCCATGTCTATATTATGACCAATATCTATTGCCCAATGTATCATTGAGGATTTTACTTGCTCATCCTTTACATTTCCAACACTTATTTGGTTTAGATTTATACATTTATACTCAGTGTTAGATACCACCGATATATCACTTTCGTATCATTTTCTCTTAGACCATAGCATGTTGTAAATTTTATATCCATATTCCACAAGTTCTTAGTCAAATACAAGAACCATCAAACATTTCTGGCGAGACGCTCGGTCATTGCCGTATCCCATATATTTTCTGATATCTTCAGGGGTATTTCAGACTGTTTCTTCCATTCATGCTGTGGTCAGTAAGGAGCCTACTACTTGGCTGTGGTGCAGGGTAGAGCCTAAGTCCATGTCCAAATATAATAGGGCTGGGGCAGGATTTGGACAAAGGGATTAACCTGTAATTGCGGATATAATGGGGAATACCCTATTCCAAAAGTTTATAACATGGGGGCATTTCCGCCAAATGTGAATAAATGAACCAAGTTTTCCACAACCCTTCCAACATAAAGAGAAAAGGGAGGGATTAATTTTTGCCAGCTTGACAGGAGTGTGGGGACATTTGAGGAGGACACGGCCTGCTTGCCTCTGAGGACGCCTCTGTCATTTCCGCAGAGCCTCCGGTCGTGAAGGTGACAAGTAAGGAGGACTCCAAAGGCCCGGCCACCCTTGTCTGCCGAGTTTACGGCTTCTACCCAAAGGAGATCAATGCCTACTGGAGGAAAGACGGAGAGGCCTGGGTGCAGGATACCTTCCGCAGAGTTGCCGCCCCCAATTCGGACGGGACCTACCATGCCGTGCTCAGTATTAAAACCAGCCCCAAGGAGAGGAAACGCTTCCAGTGCCACGTGGAGCACGAAGCCCTGCCCAAACACCTGGATGTGGCCTGGCAGGAGCCTGGTGAGAGGCAGCAGGGAGCAAAGGCTTATGGGAGGTGAATTTTCACCCGGGGAAGGAAGAGGGACGACACCAGGGAGCTGGGAGCATTGCAGCTGATATTGACAACCTCCAATTGGAGACAAACATTTCCTATTTGCTGATATGATTAAGGTCTTCAGCAAGCCTTGAGAGGTGATGAGATGGAGGGGGGCCCTTTCTTAGATGATGATGATGATGATGATGATTTATTATTTATATCCCATCCATCTGCCTAGGTTTCCCCAGTCACTCTGGGTGGCTCCCAACAGAATATTTAAAATGGGATAAAGCATCAAACAATAAAAACTTCCCTAAACAGGGCTGCCTCTAAAAGTCAGATAGTTGCTTATTTCCTTGACGTCTGATGGGAGGGTGTTCCACAGGGCAGGTGCCACTACTGAGAAGGCCCTCTGCCTGGTTTCCTGTAACCTCACTTCTCTCATCGAGGGAACCACCAGAAGGCTCTTGGAGCTGGACCTCAGCGTCTGGGCAGAATGATGGGGGTGGAGATGCTCGTTCAGGTATACTGGGCCGAGGCCGTTTAGGGCTTTCAAGGTCAACACCAACACTTTGAACTGTGCTCAGAAACGTACTGGTTACCTCCCCGAATCCCTCTGAATTTCACGAGCTCCCAAGTCCTGTGGCCTCCCCATAAGAGGATCTTTTTTTGTTCTGGGTTTCCCGTCAATCATTTCTCTCTTCTTCTGTTCAACTTCAGTGTTCAACAGCTGGCTAATTCCATGCATCGTGGGGACTGTAGTCCTGGTGGCCGGCATCTCCGTGGGCATCAGTAAGTACCACGTACCCTCCAAGTGTCCCAATTTTCTGAGGACAGTCCCAGAATTACGAAAGCCACCCCAGCCTCTGATTGGATCGCAGAATGTCCCGATTTTCCCTGCCGGTGCTGCTGCCACCAAGCTTGGCTAGGAGGATTAGCCGAGGGAGCATCCCATAGCCTCTCTGTGGCCTCTCCATGGCTGCCACTGCCAGCCTCCTCCCATGGGCAGCTCATCGTGGCTGCTGGAGAGCGAGCAAGGAGGAGAGAATCTGCCACCGCCAAGGCACAGCCCTGCGCATGATGCTCCAGCCCTTAAGGGCAGATAAGAGGGTAGGGTGCCACAGAGGAACTTACGCTCTTCAAACAAAAACATCCTGAAGTTCCCAGGCCACAGAGAGGTTAGGCTGGCCTCAACTAGGGCCAGGGCCTTTTCAGTATTGGCCCCGACTTGGTGGAACGCTCTGTCACAAGAGACTAGGGCCCTGCGGGACTTGACATCTTTCCGCAGGGCCTGCAAGACAGAGCTGTTCCACCAGGCCTTTGGCCAGGGCACAGCCTGACTCCCTCCTTTGGCAGTCTTCACAGAACTTTAGCCTAATGGTTGCCATCAATTTGATTTGAATTAATTTTATAATGAAATGATTTTAGAATGTTGTACTATTTAATTGTTGTTAGCCGCCCTGAGCCCGGCTTCGGCTGGGGAGGGCGGGATATAATTAAAATTTATTATTATTTATTATTATTATTATTATAGGGCACACCGCCCATGGGCAGTAAATCGTTCAAAAATAAAATATGGGTTGAAGGGTTTTCTCAGGACAGTGGAGGGCGGTGTGTCCTCTTAGTGTGGTTGTGGTGGCACTTTTCCGGAAGGAAGGGTCAGAGGCAGCAAGGGTCATGTTGGAGGAAATCAGGTAGTGCTTGGAATCTGGAAGACTTCCTACCTTTACTAGTGACAGGTTCCTGGGGTGTCTGCCGGGATCTTTCCCCAGAAAATCATCTGCTTGAGTGGTCCTTCCCCACAAGAGAGGGTGAGACTGGACAATCTCCGTTGCATCCCTTTCTGTCCTGAAGAATCGTTGTCATGAGTAAAATGACTAGAGGCTCCAGAATCTATAACCCACTTGTTTGACTAGGTCTCACAACTGTTCACAGTTAAGGTCTTTCCTTGTGAAAGAAAACTTTTCTCGTTCCTTTTCATTTGGCCACTTAAAATGTAGGGGATTTCTGTGACTTTGGGGCTTTGCAAGCCTTGGCTGTGTGCCCTCCTTTGGGCAACTGAAACTCATAATTTGATTCTCTCTCTGCAGAGACGTGGCAAAGACACTAAGCTGCGCCAAGTAAGTGAGATGCGAGTTTTTCCTCTGGCGTAGAACAGGCCTAGGGTGGGAGACGGGCATAAGGGAGGATTTGTTCAGGGCGTGTGTGAACTTGAAACAGCACAAGGTCCCTATAAAACTGGAGGCAGAAAATAAAATACATCTAACGGAAAGGTAACGGCATTTAAACCTCCCATACTCCCAGAAAACAGAAGCTTATGTTAAGGGGAAATTGAGAGAGGAGCAATTTACGGGGCAATTCGCAGTATTCTGTCCTTCACCAGAAGCAGTGAAAACAGACCTTCTGCTAGCTTGTATGTCTGAAATTGCCTCTGCACACACCTGCGTAGGATCACCTCCCTTATTTCCTTTGAGTGCCTTCTCCAAAACTCACCTTTCTCCGCAAAGTATTTGGCTCAGCCCTACTTGTGCCAATGCCCTACTGCTGGCTTCCCCAACCTGGTGCCCTCCAAATGCTTTTGGCCTCAGCCAGTGAGGCCAACAGGGAGAGATGAAGGGAGTGTGAGTCTTTAGCAGCTTTAAGCAATGTTTATCCAGTCTACAAGGGACAGGCTGGAGTTGCTGTTGGATCCATCCATCGACCCCTGATGATTTCGAAGGATTGGGTCCAGCATCACTTTCGCTTGCCGGTATCCTGCGACAGAGTGAGCTCCTGTTGCTCTGTCCCAGCTCCTGCCAACCTAGCAGTTCAAAAGCATGTCAGTGCGAGTAGATAAATAGGTACCACTGCGGTTGGAAGGTAAACAGTGTTTCTGTGCACTCTGGTATCCATCACGGTGTCCCGTTGTGCCAGAAGCGGTTTAGTCCTGCTGGCCACATGACCTGGAAAGCTGTCTGTGGACAAACGCCTGCTCCCTCACCCTCAAAGCGAGATGAGCGCCACACTCCATAGTCACCTTTGACTGGACTTAACCGTCCAGGGGTCCTTTACCTTTACCTATAGGTTGTCTAATGGAGGCAAATGTATAGAAACCAGTGGTATGTATGTAATTGCATGTCATGCTATGCAGCAAAGGGAGCTCCTTTGCTCTGGAGCAAAGCGCAGGAGGCCAACGCTTCTGATGTGCTGGTTGGGTAGCGCCCCCACCCCCACCCATAACAAGCCTCACCTGGATACTTTTGCCCAGAAGGTGCCCTTTTGATCTTTGCTTCCTGCACATTTCATTAAAAAATTCCTTCCAGTAGCACCTTAGAGACCAACTAAGTTTGTTATTGGTATGAGCTTTTGTGTGCATGCACACTTCTTCAGATACCAACACAGCTACCTGCCTGTACATTTCATGTGTGTCTTGATCATGCCCAGGGATGGAGTCCTCTGCAAGGGGAGTTGGGTTGGATTAGATGCTCTGACTCTGTTATTCAGATGCCCCCGTCCTTTGTCAGCTTCACTGTGCTTAGTTCACCTGACACCCTCCTGTGTGTTTTTCTGCAACAGATATGTCGGCTGGAAGAGCAGCAGAAACAGAGGAACCTCTCTGACATCTGAGCAGAGAGGTGGGTAGATCGCCCTACTCATGAGGAGCTATTTTGCCTGCCCAATGGCAGGACAGTGAATAAGAGAGAGCCTTGTGTGGACAGTACGGGGCTGTTCAAGGAAGAGACACAAGCTGGAAATCCTAAGAAGCTCAATTGGAGAATTCCAGGATGGGCCTCAGGACACCAGATGGAGGAACCTGTTTAAAGGATTGCGTCAAGCCAGCAAGTTGGAAAATACTTGGCCCTACAATGGGCTGGTTTTTGTGCTTCCTATCGCAAATGGGATTTCTTTAGACATTTCTCCCTCTTCTTCTGATTTAAGGGTTTGGGGCTTTTGCTCTGCAGGAAGAAGCACATGGGAACTTTGCATCATTTTTTACTGCTCTCCATCATACCATATTTTAGGGTGGAAGTGTGCAGTGTTCTTTTTAAAAAAAGAAAAATACTGTTTGTGACTCTATGCCACATGTTGGTGCCAAAAATGCTAAGCTAGAAGAACCGTAGTTTGACCCTGCAGAAGGCAGCTTTAGATGTTCCTAAATCTTGTATTTTTCATTGCTTAGCTAAATTATGGTGGTGATGAGGAAATTGTTTTAATAATAATAATAACAACAACTGGAACAGTGGCCTCCAGCAAATGCTGCTGTTAAGGCTTTAAAAGAAATACAAGAGATTCTATAGAGGGCTCCCTGCATCCCTATCTGTAGTTTGGCAATGAGTGTGAAGCCCTCAGGACTTAATCAGAGCTGATGACTGGCTGACTTGGTTTATTCCCCACTTTAACATCAACTTACGTGGAAAGCATAGACACACACCTGTATCTGCTCCCTAAAAAAAGCTAGACAACTTTGATCTGAACCCCCCCCCAAAAGGGGGTAGATCACTGCCAGTTTTTTTATTCTGCAAGTGGATCGCAGTCTCTTAGGAGTTGGACGTCCCTGCGCTACACCAATCAAACTTGTTCAAATAAAGGAGGTGATGATTACCTGTGTTTTTATAATTTTATCATAGTATTGCAATAACATTTCATAAGACTCTCATGCCACAAGGTTCTGTGTGTTTTGCTGCAACAGCTACCTGTCTGGAATTTGTCACAGCTGTTTCATTTCCACCTCCCAGGATTTAAAATATATATTGTATGCAAATCAGGAAGCTGAGGCTATTTTACTTACAGCGTTTCTCTCCTGCTCTTAGGCCAAAAAAGGGTCCTAAAGCAGCTTACAAATGTCAGTAATAAGACGGTCCCTGCATTCAGGCTTATACTAAAAAAGACACAACACAAAAGGAAAAGGGGTTGGGTGGGAGGAGGAAAAAAGGAAGTTTAAGATACTATCTGGCAATGGACACCACTCACTATTAATGACATTTTTGGCCCTGGTGAAAGGATTGCAAAGCTGCATAGGATGCAGAAGAACCATTATGCCCTGAAAGAAGGAAAAGGAGGGATGGGGTGGTTTATGTTTAGGAGAAGTGTCAAATTGTAAACCATCCAGGGTGGCTAAGCAAAAAGGCAGGATATAAATGCAATACAATCAATTTATTACTTACAGAACTGGGTGTATCAAGTGAGGTCATGTCTGTGTCCCTATGATCCTGCTTTCCCCCTCCTTCCTGCATCATTTCCTTCCTCCAAACCTCGCTACTTTTTCGACGGAAATTCTGAAATCGAAATTTAAAACCATTCAACAAAGCAATCATACAGGAAAGCTGAGCTACGGGCAACGTTCAAAGTGTGTCATACTTTAAAAGCCTGTCAGAACAACAACAAAAATCCCCTCTTGGCAGTTAGCGGTTGTCGACTATCCCCCTCTGGAAAGGAGGGAAAGGAAAGGGAGAAAAGTCATCTGCGGAGGAGAGGATGGGAGAAAACCCACTTCCAGGGTCCCAAGCCACTGAGGATTTTCAAAAGTATTTGATTTGCAGCCAGGAGAATTTTGGCAAAACCCTTGTGGTTCTCCAATGAATATTTTCATACACCCCCCCCCAGTGATGCACGTGGACCCTCCAGAGTCTCCCAGCAACTTTCAAGTTTTTACCCCCTCCCTGCATCTCTCCCAGCAGAAAAGGCAAGAGGAACGGGGAGGGGGCGGAGTCAGGGGAGAAGTTTCGCTTTCGCTTTCCAGTCCATCTCTCCCACGCTTCATATCTACCCGGCAACCGCCGCCGCAATCTGCACGCCGTTTTCCCATTGGTGGAATATTTCCGCCGCGGCTCCTCTTCCGGACCCGTCTGCTGGCGGGGCGGGGATCGCTTCGTCCCGATGGGGATCCTCATCCGTGGGGCCCCCTGGATCCTGTGCGCTGCTGCCCACCTGCTCCTGCTGGACTGCGCTGGTCAGTACCTCCGGGGGCTGAACTGCGCGGCGGGGCGGAAGAAAGATCCCAAAGTCCAAAGATCCCGGGGTTGTGGGTGTGACTTTGCTGGTCACCCAAAGGGGGAAGACCAGGGGGGAGCTCCCTACCCGAAGTGGAGCCAGATCCCTTGGGAAATACCTGTTTTTCTCAGACTTTTTGTTTTGCATGCCGCCTTGGGGGCAGGGAGAGTTTCAGAGGCGCGCAAGGTGAGAATTAAGGGACTTGGGGGTCGTGTTTGTGGGGCTCATCATCATCTACCTACCAATGCAGCGCTGGCCTCTTCCCTAACGCACACGGTAATGTGTGAAGAGAGCTACTAGCAAGGGTGGGTGCGTGATCTGGGTGGCTATGAACTGGGAAGTCTACGGAGGAATTGGCAAAAGCGAGTCCTCCTTTGCTTCAGGTCAGGACGTGCTGTGTCGGCTCCTTGGTCCACCTAGTGGCCGGGGTTGGAATAGCTCGTGGGAAAGGGAGCTCCGCTGGGGATGGCTGGTTCAAATCTTACCTCTGCCATTCACGAACTGACCAGGTTTAGCACACCTGTCAGCCAAACACCCATTCACAGCACCCTTCTGAGTAATACCCCTCCCCACCCTCTCACTCTGGTGACTTCTGTTTCAGTGTATCTGAAGAAGTGTACATGCACATGAATGTAATAGTGCCACTGTATTCTGCTCTGGTCAGACCTCACCTGGAGTACTGTGTCCAGTTCTGGGCACCACAGTTCAAGAAGGACACTGACAAACTGGAACGTGTCCAGAGGAGGGCAACCAAAATGGTCAAAGGCCTGGAAACGATGCCTTATGAGGAACGGCTAAGGGAGCTGGGCATGTTTAGCCTGGAGAAGAGGAGGTTAAGGGGTGATATGATAGCCATGTTCAAATATATAAAAGGATGTCACATAGAGGAGGGAGAAAGGTTGTTTTCTGCTGCTCCAGAGAAGCGGACACGGAGCAATGGATCCAAACTACAAGAAAGAAGATTCCACCTAAACATTAGGAAGAACTTCCTGACAGTAAGAGCTGTTCGACAGTGGAATTTGCTGCCAAGGAGTGTGGTGGAGTCTCCTTCTTTGGAGGTCTTTAAGCAGAGGCTTGACAACCATATGTCAGGAGTGCTCTGATGGTGTTTTCCTGCTTGGCAGGGGGTTGGACTCGATGGCCCTTGGGGTCTCTTCCAACTCTATGATTCTATGATTCTATGAAAGCTCATACCAAGAACAAACTTAGGTGGTCTCTAAGATGCTACTGGAAGGAATTTTTTTATTATGAAAATTAATTAAAAATGAAATAATTATAGCACCCTCCCTTTTTGCAGAATGACACATACGTATTAGCCGTGCTTAGAGAGAGCTGAGCAAATTCATCTATGGGGGCCTGGTGATAATTCCCCCCCCCCGATGATGTGAGCTTCAGCACCCGCAGCTCCCTTTCATATTTAAAATCGGGGGGTGGCAATACTGACCTCCTGCGTTGCAGGGTCGTTGTCAGGCTTAGGAGAATGTCAAATGCTCAGAACGCCTTATTCTGCTGCCCCTTTGCTGTCCTGTCTGTCTGTCTGTCAGTGGTTCTCCAGACACAGCTGCCTTTCATCTTTAAAACTGGCAAAACTGACACGGGACAAATAGAAGAAGGCGCCTTCGTCCCGGTACGGTTCCTCTTTATCACATACACAGCCCAACAAGACAACAGGAAGGATCCGCCAACTGCATATGAATCAATCTGGCTAACCTGATCCAAACACACACACACACACACACACACACACACACACACATGCCCTCACTCACACACCAAAACAAATCTCACCACAGCCAAGCAAAGACAACCAACCACACATTAGGCTACCCCCAATCTCTCTCACCACCAAGGAAATACAACGAGCGAATAGTAAGAGAACCCACACAAGTGACACTGACACAAAACGCCACACATACACTAAGCAGAAGCATTGCCACCCGACCCACCCCCCTCACCATTCCCCCTCCCTCTCTTCCCCCTTTTGTCTGACACTAACACTGTATACGCTAATGTCTCACAACAAATGAAACCGATCTGTAGAAAACACGACTTGAAAAAAGAGACAATGCATGTATTTTTGTAAATGACAAAATCTTTAATAAAAATACAGTCGTACCTCTTGTTACGTCAGTCTCCGGTTGTGTTTTTTCAGGATACGAACCCGGCAAACCCGGAAGTGTATACTTCTGGGTTTTGCCACGCGTAGAAGGAGTGCTCTACTTGTGGACTTTTCAGGGTGTGAACGGCACCCCGGAACGGATCGAGTCTGTAACTAGGGGTACCACCGTATTTTAAAAATAAAACTGGCAAAACATACACACGTTCAGTGTCTCTGGGTGCAGCGGTTTGCCACTCCCTCAGGCGCTGGGCACATTTGTGATTGTTCGTCTAGAACAAAACATTTAGGCTGAAGTCCTTGCTTTCCTGGGTGTAAGCCCCATTGAACTCAATGGGACTCACTTCTGATAACACAGGGGTTGGCAAGGTTTATCTTGCCTGGGCTGGATCAGTACCATGGGCCGGATTGCGTGCGCGATTTTCAGCATCTGTGTATGGACAGGTGCAATTTTTGGTGGCTGTGTCTATGCAGATGCGATTTCTGGCACTGCGGAAGCGAGTCCCTGTGCCAGTTTAGCGCAGTGCGCTAGCGGGCAGCTCGGCTCTGGGGTGGCTCGTGGGCCAATCAGACGACCTCCACGGGCCACTTCTGGCCCATGGGCCTTATGTTGCAGACCCCTGTGATAACATATGTGCACAGGATGTCATGGTTTTCTGCTTTAAAATTTAAGGAACCAACAGCACCACTTTGAGAGCAGTCTTCTCAGGTTCCTCGCAAGGATAAGGGTCTGTGAAGGTTTTTTTGGGTGGGGTGTGGATTCTCCTCTTCAGGATCCCTAACTCTGCCCTTCTTTTGCAGCCTCTTCCTCCCACTCCATGCGCAATTTTTACACTGGGGTGTCAGAGTCCGGCCAGGGGCTGCCCTGGTTCGTTGCCGTGGGGTACTTAGATGACCAGCCCATCTACTACTACGACAGCGATACCCGGAGGGAAGAGCCTGCGGTGCCCTGGATGGAGAAAGTAGAGGAGGATTATCCCAAGTTCTGGGACAGGCAGACGCAGATCTTGCATGGCTGGGAGCAGACGTTCAGAGCGAACGTGGAGATTGTAAGGAACCTTTACAACCAGAGCAAGGGTGAGTGGAGGGTGCAAGGAGTGGCTCTCTCTCCTGCTGAAGCTTCTCCCTCAGATGAAGGCCTCCACTCTGGAACAAATGTCAACTCTGCCTGTGGTAGATACATGGAAGGATGATGATGATTATTATTTATACCCTGCCCATCTGGCAAGGCTTCCCAGCCACTCTGGGCGGCTCCCAATAGAATATTAAGAACACAATAAAAGATAAAACATAAAAAACTTTCCTAAACAGGGCTGCCTTGAGATATCTTCTAAAAGTCAAATAGTTGTTTATTTCCTTGACAAATAATGGAAGGGCGTTCCACAGGGTGGGCGCCACTACCAAGAAGGCCCTCTGCCTGGTTCCCTGTAACCTCACTTCTCGCAGGGAGGGAACTGCCAGAAGGCTCTCGGAGCTGGACCTCAGTGTCCAGGCTGAACGATGGGGGTGGAGACACTCCTTCAGGTATACTGGACCGAGGCCGTTTAGGGCTTTCAAGGTCAGCACCAACACTTTGAATTGTGCTCGGAAATGTACTGGGAATCAATGCAGATTTCTCAGGACCAGTGTTATATGGTCTCAGCAGCCACCGCCAGTCACCAGTCTAGCTGCCACATTCTAGATTAGTTGTAGTTTCCAGGCCACCTTCAAAGGTAGCCCCACGTAGAGCACATTGCAGTAGTCCAAGCGGGAGATAACTAGAGCATGCACCACTCTGGTGAGACAGTCTGTGGGCAGGTTGGGTCTCAGCCATATGGTTAACTCAGAACAAGCCAGCCCCAAATTTGGCAGCTCTGCTTTTCAGCAGAATCCAAGAATCCTAAAATTGTAGAGCTGGACCCTGAGGGGCATCTAGTCCAATCCCCTGCAATGCAGGAATCTCAACTAAAGCATCCATGTTAGATGGCCACCCAACCTCCCCTTAAACACTGTGAGGTTTACTTTAGCAAAGTTAAACAATCCCCCTTTTAAGTTTATGCTTTGGTAAACCACGATACACCACTGCAAAGAATGAGCCGTAAGAACATCAGTTCCCTGTGGGTGGCTGGGAGCCCCCAGTGCATGTCTTTGGATGCCTGGCGTTAAGCTCACTGGTCTCCTGAGCCTCTTTATATTTACAGGGTTTCACACCTGGCAAGCCATGTACGGCTGCGAGCTGAGGCAGGACGGGCACGTAAGTGGGTATTCCCAATTTGGCTACGACGGGAGGGACTTTGTCACCTTCGACAAGGAGACCCTCACCTGGACGGCAGCTGACACAGCAGCCCAGGTGACCAAGAGGAGGTGGGATGCCGACTTGGTTGCCAACCAGCGCAGGAAGCACTTCCTGGAGGAGATTTGCATCGAGTACCTGCGGAAATACCTGAACTACGGGAAGGAGGTTCTGCTCAGGACTGGTGAGGGGTGCGGTTTTGGAGGGCTCATTGGGGGGAAGTTGGCCATTTCCTTACAACTTATAGGGTGGCGTTCCTGCCAAATGTCTACCAGATCAAGTTGATGATGGGGATAGGGAATAAATGGGGGTGGGAATGGCTTGTTGTGGGTTTTGGGGGGTGAGGGTAGGACTTGAAATACCTTCCTTCAAGTTAGAGGGAACTGAATCAATTCATCCATTGAGGGCCTGGTGACATTTGCCCCTCAGCCCAGAGGTAGCTCAGTGGGAAAATCTCAAAACCACAAGTTTGATAGGCAGGTCTAAACCACTGAACCTCTTGGGCTTGCCAGTTGGAAGGTCAGCAGTTCGAATCCGTGCGGCGGAGTGAGCTCCCGTTGCTCTATCACAGCTCCTGCCAACCTAGCAGTCCGAAAGCACACCAGTGCAAGTAGATAAATAGGTACCGCTGTGGTGGGAAGATAAACGGCATTTCTGTGTGCTCTGGCTTCCGTCAAGGTGTCCTGTTGCGCCAGAAGCAGTTTAGTCCTGCTGGCCATATGACCCAGAAAGCTGTCTGTGGACAAACGCTGGCTCCCTCAGCCTGAAAGCAAGATGAGCGCCATAACCTCATGGTCACCTTTGACTGGACTTAACCGTCCAGGGGTCCTTTACCTTTACCTTTAATATTAGAGCCTCTCAAGAAGACGATGGTGATGATGATTAGAAAATGACATCTCTCCCTCCCAAAGCAGCCCAGGTTGGCCAACACACAAGCAACAAAACTTCATGTGGAATGCTCTCCCCAGGGCGGTTCGCCTGTCGCCTTCATTATATATTTTTAGGCGCCAGGTGAAAACATTCCTCTTCAACCAGGCCTTTGATTGAAGCCCTTGAAACATGTCTGAGGGAAGGGGGTGTTATTGTTTTGTTGTTTTGATTTAATTATTTACTTGTGCTTTATCTTGTATTTTATTCTGTCAACTGCCCTGAGATCTTTTCATGAATGGCAGCGTATCATTATTATTATTATTGTTATTATTATTAATAATTATAATACAATGGTACCTCGGGTTAAGTACTTAATTCGTTCCGGAGGTCCGTTCTTAACCTGAAGCTGTTCTTAACCTGAAGCACCATTTTAGCTAATGGGGCCTCCTGCTGCTGCCACGCCGCCGGAGCACGATTTCTCTTCTCATCCTGAAGCAAAGTTCTTAACCCGAGGTAATATTTCTGGGTTAGCAGAGTCTGTAACCTGAAGCGTATGTAACCCGAGGTACTGCTGTATCATCATCATCATCATTAATAGTATAAGGTGTTAAGGTGTGACCGGAAAGTTCAGTGAATGGTCACAGAAATCAGACAGCGAGAAATATGCGAACATACAATTGGCATCGCAAACCCACGAAATGCTCACAATTGTGAATGGAGATGAAGCTGTAACTCGAAAGACAGTGTGTGAGTGGTTTAAGCATTTCCGTGAAGGGCAGCAAACCATCGAAGATGACCCTCAGTCTGTCAACAAGCAGAACGGCGGCAAATGTTGACAGAGTTCGTGAGTTATTGATGTGGGATCGGCGTTTGTCCAAATGATGGTGGAAGAATCGCATATTCTGCGTGAAATTGTTACTGAGGTTACTGAGTTGTCCCACCCTCCATATTCTCCCCATCTGGCCCCACCGGATTTCTTTCTTTTTCCAAAACTGAAATCTGCACTGAAAGGGCACAGATTTTCCAACATTTCACATGTCCAAGCTGCTGTGATGAAGGACGGGAAAGCAGTATAAAAAGAGGACTTTTCCAGAAGTTTCTAACAGTTCTATGAACGTTGTCAATGGTGCGTTGTATCAGAGGGGGCCTACTTTGAAGGCCTGTAAGGCATGTATGTTCAAATATTTTTCACTGTCCGATTTCTGTGACCATTCACCGAACGTTCCGGTCATACCCTGTAATAATAATCCAGAAACAGTTCCGAGACCAAAACGGACTGGAGAAGATGCGAAGGGAGGCTGAGGAATCTGGTTCCTTCAAGGTTCTTCTTAATTTATTCAGGATGCTACAAGTGTGGGATATTGACTCTCTGGGTCAGGATTGAGGGGGACTCTCCCTGATTTTACAGCATCCATCCTGCCAGCCACCAGAGACATCCCTCTGTTAACCCCAATGCGGCTCTTTTTCCAGAGGCTCCGGTGGTGAAGGTGACCAGGAAGGCAGACTATGACGGCCTGGAGACCCTCGTTTGCCAAGTCCACGGCTTCTACCCCAAGGAGATTGAGGCCAACTGGGTGAAGGACGGGGAGGTCTGGCAGGAGGGCACCCTCCGAGGATTGGTCGCCCCCAACTCGGACGGGACCTACTATCTCTTCCTCAGCGTCAAGATCGACCCCGAGGAGAGGGAGCGCTTCCGGTGCCGCGTGGAGCATGACAGCCTGGAGAAGCCTCTGGACGTGGGCTGGGAGGAGCCAGGTGGGCTCTGGGAGGGGGATTTTATCCATTTTATTTATTGAATTTCAAACCCAGAGATGAAGGGCAGGGGAAGCAGCCAAAGACGCGCAGCCGCTGCATCACAACATAGATTGGCAATTCCTAGTTGGATCCTTTCTGTACATCTGAGAGCAAAACAAGTTACAGTTGTACCTTGGTTCTCAAACACCTTGGTACTCGTCCGTTTTGGCTCCTGAACGACGCAAATCTATAAGTGGGTGTTCCGGTTTGCAAACGTTTTTCCGAAGCCGAATGTCTGATGCGGCTTCCAATTGAGTGCAGGAAGCTCCTGCAGCCAATCGGAAGCCGCGCCTTGGTTTTTGAACATTTTCGGAAGTCAAACAGCACCTGCTGCCTCACAGGCCTTGAGCTCAAAATATTATGTCAAAGGTAAAAGACGGCCACCATCTCTTTGTCTGTAAACGTGTGTGGTTCTGAGTTCACAAAGCATTCATAAACACTCTGATTTTTAGATATGAATAAAACCTTACTATGGCTTCCCCAATTCTGTGGAGAACTCTTCCACACTTTGCATAGGTGGGGGGGGGTTGGGGGGGGAGTAGAGAGAGAGAAGCACGTTCACCACCTTAAAATCCTTGGTGGGATTATAATTACAAAAAAATAAAACTGAATGTCAGATCTCCATCTTTCTGCCTCTCCCATGAATGGAAAATATTGCTCTGAATTTCCCTAATCTGCTTTTAGCATCCAACGTGGGACTTGTTATTGGGTGCATCTTGGTAGCTGTCCTGCTGGCAGCGGCTGGAATTGCTGGGATCTTGGCGTGCATCAGTAAGTAACTTGTGAATGGACTTGCTGGGAATTAGGGACCTAACTCTGTTGTGGGAGAGACTATCCCCTTTTGAAGGAATCCAGGTGACTCCATGAGCTGGTCTTCTCCACTTCCCCCATCCCCTGGTGCTTGGTGTGTTCCTCATTCACCCCTGGAGATTATTAGGCAGGGACCAGAGGAGGCACCTGCCACAAGGTCCTTCCTCCTTGCAGAGGATAAAGCTGAAGGATCTCTACAAGGTCTCTTTCCATCCTAACGCTCTGATTCTGTCTCTGCAGAGAAAAGGAAAGACGGATACAGAGCAGCATCAGGTGAGTGATGCCTTCCTCTTTGCATGCTCATTCTAATGCAGGTAAATTCAGGGTGAGAGCTGAACGATTAGTTGAGCCATGTGTAAGTATATTTCCTCTGTATTATGCTTATATGAGATGATGATGATTACATTTGTGTACTACCCTTCATCCATAGACCTCAGTGCAGTTCGCAACATAAAAATGCAAGATAAAACAATATGATAAAAACAACACACACACCAATAAAAAACCCCTCTTTCCTATCCTTTACCTGTGCACTGCACTGCGCTGATGTTGCGTGTTACCATGGTATAGAGATACTTTAATAAATTAAATAATAAATAAAAAGCACAGAAAAAGGCTTGGGACCTGGCTTCCTGAGACTCTCTCCCTTCATCATCTTCATCATTTTTAATTTGTATACCGTCTTTCTATCTTACAATACTCAAGGCGGTTTACAAGCTGAAGAAACAAAAAATGTACATCTTATAACAATCTAATGCAATACAAAAATGTGATAATAAAACATAACTTTAAAATAGGCAACCTACATAAAACGTAACAGTCAACAATCATTAGAATAGCATTAAATAACAACAACAACATATAAAAGTTAAAGAGAAATCCACTCACCAGTTACAATAAATAATTTCCAAACTATAATCAATAAAATGACAGCAAGCCACAGTACATAAAATAATACAATACAAATTGAGAAGCAGAGACTGGAGGGTGGAGCAAGGCAGGTGGAAAGAGGCCTTGCTTCGTTGTACCCTGAAAACACATCGGTTAGAAAATGGCAGGATTCAAGGCACCGAGGAGGCAGGCTTGGTTTATTTTTAAATTTTATACCCCCCTTTCCCCCCACATCTGAATCTCGAAAGGTCTCACAGATGCAAAGCCAGATTGAGTCCTTTAACGGTGGTGTCCTAGGCTGCTGGTGGCCTGTTCTTGTCACCACCCTAGCTGCAGTATCTCCCCTAGGGCAGAGCAGACCCACATTGCAATAATTTAGATTTGAGGTGACTGGAGGTGTCAGTGCATGGACTACAGGGGTCAGGTTGCCCCTGTTGTGACCATGAGGCCCTGCTATGTGTGAGGAACCAACTCTCCCAAGGTTAGATCTGAACGCGGGCCTGCAAGGTGGAGAGAGAGAGAGAGAGAGAGAGGGAGAGACGCATGTCCCAGAAGGAGTCAGTGGAGTTTTCCCTCCTGCCAGGTGAGCTCTTCTTACATTGAAGATATCCCTCTCTATCCCCCATGGCTCCCCAAAGGAGAGGTGTACTTGCTTCCAAACTGAAGGCTTTCCTGTTTAACACCCCCACTGTATACGTTGCAGGCGGACTCTACATCTTTCCAGTTGTTTTCCCAGGCCTTGGAAATGCGTTCATTACACTGTACAGTGGTACCTCGGGTTAAGAACTGAATTCATTCTGGAGGTCCGTTCTTAACCTGAAACTGTTCTTAACCTGAAGCACTATTTCTGGGTTAGCGGAGTCTGTAACCTGAAGCGTCTGTAACCTGAAGCACCTGTAACCTGAAGCATCTGTTACCCCAGGTACCACTGTATTTTAGTGCCTTAATTCAACGACAACGCTGTTCAAGGTGAAGACTTGTGATTGCCACCATGGGCAGCCAGTCAGTGCTGTGCACAGCCAGCTGCTCAAACCTAGCGCAGCCAGTTCCTCCTGAACTGCATCATGCAGGGAAGGTGGTATCATCATTTTTTATTTGTATGCCGCCTTTACACAGTTAAAAAAGCAATGCTCAAGGCTGCTTACAGCATAACAAGGTTTACATAATTACAAAAGTCATAAATCACATTAAAAAAAAAATACCCAACCAAATGGGAAACAATTTCCACATAAATCAAAATCTAAAACTAAGAATACAGCATTAATATCACAGTTTAAAATGACATAGGTAAAAAATAACAGCAATTTAAACAAAAAACAAAACAAAACGGAGCTCTCTCTGCCCAGCAGCAGGAGCGGTAGTCCTTTACAGAGCCCATCAGGCCCCGCCCTGGGCCAGGTGGTGAGTGGCAGGACTGGGGTCCTCAGGCGCAGAGCAGGGGAGTATGATGAAGGCCGTGCCATATCTGACCTTAAAGGGGACATTCCCAGGGTGCAGAGAGACACTTGCAATGCTGTCTGTCTGTGGAGCATATCAGCAAGTTGCGTGTGTCCCCCTACCCCCGCTGGGCAATGGTGGACCTGAGATCCACCCCTGGTGCTTAGTGGTGGGAAGATGCCTGGATTTGGGGCGCCTCTTAATACCCTCCCTCTGCACCTGACTTCTGTTTGTTTCGTTTAGAGCGCAGTGTCTGCCCTATTTCTTTTGAAGATGGAGAAAGTGCTCTGCAAACAACCCCCCCCAATCTTGCATACCTGTCTTGTTCTTCCTCTGCAGGTGACCCTGGAGAGGGTGGGGTCATCCCATGCGTGGTCCTCGAGGATGCTGAGCAAGCCTGATCTTGCCTTGTCGTGATTCACCCGCCGGGGCGGACAAGGGAGAGTTGCCTCTGATCCAATGATGATCGCTTGCTCATGTGGTTTTGAGAATTTGCCTCGTATGGCGAGAGTGTCAGTTTGCATTTCTTTGTACAGAAAGTATTGATCTGATGTGTAGAGATCTTTCCTGTTCTGCTTAATCCAAGAGGGTTCTGGAAGGTTTCTTCTCTGTGTGAAAGAAGGATCTTGTTTGGGTTATTCCTTCTGAGTACAGCTGGTTTCAGGGATGTGGGTGGTGCTGTGGGTTAAACCACAGAGCCTAGGACTTGCCGATCAGAAGGTTGGCGGTTCGAATCCCTGCAACGGGGTGACCTCCCGTTGCTTGGTCCCAGCTCCTGCCAACCTAGCAGTTTGAAAGCATGTCAAAGTGCAAGTAGATAAATAGGTACCACTCTGGCGGGAAAGTAAATGGTGTTTCCGTGCGCTGCTCTGGTTTTGTCAGAAGCGGCTTAGTCATGCTGGCCACATGACTAACAGTGAGGTCAGAAAAAAACCTGGGTTTCATTCTGTCTCTATCTCTCTTTCTGGTGTGATGTTTCGTATATAGTGTTAAGGTTTTAGTCTTATTATAAGATATTGTTAAGTTTCCATTAAGTCTGCTGCAACTGTATTTCTTAAGGACAGTGCCAATCCTGAATGTATTGGATTTGTGACCATTATGCTCATTTGCCTTCAGTAGCAGTAAAGCTCTGCTGGATGAAATATCAATTGCCTCTGGTCTATTTTCTGGGAACTCTTCAACGTGTTTAAGTTTTTCCTCCACACATGCGACAGAGAGACCCTCAGAGAGATTGAAGGATATCTCGGGAGTGATGCGGATTAAAGTTGCCAGGCAGAAGGCTGCGTCTCTGGGACTCTGGAGAAGCAAAGAGAATCAGATCTGTGGAATGATGAGGGGGAGAGGAAAGGCAAAAGTTTGGCCGCCTGAGCTGGGAAGACTCCAGGAGAAGCTCCAGGGCCCCTGTCCTGATGTGAAGATGCTGAATGGAGGAGGACAGAGAGAAGCGGTGGACAAACACCGGAAATCTGGGGAAGAGAGAGCTCTGGAGGTGGAAAATCCTGAAAGGGAGTTTGCTATGAATATGCCCGCCTGTCTTTGGGTGTTGGTGGGGAACGACTGCTTTGGGGAGCTGATTTCTGAGACACACGTCTGTTGGTGCTGTGATTTCTAGGTACAGGTGTGAGTCTTTTCTTACCCACTGTTTACTCCTGAATTGCAGCAGCAGCAACAACAACAACTACTTATTTATACCCCACCCATCTGGCTGGGTTTCCTCAGCCACTCTGGGTGGCTCACAACAGAATATTGAAAACGCAGTAAAAAGTCAAACAAAAAAAACTTCCCTAAACAGGGCTGCCTTCAGATGACTTCTAAAAGTCAGGTACAGTGGTACCTCGGGTTACAGACGCTTCAAGTTACAGACGCTTCAGGTTACAGACTCCGCTAACCCAGAAATAGTACCTTGGGTTAAGAACATTGCTTCAGGATGAGAACAGAAATCGTGCTCCGGTGGCGTGGCGGCAGCGGGAGGCCCCATTAGGTAAAGTGGTGCTTCAGGTTAAGAACAGTTTCAGGTTAAGAACGGACCTCCGGAACAAATTCAGTACTTAACCTGAGGTACCACTGTGCTTGTTTATTTCCTTGACATCTGATGGGAGGGCGTTCCACAGGGTGGGCGCCACTACCGAGAAGGCCCTCTGCCTGTTTCTCTGTAACCTCTCTTCTCGTAGGGAGAGAACGGCCAGAAGGCCCTCGGAGCTGGACCTCAGTGTCCAGGTAGAACGATGGCGGTGGAGACGCTCCTTCAGGTATACTGGGCTGAAGCCATTTAGGGCTTTAAAGGTCAGCACCAACAAGCATCAGCCAGGCTTTCCACAGCAGGTTTTCCAAGAGAAAGTGGTGGGACAAAATAAAAGTGTTCACAACCATGCCTAGAAATCACAGCAGCCCACTGTAATAGCCAAAGACCCACAGGCGTCCTGCCCAATGGGGAGGAGCTGAACTGAGACGGGACGTGGTTTGTGTGTGCGTGCATGCGTGTTTATCATTGGCAGAAAATTCCTTTTGCACTGCAAGCTGGCAGTATTGTGTTACAACTCCCAGTCTTAAGTCTAGCTGCCACCTTGTTCCCAGGCTCACTTTAAAGTGCACACACTTTAAGGCTGCCTCCTTCCCTACAGACCCCCCCGGGTGTCAAGGCAGTTCTGCTGCCTGAGCCCTTCTCTCCCATGGAGATCTACCAGAGGAAAAGGATTAGTTGTCCCGACTGAGCTCCACTAGGAGCCGGGCATTTGGTGTCGCTGGTCCCCTGCCCTTCCAGCAGATGTTCAGCAGAGGCCTCTTCACCTTGGCCTTCTGGACATCCCTTGAAGACTGTTTTGGATGCCCATTCAGTTTAATTTATTTGAGATTAGTCAGTTGTGATTATTTTGCATTGCATTTTTGTATTCGCGTATCTCGTCGTATGCCACCTGAATATTCTATTTGAATAGGCAGCAAGTACAGTTGTACCTACGAAGTCAAACACCTTGCGAGACAAATGTTTTGGCTCTCAAACGCCGCAAACCCAGAAGTGAGTGTTCTGGCTTGCAGATGTTCTTTGGAACCCGAAAGTCCATCGCAGATTCCGATTGGTTGCAGGAGGTTCCTGAACATTTTGGAAGTCAAACGGACTTCCAGAATGGATTCCGTTCGACTTCTGAGGTACGACTGTACTGTTATAAATAAAAATCTAGAAAGAATAAGCCAGTCGCTGCACAATACTACCTTGCCTTTGTTGTTCTTGCCTTTCCATCATCTGCATGGACTCCAAATATGTACAGGGCAAGAAAATGAGTAAAAAGTCATTGATATCACAAGTGTGTTGTGCGTTCGTGTTTTGGCTCTTCTGCAACATGTAAATTGAATAAACAAATAAAAATAAACTTGACTTGCTTAAACTGGTCCCTTGAATGATTTCTCGGAAATCACCTGATTTCCTTTTCAGTTGGGAAGAAAGCAGCCGGCAGGGGGCAGCGGAGGATCGCAAAAAACAGGAAAGCGAGAAAATACAAATAGGGACTGTGGAGAAAAGGGTGAGGATGTTTTGTGGCAGAGAGAAACCATGAGGGCAGGAATCCACCCTGGAAACACACACACACACACACACACACACACGCACAGAGATCCATTTGCACAAGAAGAAAGACAAAGGACTGACTTTCTCAGCAAAAGGGCTCTCCATTTATCAATTGTCAATTATCAATTTCTGTACAGGCATCAGTCAAATGACGGGCCTGAGATGCCATTGACATGTGAAAAGGATTCCTGGCACCTCAAAAGCAGTGGAGACACACCAACTTCGCTTCTTTCCCCCCTTTATGAGCCCAATTAAGATGTTGACAAAGCAGATTCCCACACAGAAGTGTGCGCAGGCACGACTGTGAACATGCATGTGTGCATGTGCACAGCGGTGGACAGCCTCTGTCCCATGGACCACACGGGGCACAGTTTTTCTCTAGCAAAGTTTATTACTGTCAGCGGAGGGTAGTGCACATTGAGACAGATAAGGCAGGAGACAGGGAGGCCAACACTAGGGGGAGCCAGAGCCAAAGGCAGGCTGCTGTAAGTAAGAAGGAAGGGAGGTGGGGGCGCACTAAGGCTGGTGGGGCAGTGCCCCCTTGTCCAAATGGGCTGCCCTCCACTAACGGGAATAAAAAAACAGAGTGGAGGGGAGCAAATTCATTCGTCGTAGAACTTAGGAATCTCGTCTCCCACGACAACTTCCTCCTTGACACCCTCTTTGGTGATGGTGGCGAGGTAAATGACGCCCCCGCTGGATCCGTCCCGGCACATGGCGAGGGCAATGGCTGAAAGGAGAGGGAGGAGAAAGGAAAAGGGGCGTTTAAATTCAGCTGATGCTGTAGAAAAAGCTTTGAGGACGGGGATGATATAATAAAGTTGTTGTTGTTGTTGTTGTTGTGGCCTATCAGCACTATACATTTAAAACAGTATCAAAGCACTTTAAACCGTTGAGCCTTCTCCCAAAGAATTATGGGAACTGTAGATTGTTAAGGGTGCCGAGTGCTGTTAGGAGACTTCTAGTCCCCTTGCAGAGCTACAATTCAAAAAGTTCCCTTGGGAAGAACAGGGATTGATTGTTAAACTACTCTGGGAATTGTAGATTTGTGGAGGGAATAAGGGGTCTGGGAACTGTAGTTTGGCAAGGATGCTGAGAGTTGTTAGCTCTCAGTATCTTTACCAAACTACAGTTCCCAGAATTCTTTGGGGGAAGCCATGATATTCTAAAGTGGCATCATAGCACTTTAAATGCCCAGTGCAGACGGGGCCCTGTTGCTTTTATGGAGCCACTCGCATAGCTATAGAAACCACAACCCATTTCTAGGAAATACAGTGGTACCTCAGGTTAAGAACTTAATTCGTTCTGGAGGTCCGTTCTTAACCTGAAACTGTTCTTAACCTGAGGTACGACTTTAGCTAATGGGGCCTCCCGCTGCCGCTGCGCGATTTCTGTTCTCATCCTGAGGCAAAGTTCTTAACCAGAGGTACTATTTCTGGGTTAGTGGAGTCTGTAACCTGAAGTGTCTGTAACCTGAAGCGTCTGTAACCTGAAGTTTCTGTAACCCGAGGTACCACTGTACTGCTATTTTCTCCAATGGTTAACAACGATTAACAGTGGTTAACAATGGTTCTCCAAACTGCATCTTTCTGAGCTACTTTTCTCCAATTTCTAGTCAAAACCTGCACCTTCTGTAAAGATGGGACTAGACTTTCTAGGAGTCCAGCTTTGTTTCCACCTCTCCACACCCCCCAAAAAAATGTCCCTGTCACGCCGCCACCCTGAAATGGACACAGCTTAGACGGCTACCGTTCATTGTGAACTGGCGGCATTCCTCCCGGCTCATTCCTGGCTTGTAGGCAGAGTCCACGTAGCCGTAAATGTAGGTGCTCCCGGATCCGCCAATCGCAAAAGGCTGTTGGGTCAGCATCCCGCCCAGAGTCCCGTACACCTGGAAGGTAGCAGAGAATGAGCGGAGCAGGTGGGATGCCAGAAACCATCCCTGGCCCATCATTCTCTCTGCTTACCTGCCCGCCTTTCTTGGCGTCCCATCCTGCCACCATGAGGTGAGCCGAAAACTCCTCCTTGTACTTGTAGCTGATGTTTTTCACCAAGGTGGCTGCGGCCAGGACCAGCGGAGGACCCTCCATGTTCAAGCTGCCAGGGAGACAAAAAAAAGATTAGGTAGGTAGGTAGATAGATAATTTATTACAGTCGAAGACCAGCTTATAAAACACACTTGGGGGTACATTCCCAGAAAGAAAACAAACAGTTAAAACAATGTATAACAATAAATTTAAAATTTATAAATGCAATAAACGTATAGACACTTAAAACTTTAAGATAAGCTACCGCAGAGAGATGACCCAGAGTCACCCATGGAAGCGAGTTTGGGGATTTTCTTCATGAACTAGTTTGAGTCGGGGGATGGTCTGCACCTACAGATCTGTACACAGAATCTGGCAACCATCCGGGTCGTCTTATGATCTTTGCCTAACAGGAAAATGTCAAATTTTTTTGCTTTTCTGGGAGGTCAGCGAGCCTCACCAGCAGGGAATCAATGGTCTCACTACGTGCCTCTTCGTAAAAGGGACATCTAAAGAACAAGTGCTCTGGGCTTCCTATCTCCCCCAATGAAGAGGCGCAAAGTCTCTGAGCATATGGGACTTTTTAAAAGGATCCTTCCAGGACCAGTGAGGGCAGAGCCAAGCTTCTGGCGAGTGTGAAAGCCCTTCTTGCATTAGGTAAAAATGAGGGGAATTGGGTCCTGCAACAAAACCACAGCAGTGCAGTGCATTCCTGTTCAGGTTTCTAGCCAGCCAGCCAGCCATGCCCCTTTTCAAGATACTCCATCACATTCCCTCTCCCGCCTGGTTTTCCACAGACACACCTAGCATTCTGTGTCTTCTGAGCATGCTCAAACCTCACTGGCCTGTTTTTTTCAGGGGTGCCTTTCCCCCACCCTTCACATTTTCTCCCCTTAAAGCAGCCTTTCTCGACCTGTGGGTCCCCAAATGTTGTTGGACTACAACTCCCATCACCCCTAGCTAGCAAGGCCAGAGCTCTGGGATGATGGGAGTTGTAGTCCAACAACATCTGGGGACCCACAGGTTGAGAATCACTGCTTAAAAGCTGATTTTTTTCGTATTTCTGCCAAATTTTGGGGGTCCCCTCCACCTCCGTAAACCTGCTGATTCTCTCGTGTGAGAATAAGAGCATTGATCTTGCTATTTCTATATAGGATATGCTCCCCTCACTTTAAAATACACACTGAACGTGAAGAAGTCTGCACAAGCCCCTTTCTCGTGTACAGTGCTATCTTGGAAGTCGAACGGAATCCGTTCCGGAAGTCAGTTTGACTTCCAAAACATTGGAAAACAAAGGTGCGGCTTCCAATTGGCTGCAGGATATCTCGTAATAGCAACAGCCTTAACGGCTGAGTCTGGAGTCTCCTTTTCTGGGAAATCGGGTGATAACGGAGAAAAGAGAACAGAGAGCTCTTCCTGCTTTGGCCACTAGAGGGCGGTTCAGCACCAACAAACTGTGTTCTTTCTTCCAGAAACCAGGCTGAGTTCACCTAACATCTGAATCAATTGCCAGGTGGCTTAAAGATGGGGTCCGCCATCTTGAGGCTTGCAGCTGGTAGTAGGCTAGACCTCAGGGCCAAGACCCAGCCCCCACCCCACTCATTACCATCTAGAAAGCAGCAGAAAATGGTGAAAATGGCAAAATTGGGGGGGGGGGAGCAAATCATTGAGGCTGGTCACCACAGCATCCTCCCTTTATTCTTATTTTTTAAAACATGTTTATAGCCACATGAGTCCAGATGCTCATTTTCTTTATACAGTGGTACCTCAGGTTAAGTACTTAATTCGTTCCAGAGGTCCGTTCTTAAGCTGAAACTGTTCTTAACCTGAAGCACCACTTTAGCTAATGGGGCCTCCCGCTGCTGCCGCACTACCACCGCACGATTTCTGTTCTCATCTTGAAGCAAAGTTCTTAACCCGAGGTACTATTTCTGAGTTAGCGGAGTCTGTAACCTGAAGCGTACGTAACCTGAAGCACATGTAACCTGAGGTACCACTGTATTTTTTTCCTTAAAAATATATATTACTCTCTTTTTTTTTACAACAAAATTATACTTGTGTCCAAGCAAAGGTGCTGAGCACAAGGAAAACAGAAGGAAACTCCATTTTATTCCTGTACAGTCATACCTCGGGTTGAAGTTGCTTCAGGTTGAGCGCTTTCAGGTTGTGCTCCGCGGCAACCCAGAAGTAACGGAACACGTTACTTCCGGATTTCACCACTCGTGCATGCGCAGACGCTCAAAATGACATCACGCGCATGTGTGGAAGCGGCGAATCGTGACACACGCACATGCACACACGTGGGTTGCGTTTACTTCAGGATGCGAACGGGGCTCCGGAATGGATCCTATTCATATCCAGAGGTACCACTGTAGTAGTTATGGTGCTGCACGTTAAAATGAGAAACTGTACATGCTCAGAGGATTTATTTCTTAAAAAAAATAGGAGTAGCCAATTTTCTTTGCCGTTTACTCTAGGTTGGAGAAACTTTCTGGCTGGGGAGACCAGATCTTTATTAGACCCCCGTCTCTGACAGCCAACTGTGACAGGCGGGCTGGGTGGACAATGCTCCTGTCAATCATATGATTGACAAGTGGGTAGTCCCACCCACCTGTCATAGAATCAGAGTTACATGAGGATCATCGAGTCCAACCCAACCCAGGAATCTTTTGCCCAGCGTGGACCTCGATCCCACAGCCCTGAGATTAAGAGTCCCATGCTCTGCCAAAACTGCTGTTAAAATGGAACGTCCCCTCTCTTGTTTTTGCAGTGGTTTCCCTGAAATTCACCCGAGCTAAGGTGACGCTTGGCCACTGTGTAAGGTCCTCTAGAGATGGCACCTGTGGCTGGCAGCCTGCCCCCTCCCTCACCTGAGAAGCTGACACTAGTGCTCACCTGTGCAGCTCTAGCTGGTAGTTCACCATGTCGGCAATGGCCTGGGCATCTGCTGCCGAGCCAGAGAGGGCACAATAAATTCGGCTGTGCAGCCGCTCCAGTTTGTTGAAGACGCAGTTCACCACGGACTGCCTGGGAGGAGATGTCAAAAGCACAGTGTGAAAGGAGAGAGAGACATTACAGTGGCAAAAATCAACATTCCCACAACTCTAGAAAATCCCACAAATATTTCAACAGAGGAAATCAGAGGTGGGCATTTTGGCTCTCATGCACGGCTTGGCACACTTCACGTGGTTCCAACTTTGGAAGCCAGCCATTTAACTGGACAAGCAGCTAGTCCTGTGGAAGGTGGATTTCCATCACGCATTCAAGGAGGCCTCGTTTGGACAAAGAGATATGCATCTCAGAGGAAGGAAACTCCCTCCCAGAAAAGTAGCCTCGGAAATGTTACACTGCCCTGCGATTCCCCACCATCGGGTGGAGAGGCCAGACATTAGACAGGTGTACACAAACACACAAGCACCCCCCCTTTCTCAAACGTACAGCACTCACCCTGCAGATACTCTGGAGTCAGATCCAATCACAACCCCTCCGTCAAACTCCACGGCCATGATGGTTGTCTGCAGAAGGGGAAAGAAGGGGGAGTTTTTTTGTTTTTTTAAAAAATTATTTAATCGTTTTTTCAATACAAACAACAACAGCAAAGACACATAAAACAAAAACCATTGTAACACTAATAACACAATTTGACAATTCAGATTTGAATACTGATATACCGTCCGTATAGTTAAAGCTATGGTTTTCCCAGTAGTGATGTATGGAAGTGAGAGCTGGACCATAAAGAAGGCTGATCGCCAAAGAATTGATGCTTTTGAATTATGGTGCTGGAGGAGACTCTTGAGAGTCCCATGGACTGCAAGAAGATCAAACGTATCCATTCTTAAAGAAATCAGCCCTGAGTGCTCACTGGAAGGACAGATCCTGAAGCTGAGGCTCCAATACTTTGGCCACCTCATGAGAAGAGAAGACTCCCTGGAAAAGACCCTGATGTTGGGAAAGATTGAGGGCACAAGGAGAAGGGGACGACAGAGGACGAGATGGTTGGACGGTGTTCTCGGAGCTACCAGCATGAGTTTGACCAAATTGCGGGAGGCAGTGGAAGACAGAAGTGCCTGGCGTGCTCTGGTCCATGGGGTCACGAAGAGTCGGACATGACTAAACGACTAAACAACAACAACAACACCTTTTAAACAATATTTCCCCACCTCTCCTCCCCTACTTCCCACCACTGTCCGCCTTATCACTTAAATATTCCCTCCAGATTTCTTCACATTTATCCATTCTTCATTGGCGACATGCAATTCGTTCGTATGTAGCTAGTCTGTCCATATTATCAATCCATGTGCTCAATGGAATCTTTTTGCGGCTCTTCCAGTTCATCAAAACAAGTTTTTTTTTTATTCTAATATGGCACAGTACATCCATTTTTTTTTGACACCTTGTAATCTCCCACGTTTCTGGAATATACCGTATTTTTCGCACCATAGGACGCACCGGACCATAGGACGCACTTTGTTTTAGAGGGGGGAGAGCAAGAAAAAAAAATCTCCCCCTCTCTGCCCAGCGCCCCTTCAGCGAAGTGGCAGGAGGCGCTGCGCAGAGAGGGGGAGAACTTTCACCCTCTTGTTTTCCCGCTCTAAAACAAGGTGCCGTTTAAGGTGCGTCCAGGCGGCAACCTTGGAAGCCTGGAGAGCGAGACCCTCGCTCTCCAGGCTTCAGGTTCCTTCGACCTGCTCTTTGGGGCTGGCGGGGAAGCCCACCGCCAGCCCCAAAGAGCAGTTCAGGAGCAGCGGAAAGGCGCAGCGGAGAGGCTCCTGCCATAGCCGTGCGTCACCTCTCCAGCCGGGAGAGCGCGCGGGAGCTAAGCAGCCCCCGCGACCCTCTCCCGGCTGGAGAGGTGACGGGCGGCTATGGCAGGAGCTTCTATAGCCGCCCGTCACCTCTCCAGCAGCCCCGCGCGCGACCCTCTCCCGGCTGGAGAGGTGACGGGCGGCTATTGAGGCTCTTGCCATAGCCGCCCGTCACCTCTCCAGCCGGGAGAGCGCGCGGAGCTAAAGCAGCCCCGCGACCCTCTCCCGGCTGGAGAGGTGACGGGCGGCTATGGCAGGAGCTTCTACAGCCGCCCGTCACCTCTCCAGCAGCCCGCGCGCGCTCTCCCGGCTGGAGAGGTGACGCGCGGCTATTGAGGTTCTTGCCATAGCCATGCGTCACCTCTCCAGCCGGGAGAGCGCGCGGCTCTAAAGCAGCCCCGCGCGACCCTCTCCCGGCTGGAGAGGTGACGGGCGGCTATTGAGGCTCTTGCCATAGCCGCCCGTCACCTCTCCAGCCGGGAGAGCGCGCGGGAGCTAAAGCAAGAGCCTCAACTAGCCGCCCGTCACCTCTCCAGCCGGGAGAGGGTCGCGGGGCTGCTTTAGCCCGCGCGCGCTCTCCCGGCTGGAGAGGTGACGGGCGGCTATTGAGGCTCCTGCCATAGCCATGCGTCACCTCTCCAGCCGGGAGAGCGCGCACGGGGCTAAAGCAGCCCCCCGCGACCTTCTCCCGGCTGGAGAGGTGACGGGCGGCTATGGCAGGAGCTTCTATAGCCGCCCGTCACCTCTCCAGCAGCCCCGCGCGCTCTCCCAGCTGGAGAGGTGACGGGCGGCTATGGCAAGAGCCTCAATAGCCGCCCGTCACCTCTCCAGCCGGGAGAGCGCGCGGGCTAAGCAGCCCCCGCGACCCTCTCCCGGCTGGAGAGGTGACGGGCGGCTATTGAGGCTCTTGCTTTAGCCCGCGCGCGCTCTCCCAGCTGGAGAGGTGACGGGCGGCTACTGAGGCTCCTGCCATAGCCGTGCGTCACCTCTCCAGCCGGGAGAGCGCGCACGGGGCTAAAGCAGCCCCCCGCGACCTTCTCCCGGCTGGAGAGGTGACGGGCGGCGATGGCCGGGGCGTCTATATCCGCCCGTCACCTCTCCAGCAGCCAGCGCGCGCTCTCCAGCTGGAGAGGTGACGGGCGGCTATGGCAAGAGCCTCAATAGCCGCCCGTCACCTCTCCAGCCGGGAGAGCGCGCGCGGGGCTAAAGCAAGAGCCTCAATAGCCGCGCGTCACCTCTCCAGCCGGGAGAGGGTCGCGGGGCTATGGCGTCTTCGCTCCATAGGACGCACACACATTTTCCCTTCATTTTTGAAGGGAAAAAAGTGCGTCCTATAGAGCGAAAAATACGGTAAATTAGAATTCAATTCAATTCCCCTAAATAACAAGGGGGAGTCTTGACTTTTTCAGGGGTGACTGGTGCCCCTTGGAACCAGTAGGGCAGCAGGCCAGGAGCTGAACAGAAGGGGGCGCCAGAACCAACTCATTCTATTGCTTGTCCCTCCTCCCCATTGAGTTTGACAAGGGCAATACTGAGACTAGCAAGTAGGCAGGTGGAGGCTGGTGGGGCAGGGCCCCATTTGCCCCAGGGAAGCAGACTCCATGGAGATCTTTTGCAAAGGAGAAGAAAGGGAGGGTAGGGTTTTCATCGGTGCTTGGAGGCCCTGGCCCTCTGGCACTGATAGTTTTACACTTGTACAATCAGTGAGACAGCTGGATTCTAAATGGAGCAGGGTTATTTTTATTATTATTAGGCTACTGTAGAGAAGAGAGGATAAAATACTGCTGGTTCTTGTTTCCAACATTTGCTTCAAACATACCTTTAAAGAAGATTGGAAAATGTTTATTGAAAAATGGGAAATAACTGTGTACAGCTGAAAACGCTGGCAGCGTTAAAAGAAATTCAACAGTGTAAGTAAGTTTTGGTGGATGCAATAATGGAATACTGAATGGTATAATTTTTGTAAAAGATGCAGGGGTTTATGATACGTAAAATGAACCATGAAAAGAGAAGAAGGGAAGTCATAGATATTTTAAGGATGTAAAATGAGTATTTAAAACGGTAGAACAGAACATTTAATAAAAATTATAATAATAAGAAGAATAAATTGGTTGGCTTTAAATCTAAAGAGGAAGCCGGGCTTTGCAATCTTGCAGCAGTGAAGATGCGAGTCAAAAGACATACCATATTTTTCGCTCTATAGGACGCACCCGAACATAGGACGCACCTTGTTTTAGAGGGGGAGAACAAGAAAAAAAATTCTCCCCCTCTCTGTGCAGCGCCCCTTCAGCGAAGCGGCAGGAGAAACGGAGCCCCTTCCATTTCTCCTCCCGCTTGGCTGAAGGGGCGCTGCGCAGCTCTCCCTCTCTGCTGAAGCCAGGAGAGTCTTGCTCTCTTGGCTTCAGCGAAAGGAACCCGAAGCCCGCGGAGCCAGCGGGAACTCGCGCTGCGCTCCGAAGGCTTCAGGCAGCTATCCCTGAAGCCAGGAGAGTGAGAGGGGTCGGTGCGCACCGACCCCTCTCGCTCTCCAGGCTTCAGCAAAAGCAACGCGAAGCCTCCGGAGCGCGGAGGGAGCGCTCCCTCTGCGCTTCGGAGGCTTCACGTTGCTATCGCTGAAGCCAAGGAGCCTGCATTCGTGCCATAGGACGCATACACATTTCCCCTTAATTTTTGGAGGGGGAAAAGTGCGTCCTATAGAGCAAAAAATACGGTAGTTATGTGCTACCATGGATCATTTATTTTCTTCTCTTTCGGGCCTATTAACAGATCCATTTTGCAGGGATATAAATATTACTATTATTATTATTTGACATCCAGCAGGGCAAACGAGATGGAACCAACGCGGAAGAAACTTTTTATTTGAATACCACTATGCCCCTCGCACCTCATTTTTTCTAGCATTCATTAATGATGCTGATGGGGGGCGTCCCTCCTTCTCCTCCCCCCACCCAGGCAGCATCAGGTGGCTGAAATGCCCTTACGTTTCCCACAATGCACCTGGCAGAGCATCACTCTGCGGCATTCTGGGAAACTGAAAAGGGGGCTAGATGCAGCCGCCCAGGGCTGCTGAAGAGTGCAACCACCACATCTAGGGGAGACCACCTGAAACCCACTGACAGGGAGGGGCGGCTAGCAGAGGACCCTCAGACCTGGAGCCAGACCTGGGCTGAGGGCAGACCCATAACACTGCCCTCTCCATTAACCAGCATAAAGGTAAAGGTAAAGGGACCCCTGACCATTAGGTCCAGTCGTGGCCGACTCTGGGGTTGCGGCGCTCATCTCGCTCTATAGGCCGAGGGAGCCGGCGTACAGCTTCTGGGTCATGTGGCCAGCAGGACTAAGCCGCTTCTGGTGGTGAACCAGAGCAGCGCACGGAAACGCCGTTTACCTTCCCCCTGGAGCGGTACCTATTTATCTACTTGCACTTTGACGTGCTTTCGAACTGCTAGGTTGGTAGGAGCAGGGACCGAGCAACGGGAGCTCACCACGTCGCAGGGATTCGAACCGCCAACCTTCTGATCGGCCAGTCCTAGGCTCTGTGGTTTAACCCACAGCGCCACCTGCATCCCTATTAAACTGCATACTTCTTGCTTATCTGTCTTATATGCAGCATTATCCGCCATTGCCTCTGCAAAGGAGCGAAATCCATTGGCTGGCACATCCGCACAGAAGACGGCCAACTTTATTCCTGATTGCATCTGTTTTGTACGAAACTGTTTCGCCGGTTGTATCTGTTGCTACAATATTTCTTATGTAAAAGGCAGATGATATTAACCTCCTGTTAATATCCCATTGAGTTCAATGGGACTTACTCTCAGGTAGACCTCCATGTATAGGGGTACCACCCAAATGCATAGATCTCTGTGCAACAATGTCTGGAGGTGAGGTAGCTATTGGCTGTGTTTAAATTGTGGGGCTGATTCACCAACCAAACCGGAAAAGCTTATGCAAAATAATAAATATGAATAATGGGGGGGGGTGTCCTCAGTTTGAATTAACTGATACAGATCATAGAATCCGGGGGGAATATTAACTGTTCACTGCACACAGCTCTGGGCTGATTCACTTTGATCTCAGCTGCTTTTCATCCATTTGGGGAATGTGTGTAGTGCTGGCATAGGCAAACTCTGCCCTCCAGACGTTTTGGGACTACAATTCCCACCATCCCTGACCACTGGTCCTGTTAGCTAGGGATCATGGGAGTTGTAGTCCCGAAAACATCGGGAGGGCCGAGTTTGCCTATGCCTGGCCTAGTGGGTAGAGCTTTGGCCCTGGCAAGGTCACACCAATTCTAACCATAGCTGTCAACTTTCAGATTTGAAAAAAAGGATCAGCGGCCTTGAAAATAAGGGATCAGCAGCCTCACCTGTCCCGGGGACAGTCTACGGGATATATAACAATCCGGGATAGCAGCGGGAAGCAGTGGGAAACGGTGCTGGAATAAGGGAATTTCCCGCAAAAAAAGGGAAGGTTGACAGCTATGATTCTAACAGATAAGTCATTTAATGTTGGGGAAACCTTTCTCCCTGCCTCAGTTTCTCCTCTGTAAAATGCAAACAGCTGTGCCTATTCCTTCCTCAGAGGTTTTCAAGCAGAGGTTGCAAGGCCATCTGTCATGGGTGCTTTAGCTGAGTTCCCTGGGGTCTACAAAGTCTACGATTCTGCGATTCTATTACTATTCTGTAGGGGATATGAGAAGAGGAAGAATGATGTACTTTGACAGGCGAATATGCAAGAACCCACCAATTTAGTAAAATAGTAGGGGCAAAAAAAAAAAAGTGTGGGCGAGATCCGTGACTGTTGGTGGTGCAAAACTGCCCTCCTGCCTCCGTTTTCCCTCATTAACATGAAACGGGTGACTGTACCTTAAGCCCCCTCCCCGATTTCGCTCTCCCCCCACCCATCTATCCAGCCCCAAACTAGCCCCTATTTGGGGGGAGTGACCCCACCCCCCAAAAAAGTGTTCAGGGCGTTTGGATTCCTGCGAATCCTAGGCAAACCCCACCCGCCACGCAACCAGGACACACGCAGAGATACTCACGCCGGTGCTGATCTTCTGCGGCCCGCGGTGGTCCATGGTGGCCCCCGACCCGCAGCGCTGCAGCTTCTTCCGCGGGAACCGACCGAGAACGAAAGTGACAGGGGACGCTGTCGCCTGCGGAGCCGCTCGCGGCCGCCAGAGGGCGCCCCTCCTCGCGTTAAACTTTAACCTGCGAGGGAGTCGCCATCCGGCTCTGAATGGGGCGCGGTGGGGCGGTGGCCAAGGCCGCCTTTGCTGCCCCTGGATGGGGCGCTGGGTCTTCAGGCATCCCAAGCCGCTTCCCCAGCGCTCAGGTTACTGGCAGCCGGCTCTCCAGAGCATGCTGGACACTTGATCCTCCGGGGATCCGCTCCAGAACCTGTTGCCAATGCCGAGGCTCACATTTCTGAATGAAAGAACGCGCGTTAACCCTCCCGCATGGGGAAGAATCGCGATGGCGAGAGTGGTCCAGAGCATGTGCAGAGTACAAGGCCTTCCTCGCACAGATCGAGGCTACGGGGCGGGGCAAGTGGGGGGATTCGCACGTGCAAGGGACGCCCTGCACGCAGATGGTGAGAGAAGGCGAGAGAGATCGTTGAGCATTGGGGTTGGACTACAGGATCTCTGGGGTGCCCTACCAGCTCCACGATTCCCCGGTGCTCAGTCGACGTCTCTGCTGCATCCGTGGCGGCGGCGGCGCCCGTGTGCCCTGGCGGGTGTGCAAACGCACCTCCCTGAAATTCTGTGCAAGAAGCACGTGTGGACCGGCGGACACGCGTGTTTCTTTTTTCAAAATGGCAATAAATCGAAAAGTGGAATGTAAATGCACTAGCCAGATGCAGAGTGTGTGTTTTCACCCCTAGGAAACTCCCTCCTACTTTTTCCTGCTGCCTGACAAAATCCAACTGGTGAAGCTTGCCCATTGCATCTCCGCCCATCTAGCAGGAAAAGGTTCACCGGTTGACTCGCCGCCTGCCCTGCAGACATAATTTATCCTGCCAGAGACACAAAGCCATTTGCAACTCCCTTCCCCCTCCAGTCCTTTCTAACGGGCTGTTTCCTTCTCGTCCTCTAGCCCTTCCCACTTCTGAGATATTTCTGAACGACCAAACTACTTTCGTTTTCCACTTCCCAGAAACGGCCGCGCTTCCCTGAAGAGCCGAGCTGGTCGGAGGGGCTTTCCAGAGAAGAGAGGCGCGGCTGACGGAAGGCTGCAAACCTCTCTCCCCTTTTGACTCCAGTTCCACTTTTAGCTCCCAGGATATACAGAACACACCCGAAGCTGTTCCTTTTAAAAACCCCTTTGTTTTATTCCCTCGCGCAAAGAGGCGCGAGGAGGCGTAGGGCCGCCAGAGGGCGCGCCGTCGCCCTTCCTTTCAACCTCTTTTAGCGACGCCGATTTGCAGCAGAAAGAAACTTTCCGGCTGGATCGAGCGGATCTGCTCCGTCCTCCGTTGGAAACGGAGAACTGGGTGCGCGGCTGCAGATTTGCTGCGCGTTGCGGCGGCGGCGGCTGCTTCTTCCTTGGGCGCCGTCGTGATGGTCTGCTGCTTTTCCCCCAGATGAGATCTTTGGCCTGATCCGGATTCTTGATTGATTTCTTTTTCAGTGGGGCTTCCCAGAACTGCACTTTGCCGGCCTCTCCTCCGAAGGCAGCTGCTCCTCTCTGTCTCTGTCTAGGATCCTGCCAGCTGCAGAGAAGATGAAGCCCTCTTGGGTGCCCTGGGTCTGGATCCCCCCAGTGGCGCTCCTGGACTTCTTCGCCCTCCGCCTGGCCTGGCATCTGCTGAGGCTGCCCTGCTGGAGCCCCCTGGTGGCGTCCTGGGCCGCTGCCCTGGCGCGGTGCCTGCTGCTGACCCTCTCGGCTTGTGCTGCCACCTGCTGTGGGGGACCCGGGGGCCCAGGGGCCCTCCAAGACAGCCTCCTGCCTGCGGCGCTCCTCCTCAGTTTCCTGGTCCCCTGCTACACAACCCTGCAATACCTGTTTCTGTCTGAAGGGGTCGCCCTAGAGCTGGCTCACGGCTGGGCCCGGGCTGATGTGTTTGCCCTCAGCTATGTTGTTGTGGGGGCATCTGTCCTGTTGTGGTACCACCTCGCCCCCCACAGGAAGGGGGAAGTGGAGACGAAATCATCTGCGTCCTTTTGGCGCCTTGTTGCCACCATGAGACCAGATGTGCTGAGGTTCGTAGCCATCGCTGTGCTGCTGGTGGTCTCATCCTTGGGTAAGTGAGTGGGTGGGGGTGGGTGGGGGTCCCAAACCTACCCCCTAGCTTCATTCTAGCCCCCTTCCCAGCTCTACCTCCGGTGCAGAGTTTTACTTGTAATAATAATAATATTTATACCTCGCCCATCTGGACAGGTCTCCCCAGCCACTCTGGGCATCTCCCAATAGAATATTAATAGAATTATTAATAATAAAGAAACCACATCAAACATTAGAAACTTCACTAAACAGGGCTGCCTTCAGATGTTTTCTAAAAGTAAGAATTACCCCTCTGGGTCCATCTCTCTCTGCATCTTGAGGGTGTCTGTGCAGCGAGACAAGTGGTTTGCTTGTGGGAAGCCACCAAGAAACCTGACATCCTTTTCGTATTCATCCAGCCTTTTTCTTTGGGAAAGTTATGTATGCTCCTGATCCTCCCAGCATCTTGTAGCAATGAGTCCCACAGGTTAATTGTTGTCTAGCTCATGTGTGGAGGAATGCTGGTAGGTGTTCGTCTGACCTGCTGCCAGCTGGTTTCAATTTATTGGTTGTTTTCACCCAACACCATCTGCAACGAATGCAAATTTCAGCCAAGTTTCAGTATTCGCCGCCGCCTTTGATTTGAGGCCTGGGTGCAATTTCCTTGCAGCTTCAGGACTAGATTAATTTTGGTGCATAATAACAGAGACATTGCTGGGCTGGGCAAGTAGTAGGCCCAGGGGTGGCAACTTGAATAAAATATTGTGGGGGCCCAGGTAAGCCCCTGCCCACATAATCGATCACATGACGCAGTGCGCACACACCGATTTAATGGCAATGCCCACCAGCTTTTTCTCAAATATTTTATTGTGGGAGACCAAAGCCCCCAGGGTCCCTAGGAATTGGCTCCTGTGAGCAGGCCGGAATATACAGAGGGCTCCGGGTTGGCGAAGACTGAGCTGTAGCCTAAGAAAGGGGGATAAGCTTGCTACACCCCACTTCTCACCCCGAAACTGAAGCCTCCAGCTCCTGTTACCCCCACCTCCACCCCACGCCTACCATTTTTTCCCTGGGTTGCCCGAGTCCTGAGGGTCTCCCCCCCTTTTGTGTGTCGTAGGGGAGATGGCGATCCCGTACTACACGGGGCACGTGACCGACTGGATCACCGGTGAGGCCGACCCCTCTGCCTTCGAGAGAGCCCTCTGGATGATGTCCGCCCTCACCGTTGGCAGGTACGGAGCAGGTGGAGAGGTTTTAGGAAGGTTTTTTGGGGGGAGAAAGGGGGGTGTTAGAAGGCAGAGGTCCACCCTCCCTTTCTGACCTCTCCCTCTCTCTCTCAGCGCTCTAGGTGAGTTCCTGTGCGACTATCTCTACAACACCACCATGAACCACTTCCACACTCGCTTCCAGAGCAACGTCTTCAGAGCCGTCCTGCGACAGGAAGTCGGCTTTTTCCACGCGAACAAGACAGGTAAAACCAGACTCTGCACTGAATGGGACTTGTCTTTACGTTTAGGTACTCTTTTATTTTCTGGATGATTATTGCATCATTTTTTTTCAGATCGCTGCCTCGTGCTAATTTGTATCGTTCCCCCAAAAACAATTTTAAAGCTCTTCTGGAGTTATAAATCACCGTATTTTTCGCTCCATAAGACACACTTTTTTCTTCCTAAAAAGTAAGGGAAATGTCTGTGCGTCTTATGGAGTGAATGCGTGGTCCCTGGAGCCGAATTGCCCAGGGGCGAAAAGCAGATCATGTTTTGTGTTTTTTTTTAAAGAGGGAAGTAGGTGTTGAAACAAAGCAAAAACGTGGTTACAAAGCACGGATCCACATGGATCCTCAGGATTTTTGCATTGGGTCACCCCAAATTCACCGTCAAATCACATATCATGTCTGTGGCCACAGCATGAACCACAAAAATCATACATCCACTGTTTCGTTCAGAATATTGTTTTTTTTGTTTTCCTCCTCTGAAAACTAGGTGCGTCTTATGGAGCGAAAAATACAGTGTTTGTTTATTGCTTTTATATGCCGCCTTTTCCTCCAAGGAGCTCAAAGGTGGCACACGTGGTTCTTCCCCATTTAATCCCCCCACAACTGCCCTGTGAGGTAGGCCGGGCTGAAAAGTAGCGACAAACCCAAGGCTTCAGGGCCCAGCGGGGACTTGAACCCTGGTTCCTTTTATTTTATGGCTGTGTCCACATAGTCGGCTTACAATGCAGTTAGCTCGTCCTTTTTCTCAATTTGGATTGAAGCTGGGGGGTTTTAGCGGTGGGGGAAACCCATCAAAACATAGCATTTCCAAAGAAACAACAAGGTACTTATTTGGTGGCCCAAATCACGTGTAGTCTGCTTCCTGAACCAGCAGCGCTCGCCTCTACGTAGTTCCATCCATATTTCAGACATCGTGATATATTGATATATTGCGATGTTTAGCTGCTGATATATCACTATGTTGAAATCCGGATATCGCCCAACCCCTAGAGCACAGTGGAAGTAGAGTTAAATGGGCGATTGCAAATCACCTTCAGGCTTATGTGAAAGGTGATTTGTAAATTGTAACAAATAAATATTTAAAAAAACAAACAAAACAAAAACCACTTCCTCTGAAATGTGCACTCTCTGCCCCCAAATCCTGATGCTGGGCTCAAGGATCTAACCCCCCACGGGGGGGGTGTTGATTTTTAAGGGGGGCAATTCGAGAATGTTTAGACCAAGTTAAAGGCCTTTTAGGCTTCCCCCACATGAATAGGAGTTTACTTTTTTAAAAATAAGAATTATATGTCAGTGGGGGGAGGGGGTGGCATCAGGATTTTAGAGATGCTTAGGTGGGGCACAGCCAAAAAAAGGTTGTGAACCACTGATCTAACCCAACATAATTCAACACAGATCCTCATTTATTTCCGTGCTCATCCAAACAACACACGTTTTCCTCAAAATCTGAAAAGCAGGAGTGGATTTCAGCTGCTCTGGTTGGTTTGGAAAGTTTTCACATTCCTGGAAATGCAGAGTTGTTCCGCCTGGCCTCTGGCTTGGAATCTACTTGATCCCCTTCCCCTCCATCCTTTTTCCTTTTTCTTTCTGTGATGAAACTCCTATTTGGGGACTTCCCTGGCTTTTTTTCTGGCCCAGTCTGGATAGTTGGCCTTGGTGAAGATTTGACGTTTTCATCCCCCAAAAGTTTTTGATGTGAGTTTCTACTGAAATGAGGCTGCGTTTTAAGTTTAATGTTGTATTTTAATCTTGTTTTTAAGTTATGTTTTAATCAATTGTTTTGCGCCTGGTGTTAGCCACTCTGAGCCCAGTCTTGGCTGGGGAGGGTGGGGTAGAAATAAAATTTATTATTGTTGTTATTATCGGGGATAGAAGACATTTTATTTGGAATGATCCCCCCCACCCGGTTTTCCTTGCATATATTATACAGCTGTTGGGTCATCTTCGCTTACCTTGAACCTCTGCTGTCCCACCATCCTTGACCTCCTTCCTTACAGGAGACATTACTTCCCGGGTGACGACTGACACGGACACCATGAGCGAGGCCCTCAGCAGCGACCTCAGCCTGCTGATGTGGTACCTGATGCGAGGGGTCTTCCTCTACGCCATGATGCTGTGGCTCTCGGTGCCCTTGACCCTCTTCGTCACGGTGGCCCTGCCCTTCATCCTGCTGGTGCCAAAGCTCTCTGGGAAATTTCACAAGGTAACCAAATAACCAGGAGTGCCATGCAGGGTCCTGCTGGGCGTCATTCGAACTCGGTACCCCATCTCTTTCTCTCGACAAGGCTGTCGTTCCCCCCCATAATGGTATTCAGTGGTAATGGGCAGATCCACATTGTATAGAAAACTCCCCCTCAAATAATCCTGGGAACTGTAGTTTGTTGAGGGTGCTGGGAATTGTAGCTCTCTGAGGTGAAAGCTGTGCTTTTTTTGGTTTTATATCTTGATTTTATTCTGTGGACCGCCCTGAGACCCCCAGGTATAGGGCGGTATATAAATTCTAATAATAATAATAATAATTAATAATACTCTCAGGATTCTTTGTGCTTTCGATGTGGCTCTTCCTTTAGACTGCCCCTAAAAAGGAGAGCGAGAGAGACTCTGCCAACTAAGATCAACTGAAGTAAATGTGACCACCACTTAAGGGGCAGTTTCTGTGCTCCAATTTCCCTGCTTCTGCCCCCTACCGAAACTCGCCAGTTTTTAGGAGAAATGGCCGTCTCTGAAAAGGGACACAAGGAATATTTGGTGTTGCGTTGGAGGGGATGCCAGGAAAATGGGAATTATGTCCCAAATGTGGTGGAATATAGCTACCCCCAAGTGTGTTTTATAAGCTGGTCTCCGACCGTAATAAAGTATCTAGCTAGCTAGCTATTAATGATAAATCAACGTGCTGTTAAGGTAAGAAGGGGAATATGCAGGAGAAATGATTCTGAGGAGATACGGAGGGTGTTTGTAGAATCTGTACTGTTTAGATGGAAAGGGGTCAAACCATCGCAAGACGTGTTGAAATTTTTGGAGGTTAGAGAGTTACAATGGAATGGTCTTGGGGGTGGGGTGCTCATTTTTATTCTTATTTATTTAGGATTATTAAGGTAAAGGTAAAGGGACCCCTGACCATTAGGTCCAGTCGTGGCCGACTCTGGGGTTGCGGCGCTCATCTCGCTTTACTGGCCAAGGGAGCCGGTGTACAGCTTCCGGGTCATGTGGCCAGCATGACTAAGCCGCTTCTGGCGAACCAGAGCAGCGCACAGAAACGCCGTTTACCTTCCCGCCAGAGCGGTACCTATTTATCTACTTGCACTTTGATGTGCTTTCGAACTGCTAGGTTGGCAGGAGCAGGGACTGAGCAACGGGAGCTCACCCCGTCACGGGAATTTGAACCGCTGACCTTCTGATCGGCAAATCCTAAGCTCTGTGGTTTAAGCCACAGCGCCACCCGCGTCCCTAGTTAGGATTATTACTTTGTGATTGATAGATAGATGATAGATAGATAGATACAAGTTCCTTGTCCCGTTTCTTTTCTTTCTTTCTTTCTTTCTTTCTTTCTTTCATTTTTTGCTTCCCCAGCGCCTGCTCCACTGACCCGCCTTTTCTCCTCTCCCAGAACCTGGCACTGCAGGTCCAGGAGTCCCTAGCCAAGGCCAACGAAGTGGCCACGGAGACCTTCCAGGCCATCTCCACCGTCCGCAGCTTTGCCAACGAGGACGGCGCCGCTCGGCGCTACGACCAGAAGCTGCAGGAGACCTACAAGCTGAACAAGTGGGAGGCCGTGGCCTACGCGGCCTCTATGTGGACTAGCGACGTAAGGGACCCAAACTGCTCCAGTTTTGGTCGGGCGGGGGATGGAGATGGAGGCTGGAATTGGGCCACAGGGCTCTTGGGGGTTTCCGAAACAACTGGAAAGTGCAACCTTTGGGAAGGCTGAGAGAGGGAAGGATGTGGGGTCTCCCAGGGTGGATTGTAGCTCAGTGACAGCATCTGCAGAAGGTGGTGGGTTCGATCCCTGGCACTTCCAGGGAAAGCAGGAAATGCCACCCCCCCAGAAAAAAAACTCCAATGAGCCACTGCTGGTCAATGTAGATCAGGGTGGTCCAACCTGCAGCCATTGGCCACATAGCCCTTTTTGGCAGCAACCAGAACAAAAACATATCTTGAAGCCTTAAAAAAAAATAAGTTTTGTGTCATGCATCATTAACAAAAATGCATACACCTGTTTGTGTATTAAATTTGTTTAATAATTAAATCTATTAATTGCTTAATTATATATATTAATTATGTATATTAAATATAGTGGCACCTCGGGTTACATACGCTTCAGGTTACATACGCTTCAAGTTATAGACTCCGCTAACCCAGAAATAGTGCTTCAGGTTAAGAACTTTGCTTCAGCATGAGAACAGAAATCGTGCTGCGGCAGGAGGAGGCCCCATTAGCTAAAGTGGTGCTTCAGGTTAAGGACACTTTCAGGTTAAGAACGGACCTCCGGAACAAATTAAGTACTTAACCCGAGGTACCACTGTATATTCCAAACACTTTAATTTACGATATAGAAATGTAATTCACCTTGTGGCCTGCGTGGGTTTTGTACTCTTGCGGCCCACTTTGACCACCCTCGTGTCAATATCACTTAGCTAGATGGAAAGACCATTGTAAACAGTTAAAATCGTTGGTAAGATTGGAATATCACTTGTAGTTTGAGGGTGAATTCTGGATACAATGGAGGTGTAAAAGATTTGGGCTATCATAAAAGATGCAGAAGGAAATGATTAATAACGGGACCCACAAAGGGGAGGATGGAAGTCCAGGAGATTCCTTGGAATCTTGTTTTTGATGATCAATATATTTATGTAAACTTTTAATTTGAAAAACCAAATAGTTTTTTTAAAAAAACACACTTAGCTAGATGGACAAAGGATCTGACTCTGTGTAAGACGGCTTCCCTTGAGGTCCTGCGTATTATTTTGCCTTTAAGGGAAGGCAATGCAGCCAAGTGGCAGGACATCTCCTTTGCAAGCAATAGGTGACTCTCACGTAACCTCTAAGTAGGACTGGGCAAGACCCCTGCCTGAAACACTGGGAAGTCGCTGCCTGTCAGTGCAGGCTATACTGAGCTGGACAGGCGACCGGTTTGACTCTGGATTGCTCAGCTTCGAGCATCCTTGGAGAGGAGTTTCTCCCTCAAGCCCCATTTTCCCTTTCCAGCTCTCCGGCCTGCTTCTCAAGGTGGGGATTCTCTACTACGGAGGGCGCCTGGTCACTTTGGGAAGCGTCAGCAGCGGAGAACTCGTTACGTTTGTCCTCTACGAAATGGAGTTTTCCTCAGCAGTGAAGGTAAGTTTTTATTTTGGGGGCCAGGGATGCACAGCAGGGCAAAGGAGAGCAAAGACCAGCATAAAGGTAAAGGGACCCCTGACCAATGACTCTGGGGTTGCAGTGCTCATCTCGCTTTATTGGGCGAGGGAGCCGGCGTACAGCTTCCGGGTCATGTGGCCAGCATGACTAAGCCACTTCTGGCAAACCAGAGCAGCACACGGAAACGCCGTTTACCTTCCCGCCAGAGTGGTACCTATTTATCTACTTGCACTTTGACGTGCTTTCAAACTGCTAGGTGGGCAGGAGCAGGGACCGAGCAACAGGAGCTCACCCCGTCGCGGGGATTCAAACTGCCGGCCTTCTGATCGGCAAGTCCTAGGCTCTGTGGTTTAACCCACAGCGCCACCCACGTCCCTAAAGACCAACATAGGGGTGAGGAAAAGGTGCTGAGGTCCCTGGCGATATTTCCAGCTAGGTCTGAGAATCCTCTCCCTCCACCCTGGAGAGCTGCTGCCAATCAGTGCCGACAATACTGAATTTGAGGGACCATTGACCTGGCCCCTGGCTCCTCCAGTGCTTCCTCCCTCAGATATTTTCTCCTTCCCCTCTTTGCAGGTCCTGCTCTCCGTTTCTCCACGTGTAGAAAAAGCTGTGGGCTCCTCTGAGAAGCTTTTTGAGTACATCGACCGGACACCCCAGATTAGCTCTTCGGGGACGCTAACACCCCAGGATCTGCAGGGGCACGTTTTGATGCGAGACGTCTCGTTCTCCTACCCCGACCGGGAAGGCCCTCCTGTGCTGAAGGTACTTGGGGAGAAAGGGAAGGAAGAAGCTGGGACTGAGGGTGGGGGGAGACAGAGCCCCAGGAAGGGGGCACAAAGAGAATGTTGGACAGACCAGGCGAGACTCTTAGAGGGGGAACCTGAATGGAATAAAGCTGGGTAGCTCAGTCAGAAGAGCACGAGACTCTCAATCTCAGGGCCATGGGTTCAAGTCCTGCACCAGGCAAAAGATTTCTGCATTGCAGAGGGCTGGACTTTTGGGACCCCCAAAACTGACATTGATAATGTGCAGTATATTTGAAACCCCCCCCCCAACACTGCCACCGCTTGGCATGTTTTGTTGTTTAGTCGTGTCCGACTCTTCGTGACCCCATGGACCAGAGCACGCCAGGCACTCCTGTCTTCCACTGCCTCCCGCAGTTTGGTCAGACTCATGCTGGTAGCTTCGAGAACACTGTCCAACCATCTCGTCCTCTGCCGTCCTCTTCTCCTTGTGCCCTCCATCTTTCCCAACATCAGGGTCTTTTCCAGGGAGTCTTCTCTTCTCATGAGGTGGCCAAAGTCTTGGAGCCTCAGCTTCAGGATTTGTCCTTCCAGTGAGCACTCAGGGCTACCTGAGCCTTATTCATTCTCTCCTGCCCACAGGGAGTGTCCTTAGAGCTGCGCCCTGGCACGGTGACTGCCCTGGTAGGCCCTTCAGGGTCAGGAAAGAGCACCATTGTGGCTCTGCTGGAGCGGTTCTACGAGCCCCAGAGCGGGCAGGTGACCCTGGATGGCAGAGAGCTGAGCAAATACGACCACCGTTTCCTGCATGAAAAGGTAAGGGAGGATCTCGCCCCAGAAGAGAGAGCGAAGGTGCCTTTCTTGTATTTCAGCAGGTCAGGGGTGGTATGGGTTGTCTTCTCCTTTGCGACTCTCCTAATTTTTAGTTGCTTTCTCCAAAGCACATTCTCCATATCTTTTCAGCTCCTTTTGCAATCGGCATCATCTTATGCAACACAGGAAAACACATGTTGAGAGCAGAGGGCAATTTTCAGCCTTGGTTTTGCTTCATCGGCCTGTCAGCCTCCTTTTCTCCAGCTGGAGTCATTTTAGAACCACTTCCCAGTTCCATGCAAAGGATGGACTAATCTGTCATAGTTAAGTCCTGCTGATGCTCAGTCATAGGTCCGTTCTGAGTTGTGCATATTATTAAAAAAAGAGTGCACAAAGTGTCTTCATATTGCATGCATTTTAATGCACCCCTAAGATGCATGCTTCTCAAGGCATCCATCTTTGAAACCCGCATTTAGTACACGTCTCTTACGGAAAGAATATTTTTGTGCAGATAAACTGTCACAAATGCTTGAGAAGTGCATTTCCCCCAATTTATCCCTAGTTCTGAAGCTTTCTTTCCTAAGAATTTTGTAACCTTGTGATCTATATTCTTATTGGATAGTTGTATACAGTGGTACCTTGGGTTACAGACGCTTCATGTTACAGGCGCTTCAGGTTACAGACTCCGCCAACACAGAAATAGTACCTCGGGTTAAGAACTTTGCTTCAGGATGAGAACAGAAATTGCACGGTGGCAGCCGGCCCCATTAGCTAAAGTGGTGCTTCAGGTTAAGAAGAGTTTCAGGTTAAGAACGGACCTCCAGAACGAATTAAATTCTTAACCCAAGGTACCACTGTAGTTTGAAAATTCTTCAGTGTGTTTTTTTTCCTTTTAAAAGTGTCCCTTTTAAACCAGGACTCGCATTCCAATCAGCAAGCAAGTTTAGGCGTGTTGGATCAGTTTTGTGCACCGCAAGGGCAAGCCAAATGAATTCCTCTTCCTCCCTAGTCTACAAATGCACCGTTGGGTTCTCCTTGGCAATACCCTGGAGTTTTAAAAAGTCTTCCCAATTCTCTAACGAACTCTTCTGCCCTCCCTGCAGGTGGCGCTGGTGAGCCAAAGCCCGGTGCTCTTTGCCCGGTCCCTGCACAGGAACATTGCTTACGGCTTGGGGGAGAAGAGCCGGGAGGAAGTGGCAGGGGTGGCCAGGCGAGTGGGAGCACATCGATTCATTGCCAGGATGAGCTGCGGCTATGACACAGGTAGGGACCCCCTCCCCAGACCCGCCCACTTCTCCAAATCCCTGTCTAACCCTGGTAAGGAATCCATGGGAGGGGATTGTGGCTCAGGGGCAGAGCAGATTCTCTGCATGCAGAAGGGTTCTGGGTTCAATCTGTGGCTTCTCCACCTTAACCAAAAGGATTCAGTAGTAGTAACCAGTTCTGGAAAAGACCTCTCCCTGTCTGGACAGGTGTTGCAAGTGTGGGGGTTTAACCTGGCTTGCACCGTAGGCTGATGCATCTGCACGAGAACAAGGTAGATAGAGGAACCTCCAAACGCCCTGGACCGTCCTCCTTGCACTGACCTGTGTCAGTGTCCTTCAGCATTATCGACTGATATTCTTAGGGTTGCTGACCTCACTTCCTGCTTCCCTCTTGAGAGCAGGCATGCTTTGGCTCTCTCTCCACCTAGGGTTGCCATATGTCCTATTTTTCCAGGACATGTCCTCTTTTTTAAAAAAATGAGTGTGATCCATAGTTAAAAGCAGAAGTTGGCAAATGAGTCCTCTTTTTTTGCTCTTCAAAATATGGCAGCCCTGCTAGGAAAGACCCCCCTAGTTCTTTTTGTTTGGCAAATATAGATTTCCTTTAATAAATATTAGCTTTCTTGTTTCCTTAAAAAACACAAGAACAAAACCCTGGAGCTGAGCTGTAGCTATGGGAGAACTAGCCTTTTTTTTTTTTTTTGCCATGGGTGAAGCTTCCAGAGGGGCGTCATTGAGACTCCCAGCTTGTGTGTGTGTGCGCGTGCGCAACTGTGCATCAGGGGGTGCCAAACTGGGTCTTTGACCCGGGTGAAATAAAGTCTGGTTTTGCCCCTGCCCTGGAATCTCAGTGCGATGGTACCATGAAACGTAGGCTCCTTTGTCAGGGATTCTGTTTCAGTTCAGCTTCTGCCAGCAGATGCAAAGATTTCGGCCCAGTCAACCATACATTCTTTGCTCTGCCCACTTTTTGCCTCTGGACCCACCTGTCACCAGCATGTGCCCCTCAGAAAGTTGAACCATCTGCCCCACAGCCCTGCCAGCCGTGGGATGGGGTAGCAATGGATCTGGGCTGGCCCAAAACCTTTTGGCACCGGAGACAGACCCCTAAAGGATTCCCCCCTCCCCGCCAGGGAAGAAGGAGCAAGGGATGCTCTACATCAGGAACAAGGCAAGGAGAAAGATCAACATCGGGACCCACTGCCCCAGTGAATCCTGCCACCTGAGGCAGTTGCCTCACTTTGCCTCATGGATGGGCCGGCCCCGCATTGGATATTGGTTGCCAAAAGGGAAGGGAAGGTCTTGAGTGTCTGATTTCTTGGCCACTTTTAAGCTGGACCTAGAAAGTCTCAGAGAACATAGGAAGCTGTCTGATAGTGATTCAGACTAAGTCTATCTAGCTTAGTAATGTCTACACAGGCTGGCAGCAGCTCTCCAGGGTTTAAGGCAGGAGACAGTCCTAGTTCTGATGGAAGCAAAGGAATTCCTGAAGTGTCTCCCCACTGCTGCCATTTCTGTTCCTCCCTGCAGATGCTGGAGAAACAGGAGGCCAGATCTCCGGCGGCCAAAGGCAGGGGGTCGCCATTGCCCGGGCTCTGATCCGAGACCCCCGAGTGCTGATCTTGGACGATGCCACGAGCGCCCTCGACATGGAGAGCCAGCAGAAGGTAAGTTGGGCCCGTGGAGGGGTAGAAGCCCAGAGGCATTGGATGCCTCTACTGTGGTATTCTAGAAAAAGGGTCCAATACCTACAGAAATAGATGGTCACTGCAGCAATTCCCCCTGGGGCTTTCATGCCAGGGGGTCAGGAGGATGGATGGATGTTCCCTCTCCACCCCTTTTGTGGGAAGATTTTGCAAGGTGGGGTGCCTATACGCTTAACACCATGTTTGCGGGGGGAGGAATAAAAAATCTTTCCCACAGCCTCTTTCATGTTGGGATGATGATGATGATGATCAGGAACACCAAATTTTTAATAAGGAACGGGGAAAATTTATAACTTACCTTAAAAGCCATTGTAAACAGTTAAAATTGTTAGTGGGGTTGGAATAGCACTTGTACATGAACATGAAATTTATTACGGTCAAAGACCGGCTTGAGAATAGTGCGTGTAGTTTAATGGTGAATTTTGGACACAGTGGAGAGGTAAAAGATTTGGATTATCATGCAGGAGGAAATGATTAACAATAAGACCCACAAAGGGGTGGAGGGGAGTCCAAGAGTCTTGTTTTAATGTTGTGAGTTGTGACTGTAAAATTATAATTTGAAAACCAAATAAATAAATCTTATGAAAAAGAAAGAAAAGAAAACGCTGCTTTTCCTGATGTATGATTTATTTTTTTAAATATAAATTTTATTTTCAATGCAAAATTACAACAAAAATTGCAAACATTGAATCCAAAATAAAACTATACAAACAAGAAAAACAAAACACAAAAAAGGGGAAAAAAGAAAAAAGCACACATCTACAAATAAAACCATATCTTCATTCTAGTCTAGTCATTACATACATATACACATATAGACTTCCTTCCTTTGTTCTAAGACCTCAAAAATTGTACTCTTTCTAAATTGTTGTGTCTAATGTAGATTATCTCTATCTTTATACTTTTTACATCGTTTTTCTTTTTCTTTAACCCTGCAAAACATCATTCATTACATACCGATATGCTTACTCCAGAACAATGTTTTTTCATATGCTCTTTAGCACATTCCCATTCTTTTAATAATTTCTGGTCCAATTGTCCTCTTATGAATTCTGTGAGTCTTGCCAGATTTATATAGTCACAAAATTTAATTTGCCATTCTTTTATTGATGGAATTTTTTTCCCTTTCCAATTTTTTGCTATAAGCATCCTGGCAGCTGTCGTTGCATAAAGGAATACTTTCCTTTGATTGTCAGGTATATCGTTTGTAATTATACCTAAAAGGAATGCAGGAAAATGAGGGATAAGAACAGTGATCAATATGATGTATGATTCATTTAAGGCACAGGAGCCCTCCAAAAACAACTTGGGAGGCAACTAGGGTAAGGGGAAGAAGTTGGCTGCCTCCCTGCCAGCAAACTCCTTTTTTCTTTACTCTGCAGGTGGAGAAGGAGATCTACGAAGGGGAGGCTCGCCACAGGCGCTCTGTCTTGCTCATCTCCCACCGCCTGCGCAGCGTGGAACGTGCCGACCGCATCCTGGTCATGGAAGATGGGGAAATCCAGGAAGAAGGGACTCACCTGGAGCTAATGGAGAAGAAGGGCGTCTACTGGCAGCTGGTGCAGAGGCAGCAGAATGGAGCTGAGGGCAGCAACAATGGCTTTGTGGACGTGGACCACAAGCATCTATAGTGGGTTCAGAACTGATGGAGGATCCCTGGCCTAGACCTATACAGTCGTTGCCCATCATCACTGCCGCCTCTTTTGGCAGGAGGGATGGGGAAATGCCTGGCATGCGCCCAATCCACCAGCCTGCAGCTTGTCACCTCAGCTAAGGCAAAAGATCTGAGGAGACATAACCTTGCTAGGACCATTGCCTGCAGAAGGTCCCAGATTTAAGTCCTCTGTGAATAGGTAGAAACACTCCCTTGTCTGAAACCATGGAGACCAGCTGCTGCCAACCAGTGTAGACAGTACTGAGATTGATGGGCCCAATGCTATGAGGCAGCTTCCTCTCTTCCTAATCTCTCCGTGAAAATAGAAATCTTTATTTCAAGGCATCTCCTATATCTGAGAGGGGCAGCCCCACAAAATTCCAGCTCTTCAAAACACATATCTTTACATCTGGAGTTGTCTGTGTGTTTTGGGCCACATCTTGTGATTGATTATGTGGGGGCGAGGCTTGCCTGGCTCCCCCACCCCAAAATATTTTATTCTTGTTGGCACCCCTAGCGGAGGCCGTTACTCATTTGTTAATCCCTATCCTGTCATATAAGATCGGCACGACTGAGATTTTGAAACCTGTGCGCAGGAATCACTGTTTATACGAAGGACATGCCAAAGGGCAGAGGCCTCAATCCCATGGTCCTCTCTGCCTCCCTTACATCAACCCAGAGGTGGCCCACCTCTGTTGTCTGCTTGACCGTCCTCTCACCCCACACTTTCCCTCACTATTGGGGCCATCCCAACAGATTTTGCTGCCTGAGGTAAAAGGCAGGTCGTCCCTCGCCCACTCCATGCACAAATGTCACTTGGGTGGGCAGTCGAGGCCTAACTGTAGCCCTGGCAACTGGGCAGCGTCCTCCATTTTGTTTTGTACACCGTACTGTAAAAACCCGGTTAATGGCTTCAGTTTGTAGCCTTTCTAGGCCCTTTAAACCATGGGTAGGAAAAATGTTGCACCCTAGCAGGGACGATAAAGGAACCAAACGACACCAAGGGGTTAAATCCAGAGAAAGAGCTTTATTCTGCCATCCCGAGTGGGCAGAGGAGCAAGTGTGATAAGTCACAAACAAGCACGAAGTTCACAGCCATTGCACATAGTTTTTATATCCCCTTCCAGTTCCCTCCCCCTTCTTCAAGAGTCCTGCCCATGAGTTCCTCTGAGCATGAACAGAAAGCTGTCTTGGGACCATTTTTGGACTTTTCCCAGGAAAGGGGTGAGAGGGTTTTCAGAGTGTTCCCGTTGTTTCATTCTTGTGCTTTGGCATGGTTCCCGGACAGAAAGCAAGTTGCAATGTGGTTCTTTGGCAAGGCCAAAGGCTCTGAGAAAGGCCTGAGAAGACAATGGGCTCTGTTCTCTACCTTGTTGCAATCTTTTTTAGTTACAGCAAGCGGAATGCTTAGCTAATGCTTTTTGTCTTAGAGGAAAATGCAGTTTTTAAAATGCTCGAGGCGAGGATTTTGAGGCCTGGCTGGGGGGGAATTCACAGACAGTTTTAGGGCTTTTTGGGGGTAACCCTAACTGTTCCCCTTCAAGTTCTTGTGAGTCGCTTTAGAGGGTTGTGAATCTGAAAAAAGCAGTGGGCCAGGAGTGTGAAGAACCCTTTTTCAGGCCTGAGGGCCACAGTCCCTCATGGGGAGCCTTCCAGGGGCCACCTGATAGATTGGGTGTAGCAACGGAAGCGGCGCTTTCCTTTGTATGGTTACATTTTGGTCATACAGTACAAAGGTTTTCCACGAAATGCGCACGCTTCCCCTCTGTTCAGGGGTTGGTCACATCCATGCCGTACTTTCAAAACACTCATGTGCCACATAAACAGGCCCCACTTCTCCCAGGGTGCCAGGGTTAAGAGTGTCGGAGTAAGACCTGGGTTCAAATCCCCGTTTGGCCCTGAAGCTCAGCGGGTGAACTTGGGCCTGTCCCTGGCTCTCAGCCTAGCCTGCCTCACAGGGTTTTTGGGATAAAATGTGGAGGGGGAGAACCATGAATGTCACTCTGAGCTCATTGGAGCAAAAGGTGGAATGTAAACGTGATAAATTAAACTGGTAGGAAGTAGGTACTGTAGTTAAGAGAGCGAGGAGACTCCTCATAGAGGGAGAAGAGATCAGCTTTTTTGGGCGGGTGCCTTGGGCACCCGCTGCCTGGCCCACCAGCCCCTGAGGCAGCTGCCTCACCCTACTTAACGGCAGAACCAGCCACAGGTCTCGAGTGGACAATTTCCGTTCTGTATTACTCAATAACATGGAGATGGAGAGCTCTCTGGGGGCTGTGCTCTGAGATGTTATCTTTTTCCTCAAATAGGACTAGGCAACCGCTTAAAATGTTGAGGTTTTTGTTTCATTTTCCAGAAAAAAAACATTTGCTTTTGTGTGTTTCTTACGTGTGCGAACAGAGAAATGTGCTTTGTTGTAGATGTGTATAAATTAAAACACACTTTTTATGTGGGTTTTTCTCTTTCACTGTTTTTCACTATAAAACATGGATCTCATTCCCCCAGGACACCTTTCTATACGGCCGCTGTATATCCTTGAACTATGGTCACCCTGTTTTTCTCTTCCCTCCCACCCCTGGCCCAGCCACCCTGGTATCCTCCAGAAGTTGTTGGGTTGAAACAGCTATCAGGCCTTCAGTTGCAGTCCAGCATGTTCAGGGCACTTCAGGGGTCAGCAAACCTTTTCAGCCGTGGGCCAGTCCACTGTCCCTCAGACCTTGTGGAGGGCCGGACTATATTTTTTTGGGGGGGTAATGAACGAATTCCTGTGCCCCACAAATAACTCAATGATGCATTTTAAACAAAAGCACACATTCTATTCACGTAAAAACCCAGGCAGGCCCCACAAATAACCCAGAGATGCATTTTAAATAAAAGGACACATTCTACTCATGTAAAAACAGACTGATTCTTGGACCATCCGTGGACTGGATTTAGAAGACGATTGGGCCGAATCCAGCCCCTGGGCCTTAGTTTGCCTACCCATGCACTAGGTGGTTGAAGGTTGTTCCACCACAACACGTACAGTGGTACCTCGGGTTACAGACACTTCAGGTTACAGACTCCACTAACCCAGAAATAGTACCTCAGGTTAAGAACTTTGCTTCAGGATGAGAACAGAAATTGTGCTCCGGCAGCGGGAGGCCCCATTAGCTAAAGTGGTCCCTCAGGTTAAGAATGAACCTCCAGAATGAATTAAGTTCTTAACCCAAGGTACCACTGTAATGGGAAGGTTATCAACAGATTTTGAATCTCCTCACCAGGTGACCTCAGGGCAGCTGCTGCCTCTCTGCCTAACCTACCTCAGAGGACAGTGGGGTTAATCATCACCTGTTGCTACAGAAAGGCAAGAATTTGTGCACATGTAAGCCCTGGGGTCATCTAGTCCAACCCCCTGCAATGCAGGAATCACAGCTAAAGCATCCAGGACAGATGGCCAGCCAACCTCTGCTTTAAAACCTCCAGGAAAGCAGAGTCCACAACCTCCCAAGAGAGACTGTTCCACTGTCAGACAGCTCTTCCTGTCAGAAAGTCCTTCCTAATGTTGAGTCGGAATCTCCATTCTGGTAACGTGAAGCCCTTGGTTCGAATCCTACCTCCAGAGCAGGAGAAAACAAGCTTGCTCCCTCTTCCATGTGGCAGCCTTCAGTTATTTGAAGATGGCTATCTCCTCTTGGTGGCCTCATTTCCAGTGGAAAGAGCCCGTTTACTTCCAGGACGGAGTTCAGGAAGGTGAACATCAGCAAGAAGAACACAGAACATGGAAAAATCATTAGAGCCGGGTTAGGGCAGCTGTGGCCCTCCAGATGATGCTGAACTCCTAACCCCCAGCAGAAGCCAGCAGGGCCAGTGGTCAGAGCTGGAGTCCAGCAGCGTCTAGAAGGGTCACCGTGTGATGTGGTGTCTCTGTGCATAAATGTTTCCTGCCCGCTCCTTAACCAAGCTCCAGACTTGCAGCATGACATCAGGGGAAAACCCCAGGGCTATAATTAACTTCCAGCTCAGCGAGTGTTTGGCTTGTCCTCCTCTCTAATTACCCGTCCTGCCTCAAGAGCTACACAACGGGCAGGAATCCAACTGGTGCAGATGTTCCCAGGACTGGAGAGTTGGCAGGAGGTTTTTTGTTTGTTTTTGCACTGCAGTCAAAGGCACAGGAGCCCTGCTTGAAGAAGCAAGTTGGCAACCCTTTCCTAGGAAAGCGGATCTTTGCAAACAGCGGGTGCTTTAAGGGCAGGACAGGGGAGGCCAGCTATCCAGGGCCTCATTCTGCAGAAATAGCAGGAGGGGCCGCTTTTGAAATCAGGGAAATAATGCAAAAGTCCAGAATCTAACATAATTGCAATTGCAGCAGAGCTGCGGTTTTATGGGGCCTGGAAGGTGGACTTTGTGGGTTGATCAGGAAGGCAAGGGGGAAGGGCAAGAACACTGGCCATCTGCTGCTTCTCTTCTTCCTCTATCGCGTCGATCTAACAGGCAGGAAGCGGCCCGTGTGGTTTCCTCTCCTCCCGCCCCTCCTGGTACAGCGCCTGGCACACCGCCCAGCTGATAAACTTAGTCGTGTCCCGCCGAACCAATGGCTAAAGAAGGCATGGGATGCGTCATCAGTTGCTGGGTAGATTCGGTCACGCAAGGTTGGAACCGTCGGGGATTCCCCCTGCCGGCCGCCGCGGCGCGTGTAGCCAGCGCCGCCTAGCGGCTGAAAGGAGCAGCTCAGCGCACCGGTGGCTCGCTTTTCAACCAATTTGTAGCTGCTATTGACAATGTTTCACGAATTCTGTGCTCGCTTTTCTTTTGTTTGCCAGCAAGCGAGACCTCCCATATTTGCAGGCTGCAACCCTGAGCATAATAAAGGCTAGAGAGTTTTTATTAGGATCAGAATGAAAAGAAGCCGCTCTTCATTTTACTGTGATTGAAACATGCTGGAGATTTAAAAAATAAATAAATCAGAATGGAGTTGCGGCTGTTGAAGTCTAGTCTGTTCCCAACCCAGCGATGGGTACCGTGCCCTGTTCCAGAGCGCACCCTCTTGCAGGGCCTGCGAGACCCCGATTCAGCAAATGCACACTCCTGCACAGGGCCGGATTTCCTTTTGATGAGGCCCTAAACGACTGAAGGTAATGGGCCCTTTATATGTCCAGCTGTCCTTTGTCAACAACAAATTGCCGCTGTTTTTTGTGTTGAATATACCGGTATGCTATATGGTAATTTATGGACCTAATAGGTATCTAAAGCCATTTGCACATAAAAAATAGGAGCCTGCACAACACAAAACACTGTTGCTGTATGTAGTTTTATTTTATTTGTTTTTTTATCTTATGTTTTGGAAATGTACATCCAGTTTTTTTCTTTAAATTTTTTGGGGTCTCCCAAAGAGAGTGGGGCCCTAAGCTATAGCTTGTTTAGCTTATACATAAATCCGGCACTGCAAGTCTTGCAGGAGTGCATTGGGAACGAAGGTAGCACCCAACTCAGATTGCCACAATTATTCGTTTGTTGTTGTTGTTTAGTTGTGTCCGACTCTTTGTGGCCCCCTGGACCAGAGCACGCCAGGCACTCCTGTCTTCCACTGCCTCCCACAGTTTGGCCAAACTCATGTTCTTCGAGAACAGTGTCCAACCATCTCGTCCTCTGTCGTCCCCTTCTCCTTGTGCCCTCCATCTTTCCCAACATCAGGGTCTTTTCCAGGGAGTCTTCTCTTCTCCTGAGGTGGCCAAAGGACTGGAGCCTCAGCTTCAGGATCTGTCCTTCCAGTGAGCACTCAGGGCTGATTTCCTTCAGAATGGAGAGGTTTGATCTTCTTGCAGTCCATGGGACTCTCAAGAGTCTCCTCCAGCACCATAATTATTTGTTTAGTTGCAGCTTTTTTGCAGTCTCTTCTTACGTTCTCCTTCCTTTTAAAGGTTTTAAAGCAGATGTTCGAATGGCTGTCTGTCATGGATGCTTCAGCTGAGATTCCAGCCTTGCAAGGGGGTTGGGCTAGATGACCCTCGGGTCCCTTGCAAGTTCTAACACCAGTGGGAAGGCTGCAAGCAAGAAGAGCACTCTCCCCAGTTGCGAGCTCTCCAGCAACTGGCAGAGGCATTTACTGCTTCACATGGTGGGGGGACATAGCCATGAGCTCTGCAAGTGCGGCTTTCTCCAAGACTGAAGTGCAGTGTTTGAGGACCGGGACATTCACAGGGAAACCAAAATGCTTGTTTACAAAGCTATTGTACTATCAACCTTACTATATGCTTGTGAAACATGGACCATTTATAAACGCCATCTCCAACTCCTCAAAATATTCCATCAATGGTGTCTCCGAAAAATTTTACACATCACTTGGGAAGACAGGTGAACTAATATGAGTATACTGGAAGAAGCAAAGATCCCCAGTGTCGAAGCAATGATTCTTCAACATCAATTTCGTTGGACTGGTCATGTTGTGTGGATGCCTGATGATCGTCTTCTAAAGCAACTACAGTGGTACCTCGGGTTAAGTACTTAATTCGTTCTGGAGGTGGGTTCTTAACCTGAAACTGTTCTTAACCTGAAGCACCACTTTAGCTAATGGGGCCTCCCGCTGCCACTGCGCTGCCGGAGCACAGTTTCTGTTCTCATCCTGAAGCAAAGTTCTTAACCCGAGGTAATATTTCTGGGTTACCGTAGTCTGTAACCTGAAGCGTATGTAACCTGAAGCATCTATAACCCGAGGTACCACTGTGAAATAACCTAAGACAGAGAAAAGCAAGCAATTGAAACCAGGGCTGGGGCGCAATGAGCCTGGAAATATCCAAAGGGTCATGGCAAAAATTTACAGAACCCTGCAGGGAACTTGCCGTGGGGGGGTGGGTTCTTCCCTTTGGATTCCCCCCCCCACTGCTTCCCCCCACTTCCTTCCCCAGATTCTCCCACCCCCTCCAACAAAGAGGGTGGAGTGGGGTCCGTTTGGATAGGGCACCCTCGGTGCGCGCCTCTCCCGAGGGTTTCTCACGCCTTCCTCCGTGCGCCCTGCTCCTTCGCCGACCTCTCCAAGCGCGCCCTTGCCCATCCCCGACGTGGCGCACGGAGGAAGGCGGGGAGGGAGGAGCAGAGCGGTGGCGGGGGGAGGCACGGAGAGGAAACACGGGTCGGGCGCTGCCGCTTTCGCTTTCACCGAGAAGAAAAGAGGCGAAGCGGCGATGGCGCTCCTCGACGTTTGCAGGCTGGAGCGCGGCGCCTGGGACTGGAACCCGCTGGGAGGAGCCGCCACCCCGCGGCCGGGGGCACCCGGGCATTACGCCTTCGGGGTAGAGAAGCCCCAGATCGCCGTGCCCCCTGGCAGGCAGGTGAGATGGGGAAGGCGGCGAAGAAGAGGCGGGAGGGCCACTGCGGCTAGGCGCAGCAGTACCTTTCCAACGCCAGCGAGCGATCCCTGCCCGCCGCCCTCTGCTGGGCGGTGGCAGAAGCAGGAAAATATGTATCTGTATTCCGGAAGGCGCAGATTGGGGCCCCGCTTTGACCTACATGTTAGGATCTGGAAATCGTTGTTGTTGTTTATACCTCACCCATCTGGCTGGGTTTCCCAGCCACTCTGGGCAGCTTCCAACAAAATATTAAAAATACAATAAAACATCAAACATTAAAAACTTCCCTAAAGGGGGCTCCCTCCCCTGCCCTCTGTCATTTGTTCTCCCAACCCACCAGAGGCTGCTGTGTTTTTGCATTTGTTCAGTACTGTCGTAGCATCTGTCTCTGGACCCATGTGTGCCTCACGGAACTTTCTCCTTGCTTGATCTGTGTTAACTTTCAAGAAAGCCTGGTGGGATGACAGCTCTTTAAAAGCAGTGACCCTAAAACAACTCCAAACTGATGAAATCGGGTTTAACTGCATATCAGAAGTGCATTCCTTCGGATGTAACCACCTGGGTCTAGCAAGGAAGGGTGGGGAATCCCCCTTTTCTTTGGGAAAATGGGCTGCCCCTTTGGCTAGTGGCATAATCTGCGGGTTGCCTTCTGGTTGGATTTTATTCTGATCCTGATTGGATTTTAGGATGTATTTTAATTAATTGTCTGATTTTATGTTAATGTGTTATACATTTGATGTTAGCCGCTCTGACCCCAGTTTAGCCGGAGAGGGCGGGGAATAATAATAATGCCCCATTTCCAATTGTTATATGAAAATTCAGAAGACCCAAAAGGAGACAGATAGGGAGCTTTTGTGACTGCTTCTGCCTCAGGCTCCAAGACAGCCTCCCGCAATGCCTGGCTTTCTTTTATATCTTACTTATGATACTTTGCTGTAATACTGGGGATTTATTTTATGATTTGCGATCTTGTCTTTTGCAAAGTTAACTACTTTTAAAACGCCTGCCTGCTGAGAATGACGCTGCCCGTGAGCATGTGCAGAATGCTGCTCACCGGCCTCCACCAGCACTTGAAAGATCTGTGAGGAAGATTGACATGTGTCACTTTGAAACGGGATGGGGTGCCGAGCCGAGAGGCCCCCACAGCAAGTGCCGCAGTGACTTAGGACAGAGGGCGGGAGGTGGGTGGCGGCACCAAATTTTGGCATCGCACAGGACACCGCTGAAATTTGAGAGCCCCAAATCCACCACTGCCAGCTTGATACCAGTTTGTTTTGTTTTTGTTTTTTCAATGTTTTTTGTTTGATTTTACAACTCCAGTCACAATTATAATCACATACGGTAAAAACAGCACAAGATTCTTCTGAATCTCAGGACTCCCCTCCTCCCCTCTGTGGGTTCTTTAAGTAACTTTTTAAACTGCATATAATAAGTCCATCTAATTTACAACCCTCCATTATATCTAAAGTCTATGCATCACTGCAAGAGTTACCGTATTTTTCGCTCTATAAGACGCACCAGACCATAAGACACACCTAGTTTTTGGAGAAGGAGAACAGGGAAAAAAATATTCTGAATCCCAGAAGCCAGAACAGCAAGAGGGATCGCTGTGCAGCGAAAGCAGCGATCCCTCTTGCTGTTCTGGATTCTGGGATAGCTGCGCAGCCTGCATTCACTCCATAAGACTCACACACATTTCCCCTTACTTTCTAGGAGGGGAAAAGTGAGTCTTATAGAGCAAAAAATACGGTAGTTAAAACCTGCCAAAGAGTTCAAGTGTTGACAATGGCCTTTCAAATATACTGTACATTTGTCTCCTTCTTTATAGAAGCTCAGCTTGATACCAGTTTGGGTAGGGGAGTGTTTTGCGGCCGTCTTCCTAGGAGGAAAGGAAGCACCCAAACATTGGGATAATTTATTGTTGCTGTGTATTACAGAAGTCTCAAAAGTGGCTTCAGATGGCAGATAAAAGAGATTTCTAAGCATTAAGCATTTCCGTGCCTTGCTTCCTCCCCCCCCCCCAGCCTTCTGAGTTCCTGCAGACCCACTGCGAGGGCAGCGGCAGCAGCGGGCAGCGGATTGAGCTGGAGCATGGCACCACCACCATGGCCTTCACTTTCCAGCATGGCGTCATCGTCGCCACCGATTCCCGGGCATCGTCCGGCAGCTACATCAGTGAGTAACCACAGAGACATAGAGAGTTGAAATGGCGCCACAGATTAAATGGAGGAGGCCTGGCTGACCTGGGCCTAGACTATGGGGGACAGAGGCTCCCCACCGCTGGCTTGAACCCTTCACAAACAACTCTCTTCCCCATAGGTGCAAAGGTGGTCAACAAAGTCATTGAGATCAACCCCTACTTGTTGGGCACCATGTCTGGGAGTGCTGCAGACTGCCAGTACTGGGAGCGACTCCTGGCCAAACACTGCAGGTTGGTAGCTAGAATCAGAGATTTGTAGAGTTGGAAGGGACTCTGAGGGGCAATCTAGTCCAACCCCCTGCGACGCAGGAATCTCAGCTAAACTCGGTAAACCTCCGTCTTCTGCAGGTATTTTCCCCATCTCACAAATATGCAGGGCAGGGCAATGAGGAGAAAAAAAATGAATTATTGAGTGTGTGCTCATGTAAAGGCAGCCGGGCTGACCCATAAGAAAACTCCAATATCCATTCAAAGGTAATGCCTTTTATTAGGCCAACCAAAGTGGCACAAAACAGTTTTGCAGGTCTGAGAGTTCTGCATAATTCTTCATCTAGCCTGATGAAGAGTTCTGGAGACCCCGAAAGCTGGTATGCTTTTATTGTGAATATTTTGGTGGGCCTGATAAAGGTATTGCTCTGATATGTATTGACTGTCGTTTTTGCTTCCTAAAAGTCACATGTAGTGTAGCAAACTTGAGCAGCGAGGCAGGATCCTTCCGGTCTTCCCCTTTGGGAAGCACAAGCTAGGATCTGGAATAATGTGTCGTGATATTCTTCTTCTGACCCCCTCCCCTCCCCCGGGTCTTCTAGAAATGGTGGCTCAGCAGCTCACAGCAAAAAATTACCAGGCCAGACCTCCTCTTGATGGATTATAATCTGAGCCCAGCCTGGATCTGGTTGAACGGATTCCAGAAGGATAGTGAAGCCCCGACATGGGAGCTTGGCCGCCACAGTTTTACTTGGGAGGCCTCAAGATGGGTCGTTGGCCCACCTGAAAACGGCGGGGGGTGATGGAGTTATGAAAAAGAAGAGGAGAGAGCGACTCTCCCGTTAGTTCTCCTCCTACTTCTCTTTACCTCTCCCCTTCCTTCCTTCCTTCCTTCCTTCCTTCCAAGCACAATTCAAAATGTTGGTGCTGACCTTTAAAACAGCCGCGGCCCAGTATACCTGAAGGAGCATCTCCACCCCCATCGTTCAGCCCGGATACTGAGATCCAGCTCCGAGGGCCTTCTGGTGGTTCTCTCATTGCGAGAAGTGAGGTTACAGGGAACCAGGCACAGGGCCTTCTCGGTGGTGGCACCCGCCCTGTGGAACGGCCTCCCATCAGATGTCAAGGAGATAAACAACTTTTTGACTTTTAGAAGACATCTGAAGGCAGCCCTGTTTAGGGAAGTTTTTAATGTTTGGTGTTTTATCGTGTTTTTAATATTCTGTTGGGAGCCACCCAGAGTGGCTGGGGAAACACAGCTAGATGGGTGGAGTATTAATATATCATTATTATTATTTCTTCCGGCAGGTTGTACTACTTACGCAACAAGGAGCGAATCAGCACCTCGGCTGCTTCCAAACTGCTGGCCAACATGCTTGTTGAGTACAGGGGGATGGGGCTGTCTGTGGGGAGCATGCTGTGCGGCTGGGACAAGAAGGTACCAGCAACGTGACCGCAAGGAGGGGGGGCAATTGGGGGCAGGCAGAGTGGGGGGGGGGGAGAATCACTCAGGAAAATGGGAGCTCAGTGGGTCAGAGATGACTATAAGGGGTGAGTCAAAGGAGGGGCTGCTGGGTATCCTGATGAGAGAGGAAGTCTGGGTGGAAGAGCGATTCTAGGATTCCTCCTCATTCATTGCCAGCCAGGTCCTGACTGAATACACACTACACATTTAAAGCCACCCCACCACACCCCCCAGAATCCTGGGAATTGTAGTTTTCAAAGGTTCTGGGAATTGTAGTTTATCTATTTGTTGGTTTAATTTGTATTCCACCCTTCATCTGAACTTCTTCTTTGGCGATCCCTCGTAGCCGAGTAAGATTGTCTTCCATGAACACAGTCTTAACAGAAAGTCTGTAAGTGACTGTGGAGGCCAATTCTGGATCCACACTTCCTTGCACAGTGGGGACATTGGTTTCCAGGAGGGAGTTGATCACAGTGAGGGTTTGCCAAGTGTGCCTTCCTCTTAGCACGTTTCTCCCTTTCGTCCTGAGTTCGAGCATCTTCAAAGTCCATGACACCTTTGGTAAAGGCTGTTCTTCAACTGGAGCGCTCGCAGGCCAGTGTTTCCCAGTTCTTGGTGTTTATACTACATTTTTAAAGATTTGCCTTGAGAGAGTCTTTACACCTCTTTTGTTGACCATCAGCATTACGCTTTCCATTTTTATGTTCGGAATATAGTACAGTGGCACCTCAGGTTACAGATGCTTCAGGTTATAGACGTTTCAGGTTACAGACTCCACTAACCCAGAAATAGTACCTCGGGTTAAGAACTTTGCTTCAGGATGAGAACAGAAATTGCGCAGCGGTGGCGCAGCAGTAGCAGGAGGCCCCATTAGCTAAAGTGGTGCTTCAGGTTAAGAACAGTTTCAGGTTAAGAACAGACCTCCAGAATGAATTAAGTTCTTAACACGAGGTACCACTGTAGTTACTTTGGAAGACAATAATCAGGCATCCGCAGAACATGACCAGTCCAATGAAGTTGGATGATGTTGAAGAGAATTGCTTCGACATTGGTGATTCTTGATTCTTCCAGTACACTGGCATTAGTTTGCCTGTCTTCCCAAGTGATGTGTAAAATGTATTTTGCCCTTCATCTGAACATCACAGGACAGTTCACAACATAAAAATATCAAATGAGAACACAAAACACATACTAGAAGCAAGAACAAACCTGCCGTCCCACAAACATATTTAAAAGGCCATAGAATCAGCCAAAGGCCTAGTTATAGAGGAATGTTGTCACCTGGTGCCTGAAGACATGTAATGAAGGCGCCTGGCAAGCCTCCCTGGAGAGAGCATTCCACAGGCAGGGAGCCACTGCAGAAAAGGCCCTGTTCTTGTGTTGCTACCCGCTGGACCTCTTGTGGAGGAGGCACACAAAGTTCTCTGATTATCTGTTCTGTGGGGGTCAGTAAACTAATGTTCCCAGGATTCTTTGGGGGAGGAGGTTTTGCTTTAAATGTATGGTGTAAACAAGGCTGATAAATATTTATCACACCGCCGGGAATTCACCCAGGGCACATTTTCAAGAGAGGTTTAGTGGAGGGGGTTTAGTGTGGGTCTTGGGGGGCACATGGGAAGTGCTGCCAGAATGAGGGCCTGAGGCAGAGAAACAACTTCGTGACTTTCAAGGAGTGGGGTGGGAATGAGCGGGTGGGGAGTGGGTGCGAGATCAGCTAGGCAGGGGACTTGGGTGGAAGCGGCCGCGATCAGAGGCAAAAGAGGCCAGACCTGCGGGTTCTTCCTCTTTTTCTAGGGTCCTGGACTTTACTACATAGACGATAACGGGGTACGCCTGGGTGGCCCCCTCTTTTCCACGGGAAGCGGGAACTGCTATGCCTATGGGATCCTGGACAGCGGCCATCGCCCCGATCTCAGCGTGGAGGAGGCCTACGAACTCGGCAGGAAGGCCATCTCGTACGCCACCCACCGCGATGCCTACTCAGGCGGTGTGGTGAACAGTAAGTGCCCCCCACCCTCATTCTGCAGTCCCAGCCCCACGTCCCCCTCGTTTGGCGAGAGCCTGCTTTCATTTTGCACAAGCCCACTGGTGTGGTGGTACTTCTCTGTCGCCCCGTGCAGTGTATCACATGAAGGAAGACGGCTGGATCCGGGTCGGGCGCACAGATGTCAGCGATCTGCTCCACCAGTACGCCGAAGCCAAGAAGTGAGCAGCCGGGAACCACGAGGAACGTTGAATGTGCTTCAACACTCAGGGGCGAAGGGCAGAAAGGGACAGAGCTACATTTATGACGGGGCAGCAATAAAGTATTTTCACTGATAAAGTCTTTGATTCGGTGCTGGTGTTTTAAATAAGATTTTAACTGGTCTGAAGTAGCATACAGGATACACGTAGTGGGAGGTTCTGGACTGAACATTTGGGAGTTATTGTGTTCAAGATAAGCTTATCCACAACAGCTTCATTGGATGAATTTAGATGAGCAGGACAGGATATTTTATTTATTATTCTTCCTCTTTTTCTCACTTGTGTGAGAATGCAGATATAGTGGTACCTTGAGTTACATACGCTTCAGGTTACAGACTCCGCTAACCCAGAAATAGTACCTCGGGTTAAGAACTTTGCTTCAGGATGAGAACAGAAATCGTGTGGCGGCAGCAGGAGGCCCCATTAGCTAAAGTGGTGCTTCAGGTTAAGAACAGTTTCAGGTTAAGAACGGATCTCAGGAACAAATTAAGTACTTAAACTCTTAATCTGAGGGTAAGTACCTCTTTCAGCAGATTAAAATCACCATCTGTTTGCCGTTTATCTTTAGACGCTTTTGGGGAAAAGGTTGCTTAATCTTCTAGACCAATTATGATATCCAAAGATGCTGGGGCAGACTTGAATTCCTTTTCTCCCTTCTATGTTTCCCACTTAACAAAGAAATCACAGACTGCTTAAGTAAACAAAAAAATATAAGTTTACTCACATTAAAAACCTTGCCAGGATTCAACAGGTACAGTGATGAAAATCAGGCAGGCAGTAATCCTTAAAAGTTACAAAAGTCCGTAATCCAGTTCAAAATGGAGTGGCCTTGACTGTCCTTGAACCTTGCTGCCACACTTAAACTGAGTTGGGCCGTTAGTCCACCTGCCCCAATATTGCCTGCACTGACTGGCAAGGCTCCCCAGGGGTTCGGAGAGGGGGACTCTCCCAGTGGAAATGCTGGGGGTGGTGCTTGGGACCTTCTGCATGAAAAGCAGATGTTCTAATGCTGAACTACAGCCCCCCAAGGCTTTCTCCAGAGCAGTGTTTCTCAACCTGTGGGTCCCCCGATGTTGGACTACAACTCCCATCATTCCTAGCCAGCATGACCAGTGGTCAGGGATGATGGGAGTTGTAGTCCAACAACATCTGGGGACCCACAGGTTGAGAACCGCTGCTCCAGAGTCAATCCACAACAGTTGTTCTTAGCCCTTTGCGTCCTCACCCACGTGGGTGTCTTGTGGCATTGCAGTTCCAGGAACCTCAACTGCTCTCCGTTGAGGAAGCACCTGCGGTCATCAAGCTATTGAGAAGATCTGGGAGGTGTTTTCTGGCTCTCTCGGTTTTGCACAGCAGAACAGCGAAGCACAGCCCTTTCTGAGATGCTGACGAGCCCCTCTGGTTTAGGTTTGCTGTGGGGACTTCAGGGTCTGGAACCTCTTCCTCATCTCATTGCCTTCCACATAAAGTGTATGCAGAGGGTTCATGTAGCTCAATCCTGATATGGGGGGAGGGGGGGCCCCATGCCTGTTGCTCATTCCTCGTTCTGCCTTCTGCAGTCCATGTAGCTCAGCATTGTCCACACCAGGGACTAGGAATAGGAGGAGAAGGAGAAGAAGAACAAATTTATTTATACCCCGCCCATCTAGCTGGATTTCCCCAGCCACTCTGGGCGACTCCCAACAGAATATTAAAAACACAATACACCATTAAACATTAAAAACTTCCCTAAACAGGGCTGCCTTCAGATGTCTTCTAAAAGTCAGGTAGTTCTTTATCTCCTTGACATCTGAAGGGAGGGTGTTCCACAGGGCGGGCACCACTGCAGAGAAGGCCCTCTGCCTGGTTCCCTGTAACCTCACTTCTCGCAGTGAGGGAACCGCCAGAAGGCCCTTGGATCTGGACCTCAGTGTCTGGGCAGAACGATGGGGGTGGAGACGCTCCTTCAGGAATACTGGGCCGAGGCCGTTTAGGGCTTGAAAGGTCAGCACCAACACTTTGAATTGTGCTTGGAAACATACTGGGAGCCAGTGTAGGTCTTTCAGGACTAGTCTTGGCAGCTGCTCCCAGTCACCAGTCTAGCTGCCACATTCTGGATTAGTTGCAGTTTCCGGGTCACCTTCAAAGGTAGCCCCACGTAGAGCGCATTGCAGTAGTCCAAGCGGGAGATAACCTGAGCATGCACCACTCTGGTGAGACAGTCCATGGGAAGGGAGGGTTTCAGCCTGCGTACCAGATGGAACTGGAAGACAGCTTCCCTGGACACAGAATTGACCTGCGCCTTCATTCCTCTCACTTATGTGCCCTCTCGCTGTCTGTCATGTGTGATTTAACTGAGGTTCCTGCATCACAGGAGGTTGGACTAGATAACTCTGGGGGTCCTTGCAACGCTACAGATCTATGTTTCCATACACTCCCAACGTTTTCCCAATGAAAATAGGGACATCCTATTACATAATCAGACATCACCTTGCCCACAAAGGTCTGTATAGTTAAACCTATGGTTTACCCAGTAGTGATGTATGGAAGTGAGAGCTGGACCATAAAGAAGGGTGATCGCCGAAGAATTGATGCTTTTGAATTATGGTGCTGGAGGAGACTCTTGAGAGTCCCATGGACTGCAAGAAGATCAAACCTCTCCATTCTGAAGGAAAGCAGCCCTGAGTGCTCACTGGAAGGACAGATCCTGAAGCTGAGGCTCCAATACTTTGGTCACCTCATGAGAAGAGAAGACTCCCTGGAAAAGACCCTGATGTTGGGAAAGATGGAGGGCACAAGGAGAAGGGGACGACAGAGGAAAAGATGGTTGGACAGTGTTCTCGAAGCTACCAGCATGAGTTTGACCAAACTGCGGGAGGCAGTGGAAGACAGGAGTGCCTGGCGTGCTAGTCCAGGGGGTCACGAAGAGTCGGACACGACTAAACGACTAAACAACAAATTACATAATAATGATGATGATAATTTTATTATTTATACCCCACCCATCTGACTGGGTTTCCCCAGTCACTCTGGGCATCTTAACACCATATACAGTGGTACCTCGGGTTAAGAACTTAATTCATTCCAGAGGTCCATTCTTAACCTGAAACCGTTCTTAACCTGAAGCACCACTTTAGCTAATGGGGCCTCCCACTGCCGCCGTGCTGCCGTTGTGCATTTTCTGTTCTCATCCTTGTCGCATAACTCTGTACCCTCCAACCTTTTTCTCATGAAAATAGGGACGTCCTAAGGAAAAGTGGGACATTTTGGGATCAAATCAGAAACTGGGGCAAGTTCTGGAAATCCGGGACTCTCCCTGGAAAATAGGGACACCTGGAGGGTCTGACTTTGATCTCTGCCCATTGTGGGTGATAAAATCTAGCAAGGAGTTGTTCACATACTGTAGCTGTCAACGTTTTCCATTTTTTAAGCGAAATTCCCTTATTCTGAATAGGATTCCTGAAAAGGGAAAGGTTGACAGCTATGGTTGTTCAATAGAGATATCTTTTCAAAATGAGAGCAAGAGCATCAAGTGATATTGCAAGCTCACATTTCTTGTCCAGTTTGTATACCTACTTAAGGTACGTGATAGGTATGAGACTCGTTTATATTTTGGGAATGATTCCTGTTCTTCTGTAGCTGCAATGTTTTAGACCAGCAAACTTTTTCAGCAGGGGGCTGGTCCACTGTCCCTCACTTCTTGTGGGGGGCCAGACTATATTTTGAGAGAAAAAAATGAACGAATTCCTTTTTTTTTTTTTTAATAAATAATTTTTATTAAGATTTTAAACAAAGAAGAAAGAAAAACAACACAGACAAAAAAAACAATACAAAATTTAACAATAAAAAGACAAAACATAACAATTAAAAACAAACTCTCTTTTCCGTTCCCAATTTTATATTACTTATTTTCTAGACTTCCTCATACCTCCCTCTTTTGTATTCCAATCTACATTATTTGTCCAGCAGTTTCTTTTCCACTTTTTTGAACCCAATCTTTAATTTAATAAAATATTAAAATATATAACTTCAACTTTTTTAAACATAATCCTTATTCTTAATGTCATATACCTTTAAATTTTTTCCCTTTTATTATCAAATTTCCATTTCTTTAGACATCCTTAATCTTGATCTTTAATCTTAATCTATCCTTAACTTTAACCTGTATAGCTGGAAACCATTTATTTTCAATCCAACATCACTCTAACATTCCTTAATTTTGCAGTGTTTCTGAAGATAGTCTTTGAATTTCTTCCAATCTTCCTCCATCGACTCTTCTCCCTGGTCACGGATTCTGCCAGTCATTTCCGAACGAATTCCTATGCCCCTCAAATAACCCAGAGATGCATTTTAAATAAAAGGACACATTCTACCATAGCTGTCAACCTTCCCTTTTTTGCGGGAAAATCCCTTATTCCAGTGCCGTTTCCCGCTGCTTCCCGCTGCTATCCCGGATTGTTAGATATCCCATAGTCTGTCCCTGGGACAGGTGAGGCTGCTGATCCCTTATTTTCAAATCTGAAAGTTGACAGCTATGCATTCTACTCATGTAAAAGCATGCTGATTCCCATACCGTCTGTGGGTCAGATTGAGGAGGCGATGGGGCTGGATCCGGCCCCCAGGCCTTAGTTTGCCTATCCATGTTTTAGACTTTATGGATGCCCCACACTCGTATTACAAAGTATTTGCGTCCTGTGCTATAAATCAAGCACTGTTGCGAGTTGTTCTCCAATGTACTTCGTATCAATAAAAAAACTGGGAGCGGCGCGAGCAAACATTTTTCCTGAAAATGTCAGCCAAGAGTTTGCGAACCGCTTGCGATGGGGGTTTTCTAAAGCGCAGGCGGCGGGCTCCCTCTGGCGGCGGAAGCGGGGAGCGCGGCCGCGTGGGCGGGGGAAGGGAAGCGGCTGGATTTCCCCTTCGAAAACGAAAGTGAGCGCCGGTTCGAGCCCCCGCGAGCGCAGAAGAGCTCATTTCCTCCCTGGGAGACCGGAGGGCAGGTAAGGCGGGCAGGGAGAGGAAGGCCAGGGGGTTGCGGGGTGGGAGACCCAGGATAAGGGCATCATTGGGGGGGGGGGTGCTGGCTGGGGGGTGCATGAAGCGCGGGGGGTTCAATGCAAATCGGGGAGATGTTGCAAAAGAGGCTCCCGCGCAATGTTTGATTTCTTCTTTGGGGGGGAGGGGTTACTTAATGTAAAATAATTTGTAGTCCCTGAGATCGGATCTCCAATTTTGCAGGGCTGGGACACACACAAACACACAGTAAAAATTCGCCCCACAATAAATATTTCCCCACCTTTTAAAACCATCACGTTTCAGTTTTATTTTCTGATCGGAGATGGAAAAGAAGAATAATAACTGTGGCAAGAAAGAACCCGGTTCCAGAAAGGGCAGCCCTGTCAGTCTCTTCGGAGCAAAATGCCCCAAACTAGAAAAAAAAACCCCAAAGTTAGGAAAGTGGCTTCTTTTGGGTCTTGAAAGGTTTTTATCACTTTCTGCGCAGTCTTCGGCAGTCTAACTCAGAGGTAAGTCTCTATTGGAGAGTAAGCGCCCTTGATTTCAGTAGGGACTTACTTCTGAGTAACAGGCCTCATGTGCACTATTCATTTAAGCAGTACTGTATAATATTGCCTTAAACAGGCCTGTCCTCTCCCAAAGCCTTCTGGGAACTGTCGTTTCAGGCTGCAGAAAGTTGTTAGGAGATTTCGGTTCCCAGAGGAGTTTAACAATCAATCCCTTTTCCCAGGGAACTGAAGTTCTGTGACGTTCATGCTGTTTTTAATAATAATAATAATAATAATAATAATAATAATTTATACCCCATCCTCCCCGGCCAGAGCCGGGCTCAGGGTGGCTAACACCAGTAAAATTACAGTAAAAACATAATAGGAAAAGAAAATGAAAAAACAATTTAAAATACAGGTTAAAATGCAATTTAAAATGCAGCCTCATTTTAAAAGTAGCTCTTTAAGTGCCATAGGATAGCTTACCTCTGGCTCCTCCTTAAGCACAGTGCAATTTTATTTTGCAAAGTGCTCAACAGTCATAGAATCATAGGGCTGGAAGGAACCATGAGGGTCATCTAGTCCAACCCCCTCAATGCAGGAATCTTTTGCCCAATGTGGGTCTCGAACCCACAACCCTGAGATTAAGAGTCTCATTCTCTACCGACTAAGCTATCTATCCAGTAGCTGCCCTCGCGAGAACCCACCAAGGCCCCAGTGGGCTCCATTGAACACACTGGGGGTTGTTTCTGGGTGAGAATAGATAGGATTGTGCTACTTGCTGGTGAGGTCACTGCCATGCCCATTTTACAGATGGGGAACTGAGACTGACAGAAAGCGTCTGGAGGGTGGGATTTGTGCCTGGCATCCCTTTAGGCCAGGGATGAGGAACCTCAACCTGGTACCCTGGACTACAATTCCCATCATCCTCAGCCATTGTCCATGTTGGCTGGCACTGATGGGTGTTGCGGTCCCGCCACCTGCATGGGGAGGTGGAACTCAGCTTTTATCATGATGGTGATAATGATGATAATTTATTATTTATACCCCGCCCATCAAACATTAAAAACTTCCCTAAACAGGGCTGCCTTCAGATATCTTCTAAAAGTCAGATAGTTGTTTATTTCCTTGACATCTGAGGGGAGGACATCTTATTACAGTCGTACCTCGGAACTCAAATGGAATCCGTTCCAGAAATCCGTTTGACTTCCGAAACCATTCAACTACCAAGGCACAGCTTCCGATTGGCTGCAGGAGCTTCCTGCAGCCAATTGGAAGCCTTGCTGGACGTTCGGGTTCCAAAGAACGTTTGCAAACCAAAATCCTCATTTCCAGGTTTGTGGTGTTTGGGAGCCAGAACGTTCAACTGCCAAGGCATTTGTGATCCTAGGTACAACTGTATTATTATTATTATTATTATTATTATTATTATTATTATTATTATTATTATTATTATTATTATTATTATTATTATTATTATTATTATTATTATTGGTGTTGGTGTTAAATTTATATCTTGCCCATCTGGCTGGGTTTCCCAAGCCACTCTGGGCAGCTTACAACATATATAAAAACACAACAAAACCTCAAACATAAAAAAACAAAATATCCTGTACAAGCAACAAACAAACCAATAAATCAATAACAACAACAACAGTAACAAGAATAAACAGTTTACAGTTCTACTTAAAATAACCGCCAACCCCAAGTAAACATTTGACTAACACCAACCCGACAAAAACAAAACAGAGGAAAATGTTTTAAACATTTTTGCCATTTGCCCCCAGCCCAAGAGTTGTTCCACCAACATCCCAGTGGCCTCCCAGGAGCCTCTTTTAGCTGTTCAAGGTGAGTCTGGGCTCCGCCCCCCAGGCCAGGTGGAATGGGCCTTGCAGCAGGGAGCAGGTCTCCCTTCCATCACTCGCGGCAGCAGCAAAGTGTGGGTTAGGCTGCTGAGATCCTCCCTAGACAAACTCTCTTTCATATTTCAGACTGTTAATTACACCTGGCCATTCCTTCTCTCCCCAGACTCGGCCGCCATGATGCTGCCTGCCCCCTTGAAGCTGGCCGTCCCTCTCATCCTGTGCGACATGGTCCTTCTCCCCTTGCTAGATCTCCAGCGCTCCGCCTTGGCCTCCCTGGGGGTCCCTGCGGCCTGGCTGGAGGCGGCTCTGCGCCTGCTGGTTCTCTGTGGGGCCCGGGGGCTCCTCTCCCTGGCCTGGCCCTCCCAGGTGCCCCTTGCAGGCCTGGCTGCTGTGAGCCTGCTGCAGCCCCTCTATCTCGCCGTGGGGCGCTGCTTTGGAGACCCTCCGTTCCTGCTGTCGTCAGCCCCTCGGTCCTGGCTCCTGCTGGGCTATGGGGCAGTGGTTCTGGCCCACATCATCTGGGACGTCCTGGGGCAAAGGGAGGAGGAGGATAAGGAGAACAAGGGAGGAGAAGACAAGGCCACCCTCTGGAAGCTGGTGAAGCTCTTCCGCCCAGATGTGCGCTACCTCGCAGGGGCATTTTTCTTCCTTACCACGGCTGTGCTTTGTGAGTAGGGTTGGTTTGCATGTGTGTGTGAGAGAGAAGTGGGAAGTGAGAGAGATACACACAGTGGTACCTCGGGTTACATGCGCTTCAGGTTACAGACTCCACTAACCCAGAAATATTACCTCGGGTTAAGAACTTTGCTTCAGGATGAGAACAGAAATTGTGCTCCAGCAGCGCGGTGGCAGGCCCCATTAGCTAAAGTGGTGCTTCAGGTTAAGAACAGTTTCAGGTTTAGAACGGACCTCTGGAACAAATTAAGTACTTAACCTGAGGTACCACTGTACATATTATTTGGAAATAGAAGACCGTGTGTATGGTACACCTCCTTTCCACACAGGCTGCAAAAGCTTTATTGCCAGTGAAATGTAAATAATGGCCTTGAGAGGTTGTAACTCAATAACAAAGACTGAACAGGGAAAGGAAATAATCTGGTTCGTGTTTGGAAAGGAAGACTCTCTGCTCAAAAGGTTCGTACAAACAGGCAGAGGCTGGAAACTATGAGGGATAATGCAGGGTGGAAAGAAGAATGAAAGATTTAAATTACTATAACCTCACTCGTTGTTATTTGATATACAGTGGAACCTCAGTTGTCGAATATAATCCGTTCCGGAAGACCGTTTGACTTCCGAAATGTTTGACAACTGAAGCTCAATGTGCGGTCGGAAAATTCGACTGAGAAAATTGAGAAACACTCAGCGGAAGCTGTTCAACTTCCAAGGCACATTCATAAACTGAGGCTCCACTGTAATTTTGTTTTATCTATATGCAGGAACTGGTAAAGGAACAGCTGAGGGATGAGGAGTTTGCCGAAAAATGGATGTTAATTAGAGTAGGGCTGCCATATGTTAGGAATTTCCCGGACACAGCCAGGATTTGGCTGGGGTGGAAATTGTTGGAATGTCTGGGAAAATGTGGATGTATGGCACCTCATGCAGGAAGTGTATATTTTGGCAAAGTTCCTTATAAATAGTTTTTTGTGTAAAACAAAAAAAAAGCTGAACACCTTTCTGCAATATGGGAACTCTAAATTGGAGTTAGGTAAAGGTACCCCTGACCATTAGGTCCAGTCGTGACCGACTCTGGGGTTGCGGCGCTCATCTCGCTTTATTGGCTGAGGGAGCCGACGCACAGCTTCCGGGTCATGTGGCCAGCATGACTAAGCCGCTTCTGGCGAACCAGAGCAGCACACGGAAACGCCGTTTACCTTCCCGCCGGAGAGGTACCTATTTATCTACTTGCACTTTGACATGCTTTCAAACTGCAGGGACCGAGCAATGGGAGCTCACCCCGTCGCAGGGACTCGAACCGCCGACCTTCTGATCGGCAAGCCCTAGGCTTCGTGGTTTAGACCACAGTGCCACCCACGTCCCTTAAATTAGAGATAAATCTGTAAAATAAGTAGCATGTAAAAGGTGAAGGAATGGAATATATCTGAGAGTGTGGGGAATCCATTTTGGGGGTGGTGTGTATTAAATTAAGTTTACTTTGGTTCTGATGTGTTATAAATTTGAAGACAAATAAAAATTAATGGGTAAAAAGGAAATAAAAGACCATAGTTTAATGTTAGAAGGTTCCAAACTCAATTTCAGATGGAGGCATACTCCCCATCTGAAATAATAATAAAATATTATATAATATATAATATTATTTCAGATGGGGGACATGGCTCTATCTGAAATTGAGTGTGGAACCTTCTAACATTAAACTATGGTCTTTTATAGTTCTGGGCGGCTCCCAAATCTTGGAGGAGCACTGCCTGTCTGTGCAGGGAGGTGTCAACGGGGTGAATGGCCTCTTCCTGCGTCCCGAAGAGTCCCCCCTCCCTATCTTCAAAGCACAAACTCTCTGCAGGTGAAACCTTCATCCCTTACTACACGGGACGCTTGATTGACATCTTGGGCAAGAAGTACGACTCGGATGCCTTCTCGTCCGCCATCTTCCTCATGTGCCTGGTGTCGCTCGGAAGGTGGGTTTCTTCCTGACAACACCCCCTGCCCAAAAAACAAAGGAGCCCTGGTTAGGCTCGGCAGGGGTGTGTGCAATTTTCTCATAATCTGGGGAGTTACCGTATTTTTCGTTCCATAGGACACTCCGTCCCATAAGACGCACCTACTTTTTTGGGGGGGAAATAAAGGAAAAAATTTTTTCCTTTGTTTCCCCCCCAAAACCAGGCCGGGGAACAGTGGGATGGCGGCGCTGCGCCTCCCCGTTGTCCCCCGAGCTTGTGGGGCTGGCCGATGTCTGCCCGGCGTGAGGGGCGCTCTGCTTCAGGGCGCCCCACGCGCCGGGCGGCAGGCTGCAGACACCTGCGCGAAGCACGGGGCGTCCTCCGGAGGGCGCCCCATGCTCCACGCTGCCGGCTGCCGCCCGCAAGCCTTGCGCGCCCGGGAAGATCCCTGGGTGCGCAAGGCTTGC